TTGATGCTGTATGTATACGCACGGTCGGATAAAATTATTATTATCATTATTTACAAGTTATATAAATCTCAAATAAATGAATGAAAATTTATTGATATAAAATTTATTCGAATTATTATCTCGTAATATCGACCAAGTTAAGGGAAACGAACTTAATGACTGTTTCACAATGGTGCGACGACTGATTGATTGTCAGTTTACCGCTTTCTGTACTGGGCTGTCACCTTGGTGTTCCCATGATATTTGGTCGCAGTACCGTTAATTTATGAAATATTAATCCACTAATTAATTCGACGCGTATATATATATAAACTGCCATAGATTCCATTAAAGCCAAATGATAAATGCCCGGAAGCTACGTCAACCATACGAAAGATCCAGAGGCAATCTATATAATCCCTCGTGAATGACCCGAAGAACTACGAAACGTTTTACAATCGTAGATACTGGTTCGACGCGCCCAGCGCGATACAAAGATCTTTAGCGATCGCGATCGGTACAAACATGATCTAGAGTAGACAGTACCGATACTTTTTCATTTGTTCAATTCGTCAGAGTGTTGTTTATAAAATCGCTCAAGGATTTTAAGATCGATTCATCAACCGATTAATCCATGACGGGAAGATCGGTTTTGTTCTTAAGACTTCCAATAGATCGCACTACCGTAAATCGCTATAAGGAAGTACTAAGCATGACTTGGACAAACGTACTATTGTGTGCTTCTAAAGTTCGACGACAAGAATAAGAGAAAGAAGAAAAAAAGAGGAAAGAAAAAAAAAGGAAAAGATAAATTCTATTTGCCAATCCCATAGATCGGTCATTGATCAGCTATAAAAGTTAAGGAACAACTTTTCATCTTACAAGGTTGGGCGTATGTATATCTATTAGTTCGTCGTTGCGTAACTATCTACGTGGTTCACACGAGAGCATCTGTAGACGAGATGAAACAGGGTGCTGCCGCGGGATACTAGACGTGGAAGCCCCGCTTTCATTTATGGGAAATGTGAAAGCTGCCTCGGAGCGTAGGTGTTGCCGATCTCACGCAAACTCTGCCATTTGGCATCCTCGCGTAACATTAGACACACTTGCCAGCGTGTGCGAATAAATACTCTGGAATATGCATAAGTATGTGAAGAACATAACGAGAATCTGTTCTGTTTACAAATAGACGATGCCACCGCGAAGTATGTCTTGGCAGGCGTGCGTTATTTATCACCAGGAAATGCCAAAAGCCTTATTAATGAAGGCCGAGTTGATGACCTCGCGGCCGAATGATTCAATTAGAAAAAATGATAAGGCAATAGTCATTAAGAATTGGATAATTAGGTAATCGGGTTGTACGCCGTGCGAAAGGATAATTCAAATGAAAATATTGTATACGTAGGTAAAGGAGCAGATGACGTTTAATGAATGATTCGGAGGAAACCAGGAAGCTTGCAGTTCTGCCCGGTAAAACAAAAGAAACTCTGGCCCAATGTCCTCACCGAGGAGAACGGACCCAGGACAAAAAGAAATGAAGTTCCCCCAGGAGGGACCAAAGTGAGTTTCGGCTGCTTTTGCGGCCTGGTATACGAATGCAGTGCAAACAGAGAACCGAAGATATTCACACACGGCCATTAAACGAGTCCCAGAGTCCCTTTGATCGACCGCTCATGTACCTATGCGCGTACCAATAAGATGCTGACGTAACTCTGCACAATCTTAGCTGCCGATCAACTGGACTCTCCTCTCTCTCTCTCATTCGACTACGGCTCTCTCACACTCCCTATAGCGGTGAGTCTCCATCGTCTCCAAGTTCTTCTTCTCTTTTCGCTGTCACGAAGCAGAGGAGCTCGGACCGGCCGGCTAAGATCGGCGACCACTGGGTCCGGGGTCCCGTTACTTCCTCAGGGCCCCAGGGATCAGACATGTAATTTATATATCGCCCCGTACCTCCTCGTCGTGAGCTCCGCGAAAGTATATACGGTTGTTCTTTTTCTCTCTCTCTCTCTGCAAAAGCCCAGAGAAAAGAAGAAGAGCCAAAAGAGGAAGAAGAACCAGAAGAAGAAACAGAAGGTAATGACGACGATGAGGTAGACGAAGGGTAATAAAAGAACAAAGAAGAGGTCCAGTAGAGAAAATGAAACGAAATCCTCATCCTTCTTGCCGCGAACCAGTGGACGCAGAATGCCCAAAGGAGACTCTCCTCTCCTCTTGCTTCCTCCCCCTCGACCACCTCGCCCATCAACCTTAGAAACAATGCACGAGCCAACACCAATTACGATCACGGTAGCAGCTCTCAAATGTTTACTGCTATTGCTTACTTACTTTTACTACAGATTCGCCTACACGAGTTGTGATTCGTTCACAGAAATGTACCGAACTCGCCCAACAACCATTTACTGTTATTACTGACTTACTTTTGCCATGGTTCATTAGTACCGGCTTCGGGAGTTAACGCACGCCTATACCAGTAGCTCGGGCAGTTTTTAGCTTACCGATTGGAAACGTGTGAGAGGAATCACTGAACCATTTAAAACTAACTTTTGTGGTAACCTGAAAAATCATCCTTTTTCTTTCGGGCAGAATACAATTTATTTTTTATTAATATCGCAGGACGTGGGACTCCTGAGGATCGACGTGAAGATAGAAGAAATTCTCGAGGACAGTTAGTGGAATGCGCAAAGAACTTAAAGGCGGATTCCTAGCTAACTTCATTTTCCGCTACTCCATGACGACGCTGACCAGGCTTTATCCTGAGGGCGAGAATAAAGTTTCCGGTAACGCCCTCCGATAATCTATCACGTTCAATTAACGTAGCGCGATGTGAGCTCTGCCGCGACGATAATCGTAGTCTCCTTGCAAGTCATCGTGAAACGTACAATGGAAAAAAATGAGCAAACGTCGGTCTTAGATGAGAAAACTGTCCTTAGACCTCTCCCGGGTAGGCTCTGGGAAGTAGGTTGAAAAATTAAGACAATAGACGTTATGACTTTAGCACGTGGAAGACTTTTACCTTGGATTGCTCAAGGAGATCCTTCAATCGCTTCGTGCATGACGTTATCTCCTCTAGTTTGCCATTAAAAAAAAAAGGGGAAAAATAAAAACTTCACTGCCGCCCTACGCAATCGCTATATCTTTTTTTTTTTTTTTATAAACCGGAGCCAGAAAGCCAGCAGAGAATTTCTATATGTACAGCATCCAGTGACCACTATGGACCGTGTATCGCGATGACCTAGGATTTATACTCGTCTTCTTTATATATGTATATAGCTATATACGTATCCATGGTACATACGCAAATGTCGTTGCGGTGCTGATGTGACCACGTGCATTAGGATTGATCGACAACATTAATACAAGTTAGTGCCGACATGCTTGGTACTCGTGGTCCAGCAAGACCGATCTTCGATCTCTGATCTCACGATTCCACGTTGACCGTTTCGAAGAGTCCGGCGTCCATTGCCAAGTGAAAAAAGACTATATCAGACTAAAAATGGAGTCTTATAGCTTCCGACAGATATTTTAAAGGGAGAGAGAGAAAGGACACCTGCCAAATCGAAGGAGGATCTTGTTTTCGCAGAACGGCAGAGAAATGCAAGGGACAGGAAGATAAAAAGAACGTACAGAAAACAGTATAAGAGAACTGCTCGAGTGGACATAAGCCAGTTTCCAGATGCCGATCACATAGCGCAGGTATACCAAAAGTATACGAAGCGTCACGAAGAAGGATCAATTAGCGAATAAATAACAGGAGTAACGATTAACTCGAATTACCTAATCAGAACACGACTAACCACCAGATACAACCAAGTGCAAGGAATGGCACAGGGTAGTTTAAGAATATCAGGTGCACCCAAGGATCTTATCATCGTCCAAATCATCCAATTTATTGTACAACGGTGACGGCGAGTGGTTCTCTTGGAAATAATTGGAATCTTACGAAGGCGACCGTATAAGAGCTGGATTGCACCGATGCACTCGGAGTAAAGCGTACAAAGTTGTAGGTTGTAGGGGCATGAACCTGGGACGTGTGTCCGGGACGGGTTTAGGACTACAGGGCATCAGGTACCCTATACGTGTACCATATGTATATGACCACGAAGAGGACGTTTAACGTCGTAAGGAGAAATAAAAGCCCCGGCTGGCCCTGGCACTCATTATATTCCCGAAGGGCCGAGGCCGCGTGCTATTTCACTCGAAAAATTACAACGTACTCACCGAAGCGATAAAAGTTTCACACTGCGCCTCTACGTATAGGGTTATTCAGGAATATTGCACCAAACGGAGTTAGCCCGTACATTTGATTTCTATGGCAGAACCACCTTCGCGCGGTGCAATACGCCTGAATAGCCCTGTACGGTGTATATCGCTGCCGGAGCGGCCTCGTGCTTTTGGGCAAGGCTATTAAGGATTGGCACGCCCACTGCAATCATAGTGATTACCCACGCTTATTACAATGCAAATGCTGGTTAATTCTCAGAGGTTCAGCTTCGTTCTCTTTCTCGACTGTGCTCTATCTAGCCGTCGTATACATTTACAGAAAGAACTCTATGAATAAGAAGAACGCTGGTTAGAGTAGCATTCGGTACTTGTATATAGGATCACTGTGGCCAAACTACCCCTGCTCGCAAGGTGGAATTGTTATAGTGATTAGGAGAGGAGAATTCTTGCATGAACACTCACGATGGGTCGGTAAGATGGCACTGATGTTATTTATAAATGGTAAATACATATTCCAGCAAGAGTATCTTAGTGAATGCTAACCCCCTATATAACTTGAACTTACTTTATATATATACCTGTACCTACATCCCTGTAATTCAAAGCAGACTCTTGCAGAGAGCTACCATATCGCATGAACGTTCGGCCATGTCTATAAGGAGAAGTGCGCTGATCGTGTCGCAAACGGTTATGCTTGTAAGTAAGGGTGGTTGCGAGAAATAAGGGAAAAGGATATATTTTAAAAAAGGGTTTAGAAGGAGCAGAACAGTTTAACGTGCAATTACACAAGTCGAAAATGTATCTAAATAAGTTTATTACCCGCTGCGTTGTAGGGATTATATTACCTGAGAGAATCGCATGGTATAACCATGGATTTAATGTATCTATATATGCGTACGCATATACAACCCATATACGTATTTACACCGGCTCTACGGTCGCGCATGCAGTCACGTTTCTGTATAACATAACCTCTACCGTAATAATATTCCACCCTGATGAGCTTCTATGCCGGCCACTCTCATTCACGCGATCAAACCAGCATCCCCAAGGCTTGGTTCCGTTCTCATTTGCACTTTCGTCGCCGTCTTATACGCTGTCCACCACGTATAACTGACAAGTTTGTTCTCTCTGGGAAAAACTGGTTAGCCTACGCGTCGAAAATCTTTTACGCGACTGAGTAAAGACGCTGTACTCACTTACTTATCCTCCTTCCCAACCTTCCATCCTGGACTTACTTACTGTCTGAAACCCTTTTCTTATTTTGTCTTTATCATTCTGCTTCCGGCTCTGTAAACAAAAAAAGAAAATAAAAGGTAGGCACACGACCTCCCACAAATGACCTTGGACAGTTCAACGTCTTCGGAAATATTATATAGAAAAGCCAATGGCCCAAGATCACAACGGTACTCCATTCTGAACGAAGTGTCTTGCTTGAACCAAGAATTTCAGGGATATCCAGAACGTGGTACAAGGTGTCAATTTAAATCGATGAGGGCAAAACTCCGTTACAGTGTGTCACGACAAGATTACACCCGCCATTTTCCCAGGCACTTTTCTCATCGCGCGAGATTAACGGACTCTGATCCACCAAGGTTTTCGATCCGAACAGATGCTTCGTTTTTAACGTCCGAGCATTATAACAGGATTGCAAAAATTTTATACCATAGTAATTAACGTGCTTTCGATAATCTCTACTTGCCATTCCGTATCCAGTTGGTGCACTTTGGCAAAGTGTCCTTCGCTCTCAAAAGACACGCGCTCGCGTGTTCGTTAGCCTTTAAGCAGATTCTCGATCCTGGTCAGGATCAACCGCATGCTAGGCGAAATGGGAAATCTCTAAAAAATAATGTTCGCACGAAGATAACTCAGCTCGGTCTTCTTGATGATTATTTTCTTTTTTATTGATTTACAGGCTCGCCGAGACTCGTACGATAACTTACCTTGTAGTAGCCGCGGCTCTTGGGAATGCCAGGAGGTAACTGGGGAATTTATGCGCGCGAAATATGGACAGGTATAATGCATAATTCAATATGACGAACCTGAATAATTATAGCTACTTAAATGTCCAACTCCTGATGACTAAGTCAATGAGTATGAACACATCTGCTCTTTGGTATTCGTTATTGTAGCGGGGATTGACAAAACAATTGCTGTCCTGTCGATATACATACGTGATGCCAGCTACAACTTTATTCGCGATAGATGATACGGTATGAAAGTCGACACTGATTTTCTATCTTATTTCGACATTTGTATACCAATCATTATAATCACGTACGTAAACATGAGCTACGTACGTAAATATGAGCTTATATGACCAATTTAAATGTTTTATTAGATTAGCTTAACTTTTAGCTCTGTTGACTTATCGCACTGCGAAATCATGTGTGATAACATGCTCTCCTTTATTCGCAATTATTTGCATTGCTTTTCTTTTTCGATCGAGTACTATTACTGTGCGGATTTTTTTTTTTTAGGATCGATTGAGAGTTTAAGCCAATGTATTGTATATGACAAAAGAATGGTAATTCACCTGGAAACAAAGTAACGAGGTGTGTCAAGTGGGAGATATGAATTGGCGCGTTGCTACGTGTGTTTCCATGATTATATGCTAATTCACAGGACGAGATATGGTCATGCATGCGAAATGTGATCCTAATAAGTCGTTGTTCCATCATCTTGAATAATTCTACCATTCAAATTAGCAACCACCGTACTGGCTCTTTGTTATGGACAGTTTAATAGGAGGGTAGTAGTCTACGTTAGATTGTCAAGAAAAATATAGATTTAGGGAGGATTCTGAATTCTTCATTCGTATTTTTCTTTCCCTTATCGTTTCGAGAATTAAGCCATTTGCAGCAATATTGCAAATAGGACTGGTACGTTCTAAAAAAAAATGTTAGCCTTTATCCTGATACGCGTTTCCATTAATGTGCAAAGCTATCTTTCGAGACTTTACAAGCAAGGTAACGTCTCTTAGCGTATGGCAAAGATATTTTTATTGGGTGCTTTTACTTGCTTTATATCTCACATTTGCACGATAATACCAGCATTAATGGTACCCATTATCTACTTTGTAGTTTGTAAGTACCGTCCTCGTCCACATATGCATGAATATTCCCATCCTATGATAGAACAAGTACTTAGGATAGCATCACGCTACGAAGGGGTTATGAAATTTTATAACGAAAAAGGTAAAGAGACTTTGGTATGATTGTGTAATGACATTCGCTTTATTGAGTAAATAAAAAATTAATTAAAAAATTATTTTTATAAATGATCGCTCGTTGCACAGTGCACCAAGAGTTCTGTGACAGCAAGGTATAATTTTCATGAGCAACTTCAGCCCGTGCAAAGTGAACAGAGAGCACGTGCGACTTCTGAGGACCTCAGTCATATTGGCCTTTGTTCATATTTCCATTTGAAATTTTTAAAAGTCAATCCCCCTCGAGACTCTTTTTCTTCGCCGTAAAGACGAGAACACCAGACAACAATAAGATGAAGAGTGTTCTTCGAGTTCGTTCAGTTAAAGTGGCGGTGGCAACGATAAAAATACCAAGTACCTTGCAATTACATCTGCAGGTAAGCAAGAGCCGCAGGTAACGATGGCTACAACCGTACGAACGAACGGTCGCCACTCGCCAATGCGCCGTCGCGTAAACGTCACGAAGACGTTGAAACGAGAGAGGTAAAAAGAGAAAGAAGAAAAGTAATGTACAGCAGTACCGTTTTGTAGTTGGGTAAAAATAAATTAGTCCCTGGCAATTATCAACGGACGTTCCGTTAACCGAGGGTGCAAATCTTGGATAATTTTCAGAGAATTTGACCACGAGCTAAGTCAGAGTAAGCTAAGTCTAGTATAGATCACGATGAGACTAATTGAAGTGATCGATTGCATTATAGGAATTATTTTATTATTTTACAATTGAAAACTATCATTTTAGCTTAAATTTATACGTTTCATAGTTTCAGTTTGATCTCGTGAGTGCCTTAAGGATTTCTCTGCGACGCGAGAACTCACGGCAACCTTACAAACTGCTCGGCTACTGCTGCCACTAATAGAGCATAGCGATAGGGATAAAGACAAACCTTACTTACTATTTACTACTTCACTTGCATTGGCTTACTTCATTTACTCGTTCGTTAGTTCACTAAGTACTTGCTGGAGGGTCCAGACGTCTTAAGGACGTGCCACTGATATCATCCTCTACTGCAAAAACTGTATGCTGACATAGTGGATTTATCTTATGCTAGATTAACTACGAGAATAGTCAGGTGTGAATAAAGGTAAAGAAATTGTGAGGACTTTAATCAAATAAATTAAATAGTTATAAATTGAATTAATTTAAGAATACAAAATGTGCAAATACCCGTTATACTATTATTAAAGCAATCATCATAGTTGTATAAAAATTGAAAATTAACCCACAGAACATTTGACATTTTTAAGTTAATTTACTACAGTTGAAGATCATGATCTGACATATGTTTTGATGACTGGCCGAAAACGTTGAGTAAATACTATAAGTCACAGATAATTCATGCTTAGTGCATCTGGAATTATGGCGCTGAAAATACCAAACATAATAGGTGCCACGAGTCCTCTAAACGGTTACGTGCACTTTACGTCATCATACTGTAATTAACGGTAAGTAATGTTCACAACACTCGCAATAATCGACAAGTCCCTTCTGAGCGTGAGCAACTTTACTCGGGTATTCGTGTCAATGATCGAAGCCCGATATCGCATGGATCGACCGATCGATCGTCCCCGCCGAGAATGGCGGGCGCGCACGCGCGTTTGCGCGCCAATTAGGACGCACGCGCTTCGCATTTTTTATTCGAGTTTTCATATAAAATAAATGTGCTAACTAACCAATTACGGCGAGACAGCCTGGGGCTCCGGTTGCATTACATCCCTAATTAGTGTCAAGTTTGAAGTGCCGATTGCACCTTTGTCATCAGTACACCGATGATGAATTGATGACATTAGGACGCATGACTATGATGATAATAAGAAAGATTTGGAATTTCAATATAAATCAAGAGTTAAATTTTTTAAAAATTCTTATGCACATTATTACTTGAAAACACACCCATTGACAGAACAGAGTTGATTCATATCCAGTGTGTTTGCTTCCTACTTTTTGTCTCGTGGCTATGCTTATACTCATTGTCCTTGAAACTTTCAGAAATTATGAACTGGTCTGATATCCAAACACAAGAGGTGGAGAGGAATTGCAATTACGTAAAATGGTCGCAGAGACCAGCGCGCATTATGCGTTTTCCCTTGATCTTGTCGAGGCCGTGAACGAGCACGTTTCAGTGCTTCGTTTTCTCGGATTCTCGCTGCCCGCCACACCCAGCAGAGCTCACTGGTACTAATAATTGTTTGCGTACTTAAATATAAAACAGCGACCTTGTCTTTACTTCTACCTAGGGATCGAGATGCTGTTAAGAACTCCCCATACCGTGGGAAGATTGCTCTACCGAGAACTAGGAGATGGACTCCTGCTTGCCTTGACCGATCCTTTGTGCTGATTAGTCTTTCGTCGGAATCTGAAAGGACTTTACGGCAACCAGGACTAATGGGCTCTTTCCGTGGCTTACGCAATTAATTTACTGACACCGCGTGAGCATCGATTTTAAAGAATGTATTTGCAACTTCGATAGGAAGTAAAAAAAACCTCGAGAACTTTGAGTACGAAGGATATCCTGACAAAGAGAATAATTAAAAATGTTTTTTTGATAATGATCTTATCGGCGGATAAACAAAAGATTCGTATTCCCATGACATACCCATAAATGATTTATCTTTAAAAAATTATTCTGACCTCGTTACGTAATTATGATAGATCAAATCCTGTCCAGAAATCTATTTAAGAATTCAGGGTTGATCAATGCACGTATGATTTGTGTATGCTTTTTATACTATTAACAAATCAAATAATGACTTTCATGGGAAAATAAATATCCTTAAAACAAAGTATGTTCATTACACATTCCTTACATGTACGAGTCACCTTATCTATTACAGTATATCGCAAAATGCATATGCAACAACATTAATGATTACGCGCAATTGTGTCTCATCAAGATGCTACTAAGGCAGAGCATTTCTATAAAGTTGCAGGATTTCGAGTACAATAGGATTTTATTGAATAGAGTCCCGGCCTGGAAGCTGGCGAGTATTCTGGCAGAATTGAAGCTCACTGGCAGAGTGTAGATACTACACTATACTAGTGTGGCAGTAGTATAGAGTCATTGGTGTTTGTAATACCAGCTTAGTACTGTGTTAGTTTTCGCCTGGCAGTAGTATTAGTAGACCTCTTACGATCCGCTCACTCGATGCCGGGCGTCAGTGACTTCGCGTCTGCCGATCCGATCGGATCTTCTTCAAAAAGTACGACTCCACTTGACCAACAAATTTATATTTTTTTTATACCCCTCTTTTCACCAATCTCACTAACTGATCTCGAGACGCACTTTTAAATTGTAATAATTTTTCATTCAACAAAAACATTTATTGATAGGGCTGATTTTAGTTATGACGGTTGGTAATGACTCGAAAGAGGAAGCAACTTGCATGACTGTTAACTAAAAATTTATCAAGGGAAAAGTACGAGGTGAAATTTTGTAGGAAATTAATCCACGTGGATTTTGGACTATTTTGTACTTTCGTGAAAGGTAAAGAATTCCTTAGATCATTCGAGGTGTCGTCAATGTTTATTATTAACAATATTATTTAACGTTCAGAGAATTTGAATATTTTACTTTTTAATTTTTTCTGGTATCTTTATTTTACTATCGTTTTTCGCACTCTGTTTCAGTCTATAGAGGTCTCGGGCCGGGAGTGATCACATGGTTCCAGGAAATAAAAAATTTGTGGTGAATGATATAAAATCTGAAGAAATTAAGGAATTACCTGAAAATCACGTGAAAACCACATTGAAATCATAAAAGCCCGAGGGAGTCACCTGTGTAGATATAAGTGCCTTCACGTAGAGCATCGATCGCGTTAATCTCAAGAGAGCGTGGTTGATCGATCGAACGATCGATCGATCTATCCTCCATGAATGGATCGCGAATCCTTCCCAAGGCAATACAGCCGGAAGACACTTTCGCGGTCTACGCGATTGACTTATAACGGGAGGAAAAACGACCGGTCGTCACGGACCGATCATTTTATTCACACGTTTAAGCGCGGCTAGTCGATGGCGCAGAAATTTGCGGTGTCGTGAAGAAATAAGTTTCAAAAAGATTTAAAAAAAAGAAAGGCGCACAAAAGGACAAGAGCAAGTGAAGTGGTATTACATCTCCTCGACCTATCGTCCGCGTATCTATAGTGGCCCAAAAAAAATCACGTGAAATTCAGTAAATTCGAAAATTAAAAATTCGCTAAATTTTACGTCGCAAGATCATCGTCTCATTTCTAACAAAAATTGGAGTAATCAATTGATTGGTCTCAATCTTTTGGCAACTTCTGTAAAACTGTGAAGTGCCAAATGACAAGGATATCTCTCAAAGAAAAAGATGTTTTCTATAGATCTATTTGGTAACACTGCGTTCTGTTGCTTCTGGTAACAGATACAGATCAGTGCAAATAATGTTCGATACCGAGGAGCAAGATCATCCTGAATCTTTCATCGGTTGCTGCTAATGTCAGACGAGATATACTCACTGAAGTTTCAGTTGCTGGTACAAGATAACTTGAAGTCTCCAGCATCCCTTAATAACCAGCGAAAGCATCGGTTCATGGTATCCTGGGTATTATCATTTTCTGAGCAATTTGCCAGCGTGACGAGCCGTGACAGCGTTTGAATCTGCGATTCTCCCAGTCGAAGTGCTTTACGCAGAAAGTGACAGTGACTGCTACAGTCGAGTGACATAATTGAAGAAAGTGTCTACCAAACCTGTTATTAACCAGATAAGCACGTTGCTACTGACTCGCCGGTAATTGACAAGTGGCTAGGAGTAATGAAATATCATGGTGAAAAAAATATATAAACTTTTACCGTGAGTATGAAACGTGCGTAGTCAGATACCGAAAGCCCTTGACATTAATAGATTTTTTCAAGAAAACGAGAAACTGTCATACCAGAAAGAAAGCGTGTCCGACTCGGAGTATTTCTCTATCTGAGTGACAGTATACTTAACTTTATTCATCCTTCTAAAAAACAAGACTGTCCAACAAGTGTCAAATCTAATAAAACAGAATTTCTGAACGGACAGACTCACCGTGTCAAAACTCGCAAAACATGTGGGACCAAAATGTCAATGTGATCTGACAACCTCGAAGGAATAAAGTGCACGAGATATCTCATTAAAAAAAAGTGACTAATAAATTAAATATTTGAAAAAAATTATTAAAAGAAAAAAAACAAGAAAAATGTCGTCAAACGGTGAATTTTCGACAATCTCAAGCGGCGAGGCTCCATCCCTGCCAAAGTCATTACCAAGCTCACGGGAAGCGACGGCCGAGGGAAATTCCAATTCGAGTGGTGGCTTCATGCCACTTCGTGAATTTCTTGACAGATTTTCACTGCCAAGAGTAGTCAGACTCGAAGGTACAGGAGGCAGACCAGTTCTCTTGTATAAACAGCAACAACGATCTCTCAGAGTGACAGCCACTCTCTTGATGCATCGATACAGACACGACGTGAAGGTGGGACCGGAAATCGTAATTCCTGAAGGATATCCGGGTGAGTGAAGCGAGTCAAACCTTCCCAAATGTCGCTTGCGAAGCATTTAACCATAATCCTGGCAATAGCCTTGAGCATAAGATCGTGAACTGTTAAAATAATCGATAACAGTTCTACCATTTAATAATCAGTCTAATACCTGTTTTCGAGATTGTTGAATGACTCTTGAGAAAGACCATTGATACCTTCGTTGAATCGTTTACGGGAAATTACGGTCCGACAATTTTCTCTTTTCCTAATAGCGAAGAAGGTTATAAAATTGTTCGATTGCGAGAAATTCTGAGTAAAGTATAGAAAATACTATGACCTCTTTATAATCGGTTTAATTATATCAAATAACGTGATACCTTCTATCCAAATAATTTCATATCATTGGTTATCTATATTGTACCATATTAATAATTTAACTACGATGAACAAGTACTTATAATATATTGGCTACCATCCCATATAAAAACTTACCCCAAGACTGGTAACTACTTCCTAATGCCTTTCCCATACGATAATACGAGGAAGAAATCATTGGCATGGCTAACAACGTCACAAAAATATTATAAGTAATTTATTCCAAGGAGACGACATGCCTCGAAGCTATCTAACAAGCAGTTCCGTCATTTATTTAGTACTTTCGATAGGAATATATATCTACACACATAAATATATATATACACGCGTCCATAAAAATACAGAGTAAATGCTAGCAATGTATTGAGCGCTCGAAAAGAAATCCCCCGCCACACGATTTATCGTAATATCAATAACAATGGAGTTTTCCACGTTCGAATAAATTCTCAAGAGCTATCCGAGTAAAAACAATATTAAAAGAGACTTATGTAAGAGCAAGATAGAGATTCGTAAGCATTAAGTATCACGGCGTGTGCCAAGTGGGCGTAGCTATTAGCATGTTTACCACTTAGCAATGCTTGTCAATGAGCCTACACTTGGACGTTATAAAATATTGCTCCATAGAAACCAACAGAAATATTACGAGCAATAGCCTAGGACTCTGGCAAACGATCGTTTCCCGTTTGAACCAGGGTAATAACAGCTACGAATTACTGCTATTATATACCAGCCAAGGGTTTATTCACTCTCTCGACCCTTACTTATTTTCCTTCCCTATATCCTTTTTTCTGTCCTATCTATAAATACCATAAGCAATACAAGTACCATACGCCTATCCATACCTTATGGCATATGCGTTCCTTTATAACGTGGATAGCAAATGCTCACGGGTGGGCGAATCTAATAGCTTGTTTACCATTTAGCGATGCTTGTCAATGCAAGCCTACGTTTCACTCTTGCCCTGTAAAATATTGCTTAACCACTCGGCCAGAAATACTACGATCGGCGTTACTAACTCTGCGAGGTACAATCGCTTCGGCATTATACTATACTATTTATTTAGTCACATAGTATATAGCAGCGATAATCCTACAGAAAACGTAACCACGACCTTGCTCTCCGTCATTTCTTTGCGCTTCCCAGTATACACTTTCTTCTGTTGCTACCATTGCCATAAGACTTTAAACATGTTACACGTATAGATACAGTGAAAAGGTCTTTTTATACTATCACATAAATGACATTTCATTATACGCTATTATATTTATTACTGAGGTAATCATTGTTGCGGTGATTGAACTTCGCCCACCAGCAAGATATTGCATAATTTATATAACGACATCAATGACCATTCTTTAACAACAAATAATTGTCACCTTAACCTAATTTTTATATTGGAGCTGGTATCACTATAATTTTCCATATTTCGAACGTGATTGTATACTAGTATGTACACTTGTTTGGTTATAAAGGAATTTGTAAGACGTATATTAATGATCGTTTCAAGTATATCGTTAAGAATTTTCTCAAGTCTTTAATACCGGGGTTGGCAAAGGTAATTCGAATATCCACGTTTTACAACTTCCTCGTAAATATAGACTCCGAGCCGGCTGGCACGAACACAGGTTATCGAAGGCGTAACAGTAAATTGAGTAGGAAAACATTATTTAACGCCTACGAATTTAATGCGAGATTATGATTCACTACGTAGCCGAAGAGAGGGAACTGTCTCGTCCAGGTGTTGTGGTTATAACGCGTCACCATTGATACTCAAATGGTACACATGTCTTTCTCATGACTGATTCAGAATTCACAATGTGATCCAAGAGATTTTCCTTTGCGTCATTCTGGAATTTAACGGTGACCAATTCCGTTCTGCAGGATCCAATTCGTATCCGGTTCGTGTACACGTGTTTACGTTACGTGTCAGGCACGTGTATCCAAAAGGAAAGAAGTAGAATGGTGATTGTCGACATATTGGAATGTAATCTTGACGAATCGTTATTTTGATTCGACTTGTTTAAACGATTTGGAGATTTAATCGAGTTTGATCTAGATATATATATATACCCATCTTATGAGATCGGCGATTGAATTACGGTCTGGTCATCTTATCTGTTTATCTTATTCGTCGTCTGTCAGAAGATGAGAGTAGAGAGGTCGGGTGAAATCTATAAAGAATGCCATACTCCGCCCCATAGAGATGTTGGCAATTTGAGTTATATCCAAGTGCAAGTTTCATCTCTGTTATTCGTGACTGTAATCAGTTTACGAGAGTGAATAAGAAGTCTGTGAAAAAGTGGGATAACTATTATTTCCACATTAGACTGATAATTTCAAAGGAGCTGGGCGATTGGTCAAAAGCTACGAGATGGTACGAGTGACGAGGAGTGCAGGACTTTTTTTTTGTGTAGTGTAAAGATTTTCGTGTGACGGTGGCGTGCGAAATGGTAACGTGTAATTTTGCGGTATATTCTTGAGACGGTCTTACAGAAAAGGAATAAGAGAAGAAAAGAATGAAAGGTAGGGGATGCGAAACAAAAGTAGGTACGGCGTGAAGGTCTGGAGATAACGACGACGTCGTTGGATAGGATGGCGAATGGAAATCTCATGGCAACGCCTCGGTCTGTATAAAATTAATAGGGAAGATTTAAACGTGCATCCGATTCCAGAGAACGATAGCAACGATGGCCGATATCGCATATAAATCACTAGCACGTTTAACTACCGTTTGTGCAACCCTGGAACAACTTGGTTCCAGGTTACAGTAATTTATTAAGCGTGTAAGCGAGCTCCCAGGTCGACGGCCTCGTGGGTCATGTCGCAACATTTTTTTCTTCTCTTTAATCGATACTTCACCTGAAAATGTATCGATGACAGAACGAGCCCAGAACTTGAGAATCTTGAGTGCGTTTGACGGTTTACAAGTTAATCGGTATCCTTAGGCTGCTTAATTATCATGGCGCAAGGTTGCGAGATCGTTCAGGTTCGTTAATCAACGTATATAGCTAACTCTTGTAATTTTGAGAACGAGTTACATCTTTATAAGAATTATTAAGTTTAATAGCGCTTATATATGGACCGTTTGATGTATCTAGGTTTACGTTGAAATTTCAAAATTGTATAATATACGCTGGTAATTATAACGAAACGTTTTATTGCTTCAATCCTATGATCAACTGTACTAATATTGTTATTCGCTTGGAGATCTCCTCGGACGTTTCACACAAGGCAAGAATGTTTCGCGCCCTCGGCAATGACTGCTCTCGCTTGCTTTTAAATAACGGTCATTATGTCATAGGTATCTCTCAGCCGTAGTGGCAGAACTATGGGAGGCGTCCCAGGCCCGATCTATCTATATAACGTCTAATTTCTACAACGCGATAGAATCTATAGGAGCGACGCGCTAGCCAATAAACTCCTTATAGCCGGTTTGACTTTCGCTAACAATTTTACCTCCTGAAATTCACACTCGATTTCCTATGGTGTTGATACATAGATATTTTAGTACGGAAACTGCTTATGACGATAAAGGTATCAATTTTCACGTATCAAATTATTTTACTACTGCATGCGTTTCTATATATGTATATAGTACTGATTGAAACTCGTTTATTTGGGATGCGCTAGAAATTCTGTAGATTAAAAGAATAAGGGTATGAAAAGTGGTATGGAACGGCTCTCTGGACGCGAAATGCAATGCCACTGGCGACGCGAATCCGATTATACATTACACTAACTCTATCCTGACTGCATAAACTACACTGTCACAGTCCGGTTCACATCGTGCTAATATCGGCTGGTATCGACGCCAGGGTATTACGAGAATTATGCAGGATAAAGATCCCGCTTGGCAAATCGAGAGTGGATGTAGGTATCTATATAGTTACACGAGCTCGATGTACACTGTGCAGGGAAGTACAGCGCATGTAATAACGTACTCCATGAAATTGTAACATCCTGCGAGAATAACGTTTCTTCTTATAGGTAAAATTACACGGTGAGAATTGCCGGAAAAGCGAGATGAAGCGAACTCATTTTTATTTTCACTACCAATAGAAATTTTATCGTACAAGGTAAAGTACCGGTTACATGTCCTTTGTCCAATCCTTGGATTTACCTCAGATAATATCAAAACTTTAGACTACGTTATATATATATATATATGTATATGTATTCCTTTGAAATGTTATGGAGCATCTAAAATGTCCAAGTTCAACGGCCCTGAGATAGCATCTGCTCCTTCGTCAATGCTAAAGCTCTCCCTATTTGTCCTTGTTCTTTTCTTAGGCCACCTAGTACAGCATCCTCTGGTCCATTTAGTAGATGCAGGGTGAAAAAATTTTTGAAATAGGATTAATCCCTTAAACGATACAAAGGTGTACCCGCACACCTGGATTGCAAGACCATCTGGCCTCATGAGGGTAACAACCTTCAGTCCCCATAGACTACGCTCCTCCTACACCGTGGTGTATCCATCCAGATGCTATCTGCCTACCCTGTCTTGAATCCTGGCGCGTGTCCACGAATACGTTACCGTTTTTCACGTTACATCTCCGTAACGCCTGGGCATTCCTGCCTATTCAAAGGTTTCCGTCTCCTGGACAATTCATTCCGTATTACTTAAGCAGCCCCATCCATGGCGCATATATTATGCCACTATGTAAACTGACATAAGAAATTATTGCCTTTTCTATGCCAAGCAATTAAGTAAATAACAACGCGATTACGTTATTGTACGAGACAACGTAATTAGTCACTCCGGAAGTCATGGAAAAAGACGAATTCTCTTGGTCTAGCCTTTTATTCTTGACGTCGGGACTGAAAGGTTTTTTCATTTTTCAGTAGATTTTCCAGCGGATATATGTATAACAATCGCCATAATTACATGCGTTGAAACGCGCCAAGCCGCGTTAACTATGTCGGACGCGCATGAAAATGGAAAGTGAGGAAGGCAACTCTCTTGTGCAACTGCAAAGCGCAGCTCAGCAAAGTTTCGCAGAGGATATCGCAAGTTCGCGTAATCCATCGCAGAGATCATTTATATTAATAATAAAAAAAAAATAATCGTCAATGTAAATCCATTTGATTTTTTTTTTATCGATGTTTTTTGTACCGTGTTAACTGGACCGTGTACCCGAAGTTCATAAAAATGTCACGGCACATCCAGTACGTGTTAAACTTCTCTAACGGATTCTTTGACTAGAACCGCTTATGTGCTACGCTATGTGATAGTCAACAATGACGATGGATCCAGAGGCTATAGTGGTCCCAAGAAAAGATCTGACATTGTGTCACGGATCAGTTGAAATCGTCGGGAGATTCCTTGAGCACCGAACGTGCTTTTTAGGGGTCGATTCGAAGCGCAGCTTGCGTATTCGCATCGGAGCGACATTCTTAAATCAATTAGCGACGCTTAAAAGAACCAGCCGACCTTCGATCATCCCAGCCACTCGGCTACTGTGTCTCCGCTCCGAGCATCGAAAGATCGTTAGGTTGGGATTGTTTTTACACACATCTCAGAACGTTAGAAGCTTCTCTGTTCTCTCCCTTTTGTGACTCTTACTGACCATCCACTTCTCCACCGTGTCTACTGTGCCTACTCTTTATTTTCTTCTTACATCCTTTGTCCCTCCTGACGACCACCAACGGCGAAGTACAACGTGCCCAACCTGAATACCACGGCACCGAATGGTCCGATTGTCCAGCATGTGTATCTCCATTAAAGTACAATCTCCATAGTTGGACCCAACCAGACTTTCTTTTACTATGACTTCACGAGATTAGGACACGCGTCGTTCTGAAAAGTTTCGACAGGCTCATATGACGTTTCTGATGAATGGCAAGTATTGCTTTGACAGCTGGATCTATTTGCTACGGTTGCCCAGCTGTTGCTAGAGTAAGAGTCCAGCTGTAAATTTTAGTACACCGTTTGTGACGATCCTATTTATTGCGAACAGTCCCGTGGAAGGAACAGCTGTTTCTGAGGCTCGTGTGGTAGCATCATTAGTTAACTAATTATTATATCCAATAGAAATGCCGTTACCAGTGAAGTAACTTTTCAAGAGGAAGAACAAGACTGGGTAGAGAGCAATGGTGTTCCTTGAAACAATGAAGGAGGTATCGCGGAAGTCGGAGGGAATCTTCAATTTTTTTTTTTCTTTTTCTTATAATGCTTTACATAGTCATCATTGATTATTATGTAATGATTTCGAGATAGAGGCACCGTGTACAGTATATTGAAACATTGAACCCTCGTGGGTGAAACTGAACATCCGAAATTTTGCCTTTTGCTCTTTCTCTGTTTTATTATGAAATTCTATTGAATTCTTTTTTTTCTCGATTTATTTTTCACTTAAGTATCAAATGTGTGAGATTAGTTCATAATCATTATTGACTTAACGTGAACCAATTTTGTATCGACTTACCATCGATCAATCAAGACTTTATCTAGTCGTATACCACACAATTGAATGCCGAACATTGACGACAATTCCCGAAGACAATGCTCGGCAGTCAGTACTCGTAGTGGGAGGAATGCCTGGTATATGGGGAATGTATCGGCTCGGAGTCTTCATTCTTCCCAGACCCGTTCTCCTGGTCATGTGCGACTATTCTTTCCTTGCGCGACCTCTCTCTCTCTCTCTCTCTGTCTTTCATTGTATTACCTATGTTCCCCATTTCTTCCGCTGGGTTATAGCTTCTTCGCGATATCACTTTGGTATCACAGTCAACTCCGTAATAAATATGCCAAGACGGTCTGAGCGGTGGCATGACGTGGGTTGGAGTCAGCATCCCCTACTGCGCTCTCTAGGGAAGCGATCGCATCCGTCTGCGTTCGCTCGTGCTACTCCACTTGTCGTATCGGCTGAACCTAAAGTCACCTGGTAACGTCGAATCACCTATGTTGGGAACACTTCGCGCCCCAATTAACGGTTAACGGGTTCACTTCCGGCGACGAACGTGGTTCCTTACGTCTAGCCTGCCCCGAATTTGGGCAAATGGCCAGGAACTGCTGGAGGTTCTAAGCATAATTGTAGATCTCTTGTAAACAACAATCGGTAATTTATAAATAAAAAGTTTTTGAGGTACATGGCATGGAGGTATATACCCATCGCAGACCCTATTCCAATTCAACTTCGTAAATTCATTGACATCACATCGCTATATTTAATACGCAGATCAGTTTATTTCGGTCGGCAATCGATCCTGAAACTAGTCAGTTTACATAAACGGAAAAAAAAATATTAAAACTTTCAAAAAAGCATCAATGGCGGGTACAGTACGTCTGTGAAAACGCACGCACCCGTGAACAATTTTTTACGCCTATCTACCTTTCGGAACAGGTTATCCAACAAAAAAAAATATCCACGCGTGTACCTATACTCGATTAATTTTTTTGTTTCTCTGTAATCGAAAGTAAGACGAACGAAGAAAAAAAATGTTAACATCCTACTCGTCAGATGAGTAAATAAATCTTGCTTGTCATCTTCTACGCCAACTTTATGGATCGATTAACAAAATATGAGATTTCAGAAAGGATACACTGCATCACTCGTGAAGCATTGTTTGTCCGATATAAAAAAAACTCCGGAACAATCAATGAGAATGATTTTGATCTACCCTCGATTGAAAATTAACCCGCATTCACATAGCGACACGCAAATGATCGTTTGGTCAATTCGAATCCGATGCAATTGTCAAAAGAGAAAACGTCTTCAACGTACAGCCGAGCGTGTTAAGTTAAAGTTTAATTGCATTATAGCGGTATAACCGAGAATACCACAACAGTAAGGATTGTTTTATTCTTGTCATTCACACGGGCACATGGGGCCGTTAAGACGACCATCTGGTACTTGGTTGAGGTCTCGTTAAATTCTTTCTCAAGTTTATCACCATTGCTACGATCCCTTGTGTAACCATGCCATTTTTAAATTCCACCCAGCAGTACCAGAATAAGTTTTAAAGTTCAACCATAAGTTTCCATTAGAAGTATGGGTTCACTCTGGTTTTATCAGAAAGAAAAAGTATCACATTATAATATCAAATAGCCAAAGGATTAGCTGTCATTAATTCGATTTAGAGCAACTTCCTCCTCGGTCCCGTTTATCACACATAGATAAAGAGATTACACGCGTGTATGACTTATGTAATACCGCAGGACACGATCATCCAGTTTTATTAGCATAATCTTTATAAATCTTAGCAAGATGTTATCACGTACGCAAAGATGGGTCCTTCCACTACATATTTCTATGTAATAGCCAATGGCAAAGGACAAAATGCTTCGAGTTCAGGCTTTATATATTTTATTCTTCCAGTCGGTCCCAGGTATTATTGCCTCGGGACGAATTTACCTTTGTTAGGATGCCAACGATAAATTAAGGGTTCAACTACTATTGTGTAGTCTATGCATATGCATGATAAAATTAATACTAATAATCCATGAGAAAAATTATGAAGTAATATTGATTTGATACCTTTTAAACTACAATGACGGTTACATCGTGTGTTCATTTATTCGTTTGTCCTTTTTATTATATCTACGCCAGCATAATGACTGATTAGTATATAAAATCATTAATCGTCGATAAAACGATCCAGGCCATGTGTATCCCTGAGAATAATATATACATATATATATATTGATATCTTCGTGCAGAATGTAAAGACACGGTTGAAAAAAGAGACTTAGAAGACGTTGTTTTTTGCCGAAATATCGAAATTTTCGAAACACGCGATCGCGTGATCGCCTCGCAGCATCTTCTGACTCACGTGCTCCCACACTTCAGCTTCTAACATCTTCGGACTGAACTCATGTATTCCCCATCCGTTACAAATAATACCTAGATCCACTGCAATATGAGATATTTTCTTTGAAACAACGTTTACCCTATATTTATTTTATTTATTTTCTTGCAGGCTGGTTCTCCGTGATATCCGGAAACAACATAGCGGGCAGCGCGAGAGTGTACCGAAGGGTTGAAACCCTTGTACGGGCAAGGGTACCTGCTTTTCTTTTGGCAGCGCCATTAAGGGCGTACACATTGACGCATTCGAAAATGGGTAAGTAGTAGCACCTGTCATTGATAAAAATTTTTTTTTCCAAACAATTAAAACCCATGTAACAAATGACGTAGGATTTCTGTTACGTTGTAGATAACATGGTTTTTCTTTAGTTAATTCAGAGCATTACTTTTGTACACGAGTACTTCCGTTCTTCGTAGAATCCTACACTGTCACGTGCTAGACAGGTATAACCGTTGGGCAGATAATTCTTAAAGTGAAAAAAAAATTACAAGACAATTTCTTCTTCGATCGGTTCTTCTCCGTTTATCTCTTTTTACTCGTTCTACCGATTAGAAGCGGCTTTGCCGTCTGCCGGGCCCCGTTAACCGGATCGACTCGCCTTCGAGTTCTGTGATTTATCGACTAACGCAGAATGAAAAGGGAAACGGAACGGTCTCGTATGTAGCAGAAATCGAACGATATTGAAGCCTGGCACGTTCGCCGCGTGAACGCACTAGCGAGAAATGTCAAGTAAAGCGACGTTCTTGACCCAAATGCATATGGATCGTTCAAGATAGCAGCAATAGAGAGTCATTGCACCGTGAAGTCGAGACGCGTAAATGAAACGTTAATGACGTATCCACTGGGATTCCCCACATAATGATAAAATGATATTTAATTTTGTGTTCTATATCATTAATAAATGTTGCTCTGCCTAATATTTTCTTTTCAGAAAATGGAAATCTTCGTGCTCATTACACAAAAACGACTATCAGGGCTGGCGAAGTTTTACGTCTGATAGCCGTCTTCCAGGACACAAGAAAGTATAGCACAGTGTCCTTCGGTATTTCCGGTAGCTCCTCCGACAAGGATCAGTATGCCCAATGCCTGGATTCTCACGGTCGTGAAGTTTTTGCCCCTCTGTCAGCGAGGGGTGAATTTTACGCGATCTGCATGAGTGGAAGTGACGACACGAGAAGCGACGCTGTTCTTTATAAGGTTCACCATCTTGCTAGAAGGCCATTACCACTCAGAGTAAGTATGAGGAACGATCGATCATTCTTAATGACATCAATGACTGTTCGTACGTATATTTAGTGTATACTGCTTTTCAGGTGAGATTGATAGCTGGACCGCTACCTGTACCGCTACCAAGAGAATATGGTGGATTAATGCAGTTAGAAACTTCAACCAGAGGACCAATCGTATTAGGGTGCATAGTACCGGAACGACCGGTTCATAATCCAGAAATGCTGGAACTGGTCGTTTCCGGTAATGGAGCACCTAGAGTCAGAAGAGCACGATTGGGTTATCCGTCAGAGGCAAGATTATTAGCTTCTCCTAAAATGCAACGATTATTGTCAGCTTGCAGGTAATTATGCTATGTAGGATAACCATGTTGGACATTTGATATTTTATTTTATATTATAATAGTGATATATAGCTTTTATTATGGACATTTCAGTAGAGCAGTCGGCGACAGAGCAACTGAACCACGAGTGGCACCCATTAAGTTACAATCCAGTAATGATAATCTAAAGGAAATGCATTTGAAGAAGATCAAACCAAAACCGGATACCAAACCTATTTTACAGAGTTTAAGGGATGGTTTGGAACACTTGAAGAAAACTACCGCCAGAGAAAGAAGTCAAACTAGACAACAATCAGGAAATGGATTTCTTGAGAAGATAACTAAATTAACTCACGGTAATCGTAGTAGGAATCCAGCGAAAAAATCGGCTTCCTTTACCTTTGCTGTCAGACCGGATGTCGCTATGAGATCTCAAGAACGATATTGTAGTCTAGAGCCGGAAGCTACCTCGCAAAATCATGGAAACTCTTCAAAGCAGCCAGTACAAAGATCGATATCCACTAGTGTACTCGAGGTTCCAGCTAATGTCGAATTACAACCGAATTATTCACGAGTTAGGGACAGTCTGACGCCATTGCCCTCACCGCCAAAATTGACACGAGCCAAGGCTGAGGATATTTATGCAGAAATTTGTGAGAACGCGGCTGCTCAGAATGCTCAGAAATGTCCTGGGAGTCACGTTATAACGAAAATAAAGATTATTGTTAAGAATGGTAATTCGTATATTGAAAACCAAGGTAATTTTGATAGTGGAAACTATATGAATTCGATGATCTCGGAAGAGCAGATAGACTCCATTATTAGTACAGAAAATGAAGTTATTTACAACACGGTATTTTGAATAGACAAGAAAATTATTCTTTATTTTACCATTTGTGCAATACTCTTGCAAGTGTAACTGATTTGGAATTTTCGAATCAAATTATTTTCATTATCTTGATTGAAATTTATGAATGTATGTAACATGATAGGAAATTCCACAGCGAATAACAGAATTTCATAGGACCACTACGAGGGCTGTGCATACTTGGAAAATTTTTTTAAAAAATTGTTATGTATATTACGTATCAAGATGAATTTGTAATTTTTTAGACACGATTGTGACTTGTAAATATTCCCACTATAGCGAATGAAGAAAATGATGGCCCGCTCAATGTATAGTAAGTTAATGCTTGCGAAACATTTGAACAAAGATCATAATTTTTAATGAGGACTTTATGGTTCTAATAATTAAAATAATGTCTGTTGCGCTCTGTTCAGAATCACTGTGCATTTAAAAAATTGTAATTATTAGTTATAAGTTTTAAATAAACAATTCGAAAAAAAATGTTATTTCTTAAATTCATTCTGTAATGGACAGTAAGTAATTCACCTTACTATTCATCCATTATATTTTTCGCGACAGTTTAAATAAATACAATATATCGTATAGCTTTATATAAACGAGAAGAAATAATTTACAATTAAAAAAATATATGCTGACCTCTACAGATACTGGACTCATAATGAGGTATACAAGTTCATATAATACAAAAAAATGTTTACATATAACAATCGATTTTTCACATTACAATTAATATGTTTTGGCTGAGATGAATGCTTATCGGAACTAATAAAAATATTAGGAAATTATTTTGCTTTACCACGAAATTTGCTGCCACCTGCACCTCTTCCTTTCTTTGCTGGACCCTTTTTCTCTTCAGCCTAGTTAAGTACGAAGTAAAACCATGAAAAATTAGATACCTTTCTATTTATAGGCCCAATAATATCGACAGTAACTTCTCTTACCTTACGTTTCACCGGATTAGAATTTGGTAATACTTTGAAAAACGAATCTAGACGGCCCTGCGTTGAAGTGTTACGCCCCTTCAGTAGTTTTTTAGCGCCACCCCTAACTCTTTCTTCGTTAAATTGTTTATCCCCACAAAGAAATTTAACCAAACCCTCTTCATCAGGATCTGTCCATTTCAGCTATTCAAACACAATATACATATTTCATGAAGTTTATGATAGTTAATTGATGACGTATTTGTAATTTTCAATTATATAATACCTATAAAACGACATTTAAAATCTGATGAAACTTACCTCGATCTCGTCTGGATTAGTTATTTCTGGTTCCTGAAACAGTAGTCTAGCCTGTTTATAGTTCCAGTCCTCAGGAACTGGGAATTTTTTTGTATCCAAATTCTCCATAATTTTTTCTAAGGATCTGTATGTTTTTATTAAATCCATGGCTCTCTTGGGACCCACTCCCTTGATACTATGTGTATAATCACATCCTAACATTATACAAAGATCAATAAACTGCAAACCAAATTGTTTCTCAATTAACATGAATTCTTATCTCAAAATTGACAAAGGTTTTTCAAAATAAATACCTCATCCTTGTTCAACTCCAAACCTTCTAAAACCTTGTCATAGTGAAATTCCTGTACAGGCATTTTACGTGCTTCACTAAATGTCAATCGGCGCAACAAAATATTACATCCAAACGTAAGAGCATCCATGTCTTCGGTTGCTGTAGCAAAAACCTTTCCAGATTTCACTAATGCGGCACATTGAGCTTCTGCTTCACAGGGAGCCTAAATACAAATTTTTAAATTTACATTGCAGAAAAAGATAATCACTTAAAAATTGTAAATTCATTGGATAAAATATCTCACATCAACATATGGAATCCCCATTAGCTTGAGTAATTGTTTGGCTTCTTCTCCATGCTGTTTTGTCACTTTGACTAATCTTCTGTTAAATTTATTAATATCTTCCAAGTTACCTTTATAAAAAAAAAATCAATATAGTTCTTATACATGCATGATTTCTAGGGCAATGAATTGTACACATATTTTAAAGAAAAGTTAAAAATAACTACCAGCTTCTTCTGCAGCTTGCAAAAGTTTCTGAGCTTCATCTCGCCTTTCAGCCCGTTTAGTTAATTCACCTCCTTTGAGATTCGGGGGTTTGCCATCAAAAACATAGACTGGTTTTAACCCTTGTTCAACTAATCTTATCGTTCTGTAGAATGTCCCCATAAGATGGCTGGGAAAAATAAAATAGAATTCTACTTCATATAACAAAATGAGAAAACATTCTATAGATGCCATACATAAACAATTTTATCTTACCTTGTTGTCTCACCATCCACTGAAGTAAGTTGAGCTCCTTCACTGCGTACAGCAATAAGGAATTGATACAAACACATAGAGGCGTCAATAGCTATTTTACGGCCTGAAATGGAATATAAGAAATAGTACAGAAACTGATTCACTTCATAACAATAAATACTCGTTGCTTCTTTTAAACAAAATTAAGAGATAAGTATATACAAGTGTGATATCATACCAAAGTAGTGTTTTAGTTCTCGTTCTTTGATAGAAGCTGGGGCAATATCAGCAATTAGTTTAGACAATCCTAAAATACCCATCCTGCTTAATTCTCTTAAAAGTCAAGAAATACTTTGAGAAGACTAGGAGACACGCACAGCTTCTTCACGTACGTATACAACTTCCCGCCATTTTCAAGCAAGAACGAGGCGGCTTTTTCACGACTACTAGCAGCGGCACCTGAAGGTCGATTATGTAGCTCGAATATAGTGAAAATACGAAAAGTGAATAACTGTTAGCCAATCGTTGTGCTTGTCTTCATTTAAACCTAACACGCGATTGGCTAATAGCTATTCACTTTTAGCATTTTCACTAAATTTGAGTTACACAATCGACCTCCTGAAAATAAATTCAAAATCCCATTAGGTTTGTCTCGCTACCAACACTTTGTGCGCTTTTCAAAAATGGACAAGTTATCATTGGTTACTTAAAAGTATTATCCAATAAGGATTTGCACTATTTGAAAAGTGCTGAAAATCTAGGTAACGAGAAAAAACCTATTAAAGGCCCAGTACACTCGCTAAACGCACGTTTTAACGCAAATACCTACTAATAACACAATGTGAATTGCTCTGCACGTGTTATACCATTGGTCGATAGTCCGCGTTTTAACGCGGGTTTGATGTGTATGATTGGATCCTAACTGAGGAAGAATAATGATCCTCAACATCCAATCACATCCTATAATGTGCTTTTCTTATACGATTAGCAAACAGAAATATTTGATGACATCTGCTTTGAACGGATATCATCAATTTTTAAAACAGGATAATGCAGAATTTCAATGTAAACCTGTCATGTCTTTTAACATACGCACATGGTTGAATTATGAGCAGTTGTTGTAACCTAAAAGAATTGTGTTATTGTTAATTAGTGAACATTAATCTATTACAAAATGGCAAATGGTTGTGATTTAATAAAAACTATTGAAGAAGATGAAGAAGTTCAAAACTTTTCAGATATTTCTGATGAGGAAGACGATGTTAGTTACAATTATTCTAAGCTTGTAGTCTTATTTGAACATTGTTAAATATTCTTTTGGTTATATGTTGTAAACAATATAATACAGTAAACTATACCTAGACATTTTTTCTAATAAATTATTATAAGGCTGAATTGTTATAATATTTTTATGTATTCAGTTTCAACCACGGAAACAGAAGAAACAGGAGAAAAAGGATTTTGAAAGCAACTTCCAATTTGTGAGTGATGCCTCGCAATATAATCAAGATACATGGAATGATTTGAGCAAGTATATCAAGAGGAAAGCAAAAACAAAACTTGATGATAAAATTAAAAAAATAAGGCTTGAACATGGTGAACAGGTATAGAAAAATATAAACATCTATTTGTTAGAAACTAATTATAGTGATGTTAAATTATTGATTCATTTCATTAGAATGGATCTGTAGAGGATCCTATTAAGCTAGAAGATGAATTTGTAAAGGAGGAGGACCCCTTAGACCTTTCCGATGATGAGTTGAAAAAAGGTAATCATTCTTATGAAAAAGATTATCTAGCTATAACTGAAATGATCTTTACAAATTTTTATTATACCAGATATCTTTAAGACAAAGGAAAGGAAAGGTAAACGAAGAAATTTAGAAAAAGAAGAGGAGTTAATGGATTTCGAGGAATGTGCAGAATATGACGATTATGCCTCTTTCTATCAAATGAATTTATCCCGACCATTATTAAAGGTATCGTTAAAATTACATTGATACATTGTAACTCTTGTAAATGATATCCTGTACAATCATTTTTTTTAAGGCAATCGGAGCAATGAATTTTGTTCATCCAACTCCAATTCAAGCTGCCACGATACCTGTTGCCTTAATGGGACGTGATATCTGCGGCTGTGCTGCAACTGGAACGGGTAAAACTGCTGCGTACATGCTTCCTACTTTAGAAAGATTATTATACAGACCATTGGAAGGCGCTGCAATTTCGCGGGTATTAGTTCTCGTACCGACAAGAGAATTGGGTGTACAAGTATACCAAGTCACTAAGCAATTAGCGCAGTTCACCACTATTGAAATAGGTCTATCAGTTGGTGGTCTGGATGTAAAAATACAAGTAAGTTCTGTTTCAATAAGGAGGATCGCAAAGTGAATAACTTAGAGACATGTAAAATTCTTATTCTTCAATTTGAAAATCAATTATATGACTTCTGTAGGAAACCGTATTAAGAAAAAATCCAGATATTGTCATAGCCACGCCAGGAAGATTGATAGATCACTTGGCAAATACACCAACATTTTCATTAAATAGTATTGAAGTTCTCATTTTGGACGAAGCGGATAGGTATGACAGTCTTTGTTCTTTTAAAACCAAATACTATAACACGCAGAATATACAGGTATAATTGAACACATTTTAGGATGTTGGATGAGTACTTTGCTGAGCAAATGAAGCACATTGTGAAGCAGTGCGCAAGGACTAGACAGACCATTTTGTTCTCTGCTACTATGACGGAAGAAGTAAAAGATTTGGCTGCAGTATCTCTGGATAAACCAGTGAAAGTATTTGTCGACAGTAACCAAGATGTGGCTTTTAATTTAAGACAAGAATTCGTTCGGTAAGTATTTGATTTCAGTAAAATATACACATTTATAGATAACAATTTTCTTTCTTGATTTATAGAATTCGAAGTGATAGAGAGGGAGATCGGGAGGCAATTCTAGCTGCTCTTATTTGTAGAACTTTTCATGACCATGCCATGGTGTTCGTACAAACTAAAAAACAAGCTCATAGACTTCATATCCTTCTAGGCTTATTAGGTGTGAAGGTATGCAGAATTATAGATTCAATATGAAAATGATATGCTGAAATGAAACGTGTAGCAATTTGTTATTGTACACTATAATTACTAATCCTTTAGGTGGGAGAACTTCATGGTAATTTGACACAGCCTCAGCGTCTAGAAAATCTTAGAAAATTCAAAGACGAAGAGATTGATGTATTACTAGCTACTGACGTTGCTGCTCGAGGTTTGGATATCAGTGGTGTGAAAACAGTAATTAATTTTGTAATGCCTGCTACTATTCAACATTACATTCACAGGTAAAAACTTTGTATGTCTTGAGATTTATTACGTCGCAAATATTATTTAACAAATTAAGTTATTTCTGCTTTCCCCTTTAGAGTTGGGAGAACTGCTCGCGCAGGTCGTGCAGGCGTTTCAGTGTCGTTAGCAGGAGAACAGGAACGACATTTGGTAAAAGAAGTTATCAAGCAAGCTAGAAATCCAGTAAAAAATAGAATTATACCACCAGATATTATCGAAAAATATAATAAGAAACTTCGCTCACTTGAGACAGACGTGGAAAGAATTCTTCAGGAAGAGAGCAATGAGAAGGAATTAGCTAAGATAGAAAACCAAGCAAACAGGGTTGAACGGTTACTTAAAGAAGATGACACTAAGAATGAGAGGAGCTGGTTCCAGAGTACTAAGGAAAGAAAAGAAGAAAAAAGTATGTAGCGCATGTTAAAAGTGCCAATAATTTCTTTTTTTGACTACCTATATAGAAAATATGTTCACCATAATTTTTTTAAACTTATAAATATTTATATTTGCAGACAGATTGACGTTAACGGAGAAACAGCCGAAGAATAAAGGGAATAAAGACAAAAAAAATAAAATGGCATCTAACATTGTGGAGGAGAAGACAAGGAGAGACAAGAAAAAAGGACCTAAGAAAGAAACAGCAGAAGACAGAGTAAATAAAGAAATGGAAAAAGTTGCTGCATACCAAGCAAGACTTGCTAAGAAGAAAAATAAATTAAAGAAAATCCGAACAGTCTTAGACGACGATGTTCGTGGCGCGTCCAAGAAGGGTTAGTTGATCATTTAAATTATGAGTTTCGTTGCTCCCTATATATTAATACAATAATAATTGAAATTTTTCAGTATCATCAAAAAGATCGAAATCTTCATTTGCCCAGGACTTAACCGATACCAGTAAGAGGGGCGTTAAAAAGATGCGTTACGAGTAAGCATATTTTGTACATTAATACGTTTATAGAAATTATTCATTTAATTTACCGACTGTTACATTATAACGTCATTGTTTTCAGAGCAAACGACAAAAGAAAACCAAGACCCAAAACTAAATTATTTGGCAAGTCAAAGGCACCCAAAAATAAAGGACGTAGAGGTGGAACTTTCAAGAAACGTTAAAATGTAACAATAAAAAGTAATAAAAATGTATATCGAATACTTTTTGTTCATTTTGCACAAAAGTCACTTCGTTAATAATAATCTTTTCAAGTTCTAAATAGTATGAATGAATAAAGAATATTTACAAATTGATAATTACTACCGTTTTATATCGTTATAAAATGAATCGTATCACTACAATCGTAAAAGAATATTGTTCTTAATAATAGAATTATTCCGACATACAAACAACCTAATACTACTGTTAAATATGCCATTTCAATTGATTTGTTTTATTATAGAACCAATACAATACTTCACTTACGTCACAGACTGACAGATGGATAGCACTGACTATTTAAATCTGTTTTTCTCATTCAGAATATTTATACTCAGTGGTCTATAGCTTTCTCAGAGAAATTACAGCACATTTCAAGAACGATGACAAATTCAACAACCACTTAGAATTCAAAGTAATGGAATCGAGCAATAGCGTGCAAAAAATACTGTACTATTTGATGAACTCTATAACACTGATGCACACGAATGGAATTAATCAAAGAAACGACAATTAACGCCTTTAAATGTGATATCATTGAAGAAAGAAAGAAATTTCTATTACAATATTATATTTTTTCACTCGTCAAGCACTTATGTATTTGCAATTTCAGTGAAGAAGCAATAGCTCCATATCTTTAATGTTATCTATATAATAATCTCAATCAACCATCGCCATTCACAACCTACCTCATTCGCTGTTCTCTCATTCGTCTTATAAATTTAACATTATTCAATACATAGTAATAATAATAATAATGATAATTATAATGTTACGATACCACAAAAAAAGAACTTTGTAAGAACTAGGCCCCTGTGAAGCTTTTTTTCAGATTACACGGAAACTCGTTCCCTTCGTATTTAATAATTTCCTTCGTATGCGAATAATCAAAGGGATAAAAAGATACCGATTAACTTTGGATTGACCTTCTTTACTACGTTAAATAAAGATAACTTTCAATGTTTAAACCGAAAATTTCACGTAATACCATCGCAAAAAAACAAGTGCTATGCATATTCCATATTCGGTATATCTTTAACCAGAACATTATCATAATTACTACAGAAAGGATTGAGTTTGCCGATAGTTATTATACTATTTACATCGTCGAAATCAATGATGTTCGGTCAGCGAGTCGAGGGAAAATACGAAAACGTAAAGTTTGCGTAAATAGCATCGACAGATACTCAGAAAAAGAGAGAGAGAGAGAGAAAGTTAGAAGTAGAGAAAGAGAAAGAATACACTCTCGTCAAATGCTACAGAGAGAATAATCGAAATCTCTTTTTAAATCAGAATAAACAATCGATGGCAGATTCACCTAACTTATCATAGCCAGTGATTTTAGGATTCGAAATCATATCAAATTATAAAAATTCCAGGAATGTCAATCCCGGTTCGTTCACCTGAAACATCTTCAAAAATATGTCAAGGAAATTATTACTTCTTGACATGCGATCACCACTGGATACAAAGATAAGAACTTTCGCATCACTTAATCCTAGCAGTAATGTCGATACCTATTGTATGGATGTTCAATCTTATTGAGACAAAAAGGCAAGCGATGAACGCTAATGAATGAAAATTTTATCAGATATATCAATATATGATCCAAATGAAACGGAAAAAAAATGCTTAGTAATACTAATTATAAAACGGCTACTGTACAACAATGTGTATGTCTTTATTATTCAATAATTATTCAATGATATTAATAAGTAAAATGATATAACTGATACTATTTATGATGTGAGAATTGTAAGTTTTTGGAATTTACCAAAAATTTATATTCAAAGACGCAGTTAGATTAGTTTATACTAAAATGGAAATCCAACTGGCAATATTCTGAAGTTGACAATGAACAGAACAGACATACATATGTTGCTGTACTACTGCCAAAGTATTTAAATAGCGATGCACTTTATACGATTAAAGTAAAATCGACTAATAATAATTAGAAAACAAACAATTTTGGAATACCGAGCCAATTCGCACACACGCTTTAATGAAAATGTAATGTATAGTTATGGGAATCTAACATAGTCATTTTGTTTCCATAGCTCAAAGATATCAGAAAATATAAGTAATTGAAAATAAGTCTTGTTTAACACCAGTACTCTTTCTCGAATGATTTCTGAATTATTAGAGCAGTATATTATTTAAAAAATTTTGATCGAGTACCGAGTAATCCTTTTGACACGAATAAGTAGATACCAGTCAATATCTCTATAAAAAAAAAAGAGATTAATATGTGTGTTGTCAATGTCATAAATTGTCCATTCATTGCTAAAATTTTTCATTTACAGATTTAACAGTATCAGGAAACAATATGACAAATGTCAGAGGGCATTATATTTGGAGTACGATAAACCAATTCGTTAAAAACAGAAAGAAAAACATTTATATGTAGAACTTCCATCATGAAGACACCTAACTTAGAAAGTTGACGCAATGATACACTCACTGTTTTTCGTTAATGCGAGCCTGCGTAAGAATTTAAAAAAGGCTCCGCGTAAAGTGCCATTATAATATACACTGTCAATTCAGGAGTACGAACATCCAAAAGACTACACTGTTTAGGCAGTCATAAAAGACAGTTTAAATTTTACAGTGCTTCGGTATTTATGAAATTTGATAAAACCACTCGGCTGGCACGCATTGACGATTCGAAGTGAGCGTTCCATAGCCTTAACAGCTTAACTCCTAGACATACGCAAACGACTTAGGTATATCAATTGTTGTTTATAACCAAAATATTCTGTTTTCTAATTTGTAAAATGTTTTTAGGTTTTTAGGTTTTTTTTTTAATGCTTCTCATAGTATCATCGCACCCCTTAAGTCCCCCCACCCAAGAACCCGAGCCCCTGCAGCCACCGATCATTACGGTCCATTCACTTAACATTTATTTTGTCCGACTCCCTTAGTGCCCTCTTTGCCGGTGGTTCCTCGATCTGAAAATGTAAAATCATGTTGTGTTAAGGAATTTGTCCATTGACACGTGGATTTTCTCTGTAATATTAAAAAATTGAATAAGTTTTGATTTCTCATACCTCTTCTTCTAAACCGGGCAACTGAATCCTGGTCTCGGATGCTTCCGCGGGCTGTAATGAATGAAAGATGTTGCACAACATTAAACATGAGACACACGTGATAACAATGCAGTTTTATATGAATTGTATACGATATGATACGATATCGAATTTTCGAAATATTACCTGTGCATCAATACATTCCATTTCTCCAATTTGCAGCTTGAAACGATATTAATAAATTGCTTACAAAGGGTCTATTTTGGAATATTTCTGTATAAGAATGAAAGATGATAGCCGATTTATGAATTTATATTATCGATTTAGAAATCGCTTAGCTTGGGATAAAATCTAAATATCAGTTGTCCATATAAGGAGAATCTCGTTAAAGATAAAATAGGAAGAGATTATACAAACAACGATATGTCGATTTAATATTGAAATTATTAAAATAATTATGAATAACTTCTTACCCTTGCATCAGTCTCATTCGGTCCGATGCCTACTTCCTTCTGTTGTTTGGCCTTAGCTCTGCGTTGAGGTCTGTCGTTAACTGTGTGCGCATTGTGCAGAGTTCCTCGACCTTTAGGACTGGACATATTGACCTGCATTTCGGCTGGTAAATAGTTTTTCGTGTTAGCCAGTAACTCGTCAGCACGCTTGAAGTACATTGTAGGAATTCGCGTTTCACTGGGAAACTCTTTAAGGTCAAAGTTGGTCGTTTTGGTGAAGATAACGTTCATCGCGAGATCGCAGACTGCCCACAATTTCTATCGGTGAAACGAAATATTAGATAAACTTTATAAAAGTGAACGAATTTAATTTTGGTACTCACATAATTCATGCTATCATCTTCAGGTTTTAGCGCATCCTTGTGGCTCTTCATTCGCTCAACAAGGTTTTTATAAAATCCATAACAGTAGTACTCATTTTTGGTTATCAGCGGCTCCAAAATGAACCACAGGCATTGCTGAATCACTTTCAGCTGACTAATGTCCATATGACTTGTAAATTCTAGATCATGAGCCAGAATTGGAACAGCAAATACTAGCATGTAGTCTGGCAGAATGTGAGGCAGTTGACCTGTATACAAAAAATTATTATAATTGTTTTTGTTATTGTTGGCGTTGTTGTTGTTGTTATTATTAAATATAATGGATCTTACAATGACTTAGCTATAATTGAAATACTTATGACACGTACCCATAGCCCGTTCCACGGTTCCTAGTGACAACGTCTTTACGTAATCCCTCCTCTTGTTAATATCGGTCTGCATATATGTTTTTAGAACGCATTTCAACCTCTTATCTTGTTCTTTACCAGCAAGAGCATAGTACCCCATGAAATCTAATGGCAGACACTTGTTTGGTATTCCCCTGCCAAGGCCTTTGTGTAATTTGCTTCCAAATGCTTCTCTAACTTGAGGAACGTCGTCCACCATAAGCTGTGATAAGTTGTAAAATTGTTCAGCTGTGAACTGATCTCCAACGCCTTTCTGTTCGCAAATCTTGAGCATAGAGCAGCCGGCTTGCAAACGCAACCAGCTCATCTCGGCTCTGCTCAATCGTCCTTGTTGCAAAAGATCGCCTTTATTCACTACAAAAGCATTCAGCATTCTAAATGTCTTCTGTGCAGACAGTACATCAGTTTTTAGACCCAGCAGCCACCTTGCCATACACTTAAGTCCTTCTAAACGACAACGGGTTTCCTCGGGAAGCTGATCTTCGCGGCACCAATCACCTTCAATAGCGTCAGCAGTTTGCTCACTGTTCTCTTTAACCAGTAACTCTTTGACTATCTGTAAATAAGACCAAGTGTCGATAAATAATATAAAACAAAATTTATTCATCAACATTGCTGTCACTCTCAAAAAATATAAAATCATGATTAATTTACGTACTTTTCTCGACACCATGTTCTTGATTTGTATCTGATATTTGTCCGGCAAATTGTAGGCAATGTGCCCTAGCGTTACGATCGATGTTCTATAATACTCTGACGTAGGCGTTAATGTGTTTTTAATCCTCTCAATAATTTCCGGGAATATAGTGTCATGAATGTTCGTCATGTTTACGAACAAACATCTGATTGCCTGTTTCGCTTGTTTCGGTGTGCCAGTCTCAGCAAAGTTCTTACATATTGGTACCATCAGGTTCATTATGTCAGGTGCCACTTCACAAAGCGGTTTGTACTTTCCGAGAAATGTGAAGATAGAAAGGACCAATGGTCCTACCATTTCATCCTCGAGTTCAAGCAAATGAACAAGTTGCATTAAAATATCATCATGAAGAAAGTGTGGACCAAATACGAATGATAGCATCTGTGAAAAATGCGAACAATAATTATATTTTTTATCTACTAATTTCAGAATTACTCAAATATTGTACTACTTACCACAAGTAATCTCAAACCCTTCTCACCAGCGTTGTTTGGATTTAAACCGACCTCTTCTATAACGTTACCACCCTTTAAGCAGTCTAACACGTATCCAATTAATACCTATACAGAGACAATTGTAACATTATTGACATTGGACACATTATCAATGAATTCTTAATACAATTATTGTATACTCACTCTGATGGCTTCCTCATCAATCATGACAGAACTCACTCTTTCAAGAAGCATCTTGATTGTATTATAGTAGAGATTCGTCATAACAGGTTGACCTAACTTTTTAAGAACAAAACTGATCGTATCTGCGCATTCTTTGCAAGATACAGTTGGTTGTACGATCGTTTCCATTCCTTGCAATAAAGATGGTTCTTTTTTCATGTGGACACTGAATTTTTGTAAAAATTCCTGCACTTTCATAGGATCTGGCAGAAATCGTGATATTTGTAAGATTTTTGACATCAATTCACTCTGGGCATCTGGCTTCTTCACAATTTCTAGCCATTCTACGACGGCTCTCCGCACACTACGAAATTCGATACGTAATAAAAAAGATGTATGATATTTTATACAGAAAATTATATTAATTATCAATTAAACACTAACGCAAGCTGATGTTTCTGAAGTTCTACAAATGCTTTTGATGCGTGATCATCAATGGTACCCAATAAATGGTACAACTTTTTCATTCTCTCTTCGGCTGGTAATTGGTACGGTACCAAACATGTATTCAGTAATCTTTCAACCAACAATCTGTCTTCCATACCAGCCATATAATATCCATGTAAGATCTTATCTTTTATCCAAGTGACGGCTTTCTTTGTAGCCTGGGGCACATCCGCATCATTTAAATGCTTTTTATAAATCATAGCAAGACCAGCCATGGCTTCTTTTCTGATCTTGAACTGTAAATGGAATTAATAGTAGTAAATATTATGTATAATTTCTATACTGAAGGATTTTTTTTTCAATAGCCTAGATTCTCACCTTCTTGTCCAATGTTCTTTCTTTAACAAACTCCAATAAGTCTTCACTGTCAGAAACAACTTCAAAGTCTCTTCTGGCAGTTGTGACAATAGCCATAACAACTTCATATCGCACACTCTCGTCAGCGTCGTGTTGTCTCAACTTTAATGTGTCTGTAATGTCTTTTCTTAATTCAGGATGATTTAATAAAAAGTGCATCGAATACTGCACACATTTTATACGAATGGAGACACTGATGTCATTAAACCTCCCCAAAAATGCTCGCCAAAGCTGGGTATGCTGAATGGCTAATTGTGAACCTTTTTCAGAAAACATTCGAGCAAGCAGAGCAACGGCACCCAATCGTTCATTCTCCAAAGAGGATTTCAATTTACATTCTAATTGCGGAAGGACGGAGAGCAAAACGCTCGGACAGATGTGATTCAGCTCGTAAATTAAGTCGTAGACCTTTTTGCAGATCTGTAAACCTTTTTCCTCTTTGCCCAGGATTAGGACATGATTGAAGAACTGTTAGGAAAACAATAGGTCTTATTAAATATTTTAGAGCAGAATATAGGAAACTGTATACACTAAGTTTTAACAATTAATTAGTATAATTAACTTTTGTCAACCACTCACCGCTTGAATGTAAGGCTCTAAAGTATCGCTACATTTTATTACGAGTTCCTTAGCGAGAAGATACGCATTCTTTTTCTGTGTCTTGTTCGGTTCTACAATATTCATCAGAATAATATCCAACAGTTCATTACTGACGATATCCGACTCGGTAATCAATGGGCAAAGAACATCTAACATGAAACTTTTAACTTTTCCAGAGTGCTCATCACTAAAACAGTTATATTACACGACGATACAGTTATGTAGATATACTCCTACAAATTTCAAAGATTATCGTATACTCACTTGACGATTTTAAACATTAGAGAAAATAATGCGCAGAAAATCTCTTGGCAGTCCTCAAGTTCAAAACACATATTGAAGGATTTGACATACGCCAAATTCTCAAGGAGATAGAAGTATCTTTTAAATGCAGGGTCCTTGGGATCTTTTAAACCAGCCAATTGTTTGATTAGAAACAAAAATATTGTTTTCACCTGCGAAGTATTAATAAAGCTTCAGTAAAACTGTATTGAAAGTATATCATGATGAATATTAGCCTAATAGTAAGTTCAACGGCTACTGATTTATACCAATTTTCGTAAAAATACACAGTATTAGTAATTACCTGATCAGCATCTTTATATGGAGCTTCTGGAGCATAGACCCTTAGAACATCAGCTATGCAACATGCAATAAGTAGCTGTACATCTTTACTTTGGTGCATCAGAAAATGTTCTTCAGCCAAATGTAAAGCTAAAGGAATGTACTGTTGGTACATTCCCTCATCTTGGCCCATTGCTTGCAATGTGTGTGCAAGAGTCTATATGTCAAATAGTTACACATAATATAAACATTTATATATATTATACTAGTCAACTGCTTATTAACAAAACCATTTACTTGTAAATTAATTTGAGAAAAATGCATAATATGGAATCAATCTAAGACAGAAATCGTTTGGATTCAGATATACGATTATTGGCAAATGAGAAATGCAATCAAGCATTTTTTTACATGGTAAAACTTACTTATTTATATATTATTATACTCAACAATATGAATAAAACTCTAAGAATTTGAAGGAAGAAAAAGGTGAAAAATAGTTTAGAATACATTCAAATACCTTGAGTCTTCTGATTAATTCATCTGGACCAAGATCTTCTGTAACAGATCTGCACCCTTGAGGGTACACTATTTCTGACATGGTGTCAGCTGAATGATCCAGGTAGATTTGCGAAACTGTTTATCACAGAATTGGCTTAGAATACCGTCCAAACTCTGTAACAGATTAAAGGCACAGAGTGAATTAAAATATTAATTTAGATAATTTACACTTCTTCGCTTGAACATAGAATTACAGAAACATTAATAATTCATTCAATAAAAAATAAACATTTTTCTACAAAAATTTGAATAATCAATTGTGCAGAATCATTATATACCAATAATAAAATTATATTAAAAGCTTTCTATAAACGTTACATATGATTTTACTATTAAAAAACTTTTTTTTGTAAGTAGTTATTTGAAATATCTACCACGTTCATCTACTTTCTTAATGCTAAATATATTAATTTTTTAATATTGGAATCAAATTTGAATACAGATATTAAATGAACATTACTTTAAACACAAAGAGATATTAGGTCACTTTATCCACCACATAATAAGTTGATTAATTAAACATAATGGGGGACTATAAATGTTTATATGAAAAATATTGGTTCTATTACATAGGGATTTTTAAAATTCGTTAAAACTCTATAAAAAGCTCTAATAAAAAAAAAACCTATGGAGAATATGAACACGGAGTTTCCTATATACAGATAAAAGTGGTGGTAGCAATAACGCTTAACTTCAATTATATTGCATACCTAGCAAAGGATGCATCATTACGAAATGTAAGAAGCTGAAAGGTTATGTCTAGTGGTTGTGCACGTATGCAACACCTAACGTAAACAATAATAATTTCTGAAATTCACGTTGAAAAGCATTGCTATTCCGTGATCTTATATCGCTTAATAAAAATAATACGGCGCATATATTAAGAGAAAAGTATTACCTCAGGATATGCATAGACACCGTAAGGCCTATGACACTCAAAATATCAATAAAGCAAATATATCTGTCGAGGCACACGACACTGCCTTAGTTTATCACACGAACTGCACTTTTCGAGAACTCCTCACCACTAGACATAAATACGGCGATTTCGTCATAATTTTCGCGATTTCCCGCAAACTCTTTGCATGGTAAAACGGTTAAAACCTCACCAAAAAGTGATAAAACTGGTCCTACAAACGGTTAACCGTGTCAAAGGACGCGACAGCGCAATTCGACACTTTGAAGTTGGCTACGCATAGCCACGTTTGAAGGAAGCGTTCATAAAAATGTCCTCATTTTCTATATGCGAAATGAGCAATACAATCATTTCATGACATACTATAAACAGAGATAAAAACGTTAATGTAATTTAAAAACTAAAGTAAATTGTAATAAATATTACTTAATTGTCAAATCATCTCAGAAGTAGATAATTAATAAGTTTTGTCAACAGACAATCTTGATGTCAGTAGCCGATGTAAACGGCGCATTTTTCCTTTAAACTAATAAATTATTGATATTACAATTAATTGTAACAGTTCTCAAAGACTTCATAAAATATTTATTATATCAAATTATTAATCAAATGAAGCACAGATATATTGATAAGACCAATTTTTCAGAGTGAAGGCGATACGACTATAAGTTTGGACCGGCGGTGCTCTGTTCGTGGGATAGTGTCGCCGGAAGTTAGGTAAGTTGGGGTCGAAGGTGTTGCTCAGTGTTGCTTCGACTTCAAGTCTATTGAAATTTCCTTCTCTTTGGACACGTGCAGCGAGTACGTGAGCTGGTTCAGCGCTGATCAGTTTTTTCCAATTGTAACTCGATCATCTCGACCAGGAAAAGGAACTTATAATGGTAAATAATTGTTTGTGTATGTAATTTAACTAAAATTTACTTTTTCGTAATTTAAAAGAAAAAGACTTGACATAATTAGAAAAATGTGTAGGCTTTTAGGTTGTGTTAATGGACGCGACGCTGTGACACATCATAAATTACTTTAATAAGACCTTAGCCGATTACAACTATCATTCGCAGTAAATTAATATAATTGTATTATTTTATTGCAGGCGAGTTTGAAAACCGACAATCCTGAAAAACCAGGACAGGAAGTAACTCCTATCCATCGTATCAGGATTACTCTCACTTCTCGCAATGTTCGTTCTTTGGAGAAAGGTATGTATATTCGAAATATTATTCAGATTATATTTTACCGATTGATATCGTTTTTATGTTTTTAATTGCTTCAGTGTGCTCTGAACTGATCAATGGAGCGAAGAAGCAAAAGCTAAAAGTTAAGGGACCTGTGCGCATGCCTACAAAGATTCTGAGGATCACCACTCGTAAGACTCCTTGTGGTGAAGGTTCCAAAACATGGGATCGCTTCCAGATGCGCATTCACAAGAGGGTCATTGATCTTTATTCTCCATCAGAAATTGTGAAGCAAATCACAAGCATTTCTATTGAACCTGGTGTAGAAGTTGAGGTCACAATCGCCAATGAATAAAAAGTTTTAATAAAATTGAGAACTTAACAAAAATTGAAGAGCATTGTTCTGTTTTTTACCTTGATCTATACCATTCTCAAAGAAAAATCCCAATTTCTTTACGTAGATAATTTAAGATAGTTAATTTATTCCTTGCTTGAGGCAAAGTATCAGCAATTTCATTGTATAAAACAACAAACAATTACATCACCATGGAAATAATAAATTGTGCAGCCTTAATCAAAGGTTTACATAAACAGTAATTTACAACTTTTTTGAGGTTTATTGAATTTATTTGTAAAATTCTGTAACATCATGTCAAGCTAGAGGGTGTTATTCAGTGTTGTATGACGTTGACCAAGGGCAAAGTCAAGTACCAAAATCAGTTGTACAAGTATGTAATTTGTTGGTTGATCACAAGTTCAATCTTCCTCCGGAGACTCGTTTTCGCCTTTACCATCTTCCTCACCACCTTCACCTCCACTGAAGTCACCCATGCCTTCAACTTCTTCCTCATCATCGTCACCAGCTACTTCGGCATTCTCCATTTGAGCTCTCTCCATTTGCCTCGCCAATTCGATTTCATCGGTAGCTGTTACTACCTTCGGCTGTACAAATAAAAGAAATTGTTTGAAATTTATCCAAAACTGTTCAGAGATAATATACAAAACATCTTACAGCCATTTGAATATTAAAGACGCCACCTAACGATGTAATTTTACTTTGTATGACTTCAATCGCATCATCTAGTGCTTTCAAACCATCTTGCTTTTCCGGCGTTGACGTTGTCATTACTAAATATAAAAATTTGATTTTTAATTGTCCATTCGATACATCATTATAATGCTTAGCTATTATATATGCTAGTTATATATTACCATATAGTGGTGGAGCTATTAAATTGATTTTTATTGGCAGCTCTTCAGTAGAAAGGGCCAAACCCGCTTTTAAAGCAGTTTTTACAGCATCAATTCCTTCGTAGCCGTAACAAGCAACTTCCACATCAGCTCTTATTTTCACTGCTTGAGATGTGAGTTTTCGCTTAATGTTATTCAATAACACTTCTTTAGTGTGTTCATCAAGTCCACATTCCGCAAGAATTGAAGGGTCCCTATGATAAATATAATGAATAAGTTTTTTGTTAATCCAAACCTGGAATATATACTTACGATACTGATTGTTTAAAAAAATCATAGGCCGATGCCTTCTGTTTTTTGTATTTTTCCTCAAAATACCATGCTGTCTTTTGATAAAGCTCCTCAAGTTGGTCATCACTATCATAATGCAAAAGTTCAGCAACATGTCTCAAAATTGAATTAACAGCTTTAGCCTTTGCATATCGCTCTGTGCATTTTTCTACATCTTCAGCTGAGACTCTGCGTTTACTCAGATCAATATAGCCTAAATAAATTCAATCATAATGTTCAATACAAACAACATTATGGGTATACTCTCTGAATTTTTATTTAAAGAGTATATTCGAGATTGTATAAAGTTTATTAATATACCTTTTTCCTTGTCAACACGAATGACAACAACTGGCTCAGTTTTACCCACTCTGATAAGTTTATTGATTGATCGAATACGTCTCCTTGATAATTCTGACAACAGAATCATACCCTCTATATTGTTGTATTCTAACAGGTGCACATATGCACCCATTTCAGCTATACTACGGACATTGACCATAACAACGTCTTCCACCTCAGGGTACTTTTCTTTATAAAACCGGCACGACAGCACCATCTTGACTAAAATTATAATTAATATGATATAATAACATATACAAATATTTATAAATACTTTTACATTTATACAAGACTATATTTTGTTGATGTGAAAGAAATACGTACATCAGAAATATAATTAACAAATGTTGTCAGAAGTTACTAATATTTATATTTAGTTAGTTTTCAAATATACTAAAAAATATATTTGCCATAGAAGAAAATGTTGCATCATCGAAACATAAGTAACGTTTTTACAATAGAAAATTGAATTATGAGATTGAATATATTTGGGAAAAGTAAAGGATATAGCAAAAATCCAATTTATCTATAATATATTAATTGGCAAGGTGTGAAAGGTTAGCAGGGAGGTTAGATATACGAAAACTCTAAAAACTGATAATATTAATATCTATGCTTACCTGAATAATGCTCTATCTAGAATAATGAATGTAAAGATTATTTACACTAATAAAACTGACGAAGAATAGCGCAAGTTTATATAAATATGTCAATAATCCATGTGCAATCTTGATTTCATATCCAGACGGGCCTCTGAAAGAGAAACCAGCGGTTCCCAACCAGCGTCAACGTATCCACCGTGGAATAACAATGAAGTTAGGTGTAATGTCAAAAATAGATGTCAATAACAACTCTATCGACTCCGCTAAATTCATCAAAAAAAATAAATTAAACGTCAAATATTAACATGACTTACTGCATCGTGGCTCCCTTTTATTCATATGCTTCATTTCAAACACTAACTATAAATATGGGCTATAAGAACAACTGGTATTAGTGTATATAACTGTAAAGAATATAAATACTGTTTTCCATACTACAAACGAATTCGTGTTTCCATTTCCTGGTTACGATATTTCGGATCCATTCAACATATAAAACATAAGTTTATGAAAGAAACATCGAATACTTTTAAAATGATATTAAATGTAAGCGTAATTGGTAAGAGCTATACCACCAGCTCCTAATATCATGTAACTATGACATTTATTCTGTACGATTCCTTACGTTGAGTAGTCAATAACCTCATATATTTCTTACTAATCTACGTAACGGATCTGCGGATTTGAAGCTTGCTTAAACATTAACACGGATAAAGCCCAGAAGTGATATATTCAATTAAATAACACAAATCTATAAAGAAAATGTGGGTGTTTGGCTATGGCTCTCTCATATGGAAGGTCGATTTTCCATATGAAAGGAAATTGGTGGGACATATCAAAGGATACGTGAGACGATTTTATCAGAAAAGCACGGATCACAGAGGAGTGCCCAGTAGGGTGGGTTTCTTAAGAAAGGGTGCGTTCTTATCTACACGCGATGATTTAACTTATCTGTCACATATACAAAATTATGTTACTTGTATCTGATACATGGATATTTTATGATTGAATAATCAGTCTACTTAATTGATTGAGAAACATGAGATAACGATATTTTATATTTGTGTTTGAAAAATCAACAAAGAACGCACTCATATTTTTAATACTTCTTGCTTATGTATATTTTTTACTTTTCAGCCAGGAAGAGTGGTTACTCTTTTATCATCAAAGAATCCTAATGATGAGGTGTGGGGTGTAGCTTACAAAATAGCTGCAGAAAATATAGACAATGTCGTTAATCATTTAGACTTTCGAGAAAAAGGAGGATACAGACGACAAACTGTTCTGTTTCACCCATGCAATCCTCAGCAAAGCATTGATGGAGAGGACATTACTGCTTCTTCAAATTGGCATATGAACTCTGTGGAACCATCAGTATCTACATCTTTGGAAGAAGCACCATTCTATTTGACAATCTATATAGGTGGTGAAGATAACCCTAATTTTGCTGGCATAGAGGATATAAATACGATAGCTAGACATATTCTCGAATCTAGAGGACCAAGCGGACCTAACACAGAGTATCTTTATAAGTTGGCAACTGCCATGCGTCTAGTAGTTCCAGGTGTTTATGATGAACATCTATTTACCTTGGAGGCAGCTGTAATGAAATTAGAAAATGAAAGAGATAGAGAGTTATTAGAGGTAGATGAATATTTGGACAACCATAAATCAAAATAAGGATTTTTTGTATGAATTAGGTTCAATTGCAAATGTAGACATGAATTTCATAATTTATTAAACTCTATTGAATAGTACAGAATAGAACAATAATATATTCTGCTAACCTATTATTCTCAGCTGTTTGAATCACAAATGAGAGTTGCACAGATATATCAAAATATTTAGCAATGAGGAAATACAGTTTTTTCGTATCTTTTGATGTATATACAAGTTTTTAATATACATTTACTAAACAGGAAGTTATACATAAAATTTGACAAACAACCAATTACATGAAAATTAACATTCAATATATTTAATTTCTTGTAATTGAAAACAATATTTGATATGAACTTGGACAGTGAATGCACATTTACATGTTCAAAAATTTATAATTACATAATATCAGTCTTATAACAAAAAAATAAAAAGTTTATTAACGGCTGCCTATTTATTATAACCAAAAATTCTGCAAATTTATTTTTGGCATAGCTATAATAAGTATTTTGACAAAAATGTTTAAAAATCGTCTCAATCTTTTAAATGTTTTTTACTTTGCCTTGAAAGTATTATTTATAAAATATATCTTCATTTCTTCTGTTTACTGTATACTTTGTACGTTGTACGACATATAATGTGAGTACGTTAGAACCCTGCATTTAGGGAATTCGTTATTTATGCTTTATTATCAATAATCATAAACAGAATAATTGATTTCATTGTAAACACAGCTTTCAAAGTGATTTAAAAAAATTAATAGCAACAGTTACGTTATATTATTTTGAAAATACATCATGAACGGACTATTTTTCGTGATGTAGAATAGCGTGCAATGTCGCGCAATGATCAGCTGAGCTAAGCGACGCCATTACTACATTTGTAGGTAACTGTCAAATACGGGACAGTGTAGTCTACCCGATTCTATCTTCTTCCTAAACCGTAAAACACAAAAAAGGACGGATATTGGGTGATTTCTTGAAGTAGGAGCGTTTTGGACGCATCCGGGTAAGTAATTAAACATATAGACTGATATATTATTCATATTTTGACAGTGCACAGCATCTACTAGTCAGACTAAGAGAAACATAAATGACGCGTAGTTTGTTCTTCGTCGAATATTCGCCACACGAGTCTTTAACCAATGATCAATAGGTCGATGACCGTCTTCTTTATATTTGACAAGACGCCAATTATTATATATTTATGTTAGTTTACGCACTGATACAAACGGAATGGACGGTAGCAATAGGTGGCATAATGTCTACACGTAGTCATCTGCAATATTAATCGTTCCTCGTAAGTTCAGTATAAAACTCAATTTATGACTGTTACTTATATGAAGGAAGTCGCACAATGTAATAAAGTTAGTCTATATATATAATAGTTTTATGCATATAACTATTATTCAATTAAATTTATGGATTAGTTCAAAATGTTAAAATTGACTCTTTGTTATTGGTATGCTTGACTGGAATGGAAAAGTTAACTTTATAAGTGGGAGGGCTGTTACTTGCTTAATGTTACACAGTTTTAAAACTTTTTCAATGAGCAGTGTTTTCTCAAGGTAAGAACACATCAACGTGTAATAGTTTCATAACCTAATTCTTGATATAACCTCTGAGAACGTCGGGGTACGATTAGAAACGAATTTACGTCATTTATGACGGGTATATCGGAGATAAAATTCAATATCGTCTTACTCTGAAGTTGTTTTATCGTGTAAAAGAATGTCTACATTATATATGTAGATGAACGTTCATTTTAATATACAAGATATTATAGTTTATATTGGGAGCAATGAAATATAAAAATAAATGCACGTTTCATCTAATTGTTGGATTGGAAATAATGCATAGGAGCCTAGCAACGTAAATATTCTGTTCTTTTGTCATTTAAAATGGATAACTATTCATCAAAAAATGTTAATTTACGAGGATGATAGTATATGTATATCTGGTATACTATATGGGACTATAATCATTACGGCCATTTTTTAACTGCGATGGCCTCATTAGTCTTCTACAGAATGGAACATTAGAGCTTAAAAGCAAGTCTAACTTTTGTATCCGGTTTTCCCTCGAGTTATTTGTAAACTTCACGGGATAAATTACATTTAATGAAACGAGCTCGGCCTTGGAGTTGCTTACTTCGTTCTATTATTAGTTGATAATAATTAAATCTTTATTCAATAACAACATTTCATTACAGCACTGATTGACCTTAGTTACGTACATATTACTATATCATTCATTTCTTATAATATAGTCACTTCTAGGATGAAAAGAAAATGACATAAGAAAGGTGTTTTCGAATATATTTTAATTTTCGGTTTTGCATTATTTAATGTAAAACTGGAAACGTTATAGTTTTCAGGGTCATTTAATTATGCCCTATATCGACGTACGTACGACACTCGTAAAGACACATTGATTCCGCTTCTATCCGACAACCTACTGCCATTGGCACTTCTCATGAAAAAGAAAGAGCGATGCATCATTTATTTGTGATATGGTGCTCATAAATTCTCAGTATTACTATTTCATGATATAATTTGTATGCCTTAATTTGAATTTATATGTATAATTCTGAACTTGCAAGCGTATGGTGAGAATGTTGATTATATTGGAATCACCTTGTATAATCGTGCTATAAGGTCAGTTCCACTTTGACAGGCTAAGTCCTTATGACTTTTAATAAGAGTCCTTCAAAAATGGAACTGATAGGATGGCCAAGCACAGCAGCTGACGTGTCAATCTAGTATCCGTATTTAAAAATATTAACATTTCATACCTTCATACGCAAAAACTATTCAAGCTGGAATATTAAAGTTTCAAATTAATTATTCAGACTATGTACCATTCGAAAGAGTATGACCTCAGAGGAATTTTAGTAATATTCATAGTAACAGCTCGTGGAATCGCATACTATATGCGATAGTATCTTAACTTCAAAATGGCGTCCGGTGTAGTTCCATGCTACGGATTTTCCGTAGAATTTGACATAAATACTCCGTTTCATTAAGGTACCATAGAGTATTTGAAAGATTGATTACTGTTTCTAATAATAAGCGAGTTTCCTTAATTCTGGTTAGTTTTATGAACAAGCGGAATATACCTGAAACAGTTGGTAGAAGTATCGTACGATGGTTCTCAGCTGTTAACGGTCTCATTCTGTAAAATTGAGGAGTATTGACATACTTTATTTCTCTGCAGTTAAGGACTGATACATGCGCCTGGAATTTTTTGAGGCACACATATTTTTAGCCTACTGTATAAGGTTTAGATCATTCTAGATTGGTTTTTTTCATGTGGCCGCCTCAACACATTAGAGAGGAAAGAAGCAAGTTCAGACAGGAATGAATGTCGCGACGGCTATCCCCACCAAAGGCAAGCAGCTCTTTTCCCTTCTCCGACAACAAAGCTACCATGGCCAGCCGCGTATTTCCGTGTCCTGAATAATTTCAAAAACTGGATTTCAATGACGTTCCACTTTTTAAACTACCTCGCATAGTAAATTCCTCTTCAGTAATCATGTAATTGTACATGTTGAACATGTAAAAGAGAAACTGGAATTCGCAACTGCAAAATCCAATGGCAACCCTTGAATTTGAGCATGATACAAGTAATTTTTAATTGTATTATCTTAGTAAAACAATTAACGAATATATACAAATTTTATTTAACATTATTGTTTCAAGGATACTATCACAATTAAAATTAAACTCTTATCCTACTACCCCACACATGATTCGTCTGATTGACTAGAACAGTAGTTTTATAGTACACAGTTATTGGATAGTAATGTACATTTGTAATGTGTTAATACACAGCACACTGACTCTTTGGGTTGATGAGCTGTTCACACAATGAACGATTGAGCCAAAGAGGAGTAAGATCGTAAAATCGATCTGACAATGGAAATACGCCAGCCGTTCGTGCGTCACCTCGGGTAGTTTCGGAGTTCGCTTCGTTTATCTTCGACTAGGCTCGGAGAGACTGCTAGTTGCTTACTGGATTCAGATGCAGTCAACGGTTCGAGGAGAACGCTTTTCGCGCTCTTTCGTCCGCAGGAGCGGTCGTTTTTGCGTAAAAGATTATCAAAAAAGTGTCAGATTCGTGAATACCTGTACTTATATAGAAATACTGTAAGTCATTCGAAAAGTAAGAACGTAAATACCAATCGGAATTGTGTGACAGTCATAAGAAAGTAGTGATCACGAAACCTTCCCGCCAAGGATAACCTATCGAGCTGAACGAGCGAACCAATAATACACCTACGTTCATCGTTACACAACTGCTTAATTCAAGAAGATACAGTCATCGACATAAACTACATCACTATAAAATATAATATTTGTACCATTCTTAAACTGCAAGTAAGTCTTGAAATAGTATTATACATTCCACTGCAACCGATCATCAAGGAAGAAAATAGGCGGAACCCAAGATAAAAGTAACTCGTAAGACTGACTATCGTATTAAGGATTAACTCGTAAACAATAAATATTAAATAATTGTGTGCCTGATAAATCCTTCGTGGAGATAATCTACATAAAGAATTAACGCAATTCAACATTGTTTCTCTACGTGTTTACGACCGCGTCATCTTCGTGTGTGTTCGGGAATCTTCGGTTGGTTTTGACATTTCGTTGCATCAGCCGTTACACGCTGCGCGAGTCTCTTTGTTCAACACGCTATAGTACAAACTTTCTTCTCTATACATGTACTTCTGTGATATTTGTGGCTCTCTAGGGACTTATTTCAACCGATCAGTAAGTAAATATTATATACGTAAGAGAAATATAATAAACAATTACGTCACAACCGTAATTCGTGCGTCATAGGATATTCATGTGCACTGACGAAATTCCTAGTAGAATAAAAATCGTTTATGTAAAAACTTGATGAATTGCTATGAACTAAACTTATAGAAATTTATTACAGTCATAAATTTTCGAAGCTCAATGTTAGTAAACGTTTGCTTACAGAACTTCAAGTGACTAGCTCAGTCTGTGCAGCTCTAAATTCAGCTATATTGGTATAAAATAATTTAATAGATAGTTGAGGTAATGCGATCGTGCGGTTTTTATTCGAAATAAGTTTGCAATCGTCATTCAAATAAGTTTTCACAAACTTTCTTCAGGAACGTGCCTGAACTGCGTGCGTGCATGCACGATAAGTGAGAGCGCCGCGGTGTAAACAAAGAAAATATCGTAGCGGAGTCAGAAATACGTATTTCTCAGCCTTAGTATATATAATTATATAATTTAATAAGAGAAAATCATGTTTCTCGGTCATTAGCTCCCAGAATAAGTTTTTGATTAGATGGGAAGTGTGTTTCATTATCCGATTAAAGTAATGCTAGAACGATAAAAAATATATACAAACAAGAAAATGCAATTCAAGGGTGATTCTCTACATTAATTTACTATTTAAATAAATTTTTCATCAAAGTTATTTAGATAAATTTATCAATTAAATGTTATCGTTTGAAATTCAACCTCAATGACCCTCCCTCTACGATCAACATGAGATCATATCGTGACATCATATGAAACTGCGTCTTACCAGAACTGATTCTTATCACTTTAAATTTCACGATTACTTAAATGTGCTGTATTTAATGTTGTCAATTGGCATTAATATCCAGTGGGGAGACTAACGATATTATTATGTTGCACGTTCCATTTCACTGATTGCCCCAGAAGAATAATTATTTTTCATTTACAGATACACATTAGAATAATTAAAAAACGTGGACTGCTCGTTATTTCTATATAAACACAAGACTGAAAGTTTAAAGCAATCAGAACACAATTAATTATGCTTAGTAAATATGAGTCTTATCTGTATGCACGTATATAGTATGTGACCCGTTTTCAACGGAAATGTGATTATTGCCAATGCTCATTCGCTACTTTTTTTTTTCCCTAGAATGTAATCCTCATGTACTTCCGTAGGCATAGATAAACATATAAATGAGCCAATCACTCATCATTACTATAGTTTAAGCTCTTGGGAACAGTCTTGGGTAACAAGGCGTTCACGTCACGCCAGCTTGTATCTATATCGGTCCAAGTGAACTTGACACAGCCATCTTACAATCATCTTTTGTCCATCCGATCTTTGAAGGTTATGTAAGCATTCCTATAGGTTGATCTCATATTCCTTTATATACGTATATACAAAACTCTTATCCACCCGTAGACTAAATGAATATAAAATTGAAGTAAACAAATCAATTATACAAAAGAGAAACTACTGAGTACTGTAACCATTGGTTACAATAAGTTAAGGTTGGATATTGTTGGAGGTTCTAGAAATGAGTCACCTTCATTTTTATAACGGCATTGGAAAAATCAACGTTTCTTATGTAATAGTCGTGTCTATATCAGGAAATATTAGAGATTAGTTTTTTTTTTAAATGCTATGTTGAAACTTTCATACGATTAACGTTGAGACTGATACCTCTGTGATTTATCGTAGAGATATCGTAGAGTTAATGGATAAATTCAATAGTTTTCCGATAGTTGTTACGCTCACATGAATAATGCAGAAATAAAAAAATTCATGACATTAAAGTTACAGTGTCGAATTATCATGATTGCCAATAGCTGGACGTCGTAATATTGTCAAGCTATTTCGAAGTCACGTATTGGAGAGATGCGAGCGGAACGTTAGAACTTCTGATGAAATACCAGATTTACTCCTTCGCGGGTGCGGGACATAACCTACATACTCAGGAAGATGCGTAGTAGAAAGCGTTACTACGTGGGATTACGTGATATTTACGCTTTCCTCACTTAACCATAAATTGTAAAATTCAATGTGTTACACTTATCGCTTTTAAAAATTTCGGATCATGGATTTCGTATTTTTGGATATTCTTCTAGGTCCCGGCCATTTATACTTCGACGCTTCCGCAAAGCACTTTTCGACGCAATTGTATTTTTGTTTGCAGACGAAATCAAAAATGTTTGACGCGTTGTTTATACTTTTTGCAAAACATCTTACGAAATCGTACGTAAAAAGTTATCAGGTGGTATAATCACGATACTTCAGGGTCCTTGTCGTATTTGGGCAAATTAATACGCGCGAAAGATCAGCTCGTTCTGAGTCATTATTATTGATGAACACACTTATAAATCTACGTGCTACAAAAGGCGATGAGCGATTGGTCCTTGGTATCGTGTTGTTTACACATGATATATCGGTAAATATATTTTACTAATTACAGTATGCAGAATCGTGTAGTGTACGAGTGAAGTGACGGGCATTTAGAGTCACGTACTTGGTTTTGAAAATCTTGATATGAATATTTCGATTTCGTATCTTTAATCTATTGTTTAAGGAAAATCTTTTCCAGATAACGAAATTACTTTAAGCCACTTTTGGGATAGTGACTGACTCAAGCGTTTGGGGTTTTTGTCTCTTAAAATGCGTACTACGGACTGTTGTGACACACTGACGTATTTTTGCAGTGTATGAGAAGCACGTAGGAAATACTGCCTTACCCATGTTAGATTAGAAGATTAGGAGCGACCTCAAGTTCATTACGAAATAATGTAAGAGCCTAGGTGCTCCTTGACATTTTGTAAATTGACCTTCTACGCGCGTTGCCTGCAGTTGAGATTGAATTTGGCGGATAATTTTGGCTCTGACGTTGGCCTTTTTTTACGTCATGGTTTTTTTTTAGTGACTGCATAAAGTTTACCTGGAACATTAAAAATATTTTTCGAATGCTCGTTTCAACGGGAAAAGTGATTCGCGAAATTCGTGAAAATTATTCATTAAAATTAGGATTCGCAATATCGATAATGTACGTGGTAATAAGCTGATGCTATAAAAATACAAGCACTCAATGACTAGCTTCTTACCAAGAATTGGCATGTATGGTCGGTCGTTGTCCGGTGTTTAAAAAAAAACCTCTTGCATAATCTACGCTACGTTAGTTGACGATCCGTTACTATTTTTGTTCTGTTGGCAAATAGAACCCTCGTAATGCCGCGGCTGTAGTGGATACACAGGGGTAGTAACCCTGTTCTCGTAGAAAGTCTTGTAGGCTGGTTTACATAACTAATGGTCGTGCTACTATATATGTATGCATATCATGAACCAATTTAAAATCTTATAATCTTTTTTATACAAGTACCTTTATATCGATTAAAGTTCTCGGTGATGATCTTGATGTTACCGTTTAGATGGCTTTTGTAAATGTCGTGCTAAAAATAATTTTTTTGGTTGTGTTGAGAGTTGCGCAAAAGTCTAAAAGCGCACGAGTTTGTTTACTAAGGACGCCAGAATTTTATTCTTTTTCGACCTCGTAACGAATCTCATCGCGCGTAATTTCCTTTGCTAAAAGAAGTCATGGGAGGTCATGCTGACGTGTCTTTATAAATTTGCGATCTTGATCTGAATTTCCTAAGACAATTTTTTGGTATGCAATATTCTTGAATAACATTCCAAACGCATGATTCTAAGTGACTTAATACGCATTATATTTAAAAAATGTATATCTATAATGTTACATATATTTACAAAAGAAATCTTACTAAAATCCCAGCATGTTCGTTAATAACGAAAACTGGAATTGAGCAACTGTCAACCTCTCTGCATCAGAATAGAGAAATCAAATGCGTGTCAGATAGAAACTCCCAATAATCCTTGAATCGTGGCAATTGCTTAAAAGTTACAGAGCACTTCTCTTTCTACAACTACAAGAAGCGATTCTTATTTGAAAAGTGAATGTATTATTCGATTACAAACTTATGTCCTTGCATGTTTGAAACACAGCTATACCTGCTGAACTTGTAGCAATCTAACATAACATGAAATTGCAGTTGGCTAACAAAATAGAAACTTGAGAGGAAGCTCACTGAAGATCGAAGGACAAATACCAATAATGGAAATTTGTTTGGATTTATTCTAATATGGAATATATCAGCCCGTACCAATTCCTAATTTGTAAATTCATTTTACACGCAGACAGAAATTTTAAGACTCTCTATTCCCTGAACCCAACTATATTATAGTAGAATCACTCTCGGGTATTCTCGAGATCTTGCGTACACTGCCCTGGTAGCGGCCAATGCCCCCAATTATGTTCCTTTACTGCTGGCTTTGTTTTTCTGAGGTTGAGAAGAGTACGACTCTGTATACTGATATCTGTCAGCGTATTCCATGATTTATATTTACTAAGTTTTCTAGGGTCCGGCGTAGAGAATAAGTCACTTAGATATAACGGCAAATACTCTACGGAAATAAATACTTAACGAAATAAGTCACATTCGGTAGATTAGAGAAACGTTATTTAGTTCATTGATTTAGAATGTTCTATCAACAATTCAAAGGTTTCGTCGCGTGTACTTATTGGCTGTGGATTTTCTGTTTCAGATACTCGGCTAGCCATTTGGGCCATTCTTGTAGTGTGACTATTATTCTCAGTCAGACTACAGATCCGCAGTGTCGTTTGGGGTCACTTCTGTCATTGTAGTCAGGTACTGGTCACACGTTGCAGGAATGGATACATCGGGCTCGCCAGTACCGGATGCAATCCACCCCCTTGTCGAACAATTGCAAGAAGCTCTTGTCCTCGAGGTCAAATATCAACCTGACCTTCAACTACCCCTTACTACCCAAGTAAGTTTACCGTGTTCAAACTTCTATCTGGCTTTTGTTCTTGATTATTGTCTAATGGATAATGTACTCATGAATCTTTGTATTGCTTTTGCTGTTGTAGAATGATGAGATTACAATCGGTGCTCGAGATGGCTCTGCACATGTGCTGCGTTGTCTTAAAGTTTGGTATGATCTACCATCGGACGTGTTTTTCATCGCCATAAATCTGATGGACCGTTTCCTCACAAAGATGAAGGCCAGACCAAAACACATGGCCTGCATTAGCGTTTCCTCTTTTCACATAGCCGCCGTCCAAATGGCTCAATCGCTGGATGCTGATCATCTAGTATCCATTTCTCAGTGTAAATGCACTGGTGGTGACTTAAAACGCATGTCCGAGGTGATTCGCAATAAGTTGGAATGGGCACCTGGTACACAGCCTATCACAGCTCTAACGTTCCTTCGTTTATTCAATGTCATGTTCCATGAGGCTGCATCACAGCTTGGCCTTGGTGATCTTTACACCAGCATAGTTACGGTAAGCATGGCATCAGTGTGCAGTAGCGAGGAATAGTTACGCTTAATAGTCAATACAATATGCAAATACTGGTTCAAGGAAAGATCTAGTATTCACGATAAAAATTAATCAATGTTTCAGGAGTCTGAACTTTTACTTAGACTTGAAATGGTCGCCTGCGATGGAAACTGTGCAACTCTAAGGCCATCTGAAGTGGCGTTAGTTTTATTATGCACGTACTTGGACGCTGCTGTGAATCGTCTGGATTCTAATGCAGATGCTACCATGTCTTCTGTAGCAATCGCTGGACCATCTTCATTGGCTACTCCTCCTACGCCTGCTCATCAAATGCTCAGACTCGTGGAATTTGCTGCAGAGCTACAAAAGATTTGCAAGGTGAATATTATTTAGGAGTCTTTGCTTTTTCTGTACAATGGTTCGATCATGGCTTGAACTAAACGTACTATTCTCTTTAATCTTCGTTTTAGATTCCAGACGAAAGCTTTTATTCCACCCATGATGCCGTTGGTGCAATATTGAGCAAGTACAATGCTCAAGAACAGACACCCCATAGACAGAGACTTGTATGGAGATTATCTTCGCGTACTGCTCGCCTTTTACGTCCCACCGACAAGTTTACCTCTGTTTTGCCTGTTATTGCTGAACATGCTCCGGTTCCTTCACCTAGCAGAATCAGGTAAATATCATACGCACTCTATATAATATAATAATGTTATATATCTTTCTTGAATGAGGAACAAGTATATTTTTAAATCTTTAACGTTATTACTAGTAGGATAAAATGTATAATACTGGAATGACATTAATATATATGATATTAATGGGAGTTATTTTTTTCTTTGTTCAGAAAAAGTCGAAAGTTTGCTCGCCGTCATGGCAACAAGAGACGATAGATGCACAATCATCAATGCATTCAAGGTAATTATAAATTACGACTTGGCCCTAATTTTCTGAATTAAAGACTGATAAATTTCATTTTATAAACTCATACGCGTCACTAATCAAATAATACAAATATCAATAAATTAATTTGCTGAGGTCATTTGAAATCTTAAAGTTACGCTTTTTAAATATTCCACGTAGTTACTGAAACTGTAACTAATGTTTTATTTAAAGGTATGGCAACGTGAGTTCAATGTTCATCTGGAGCAGTGAAGATAAGAATATCAGTGATTGGGAACAGAATTTACAAGCATCTCTTTTTATATCATCCACTGGCCTGTTAGATATCAATCGCTAGCATTAAACCATAGTAACTCATTTCTTGCATCAATCATTTTCAATGATGTTTTCGATACAGCAGGTTTGAGTTAAGACTCAATCGTGTCGAAGAACTCCTCTACCAAGTAATGTTTGTTGTACCAAAATTCAAAAGGCAGACGTACGTACGTTTGCATTACCGTATGTCAATTCGTTCTGCTCCATGGGTCACCGTTAAAATGGCTTTCGTGACATCGTTAATTTTTATTATTTTTTTATGAGTAAGAATAAAGAAATGAAATGAATGTCTGGCTTTGTGAATGAATAAATGTGGGTTCTGTTAAATTCAAAATTTATCAGCGATTGTTAAGGTGCAGAATATGTATACAGGAAGTATTTGTGAATACGTAGACTGAACTAAGATTCTGATAAAAATGATCTACCATCTAGTAGAAACATCGGAAGGAATATGATACCAATAAATTCTGCAATGGTTAGCTCGTAAACCCACGTTCATTAAACATTTAGGTATATTCTATCTCTATATATATATTTACTAAACGCATTAAAAGCAAAGAAAAAATATATATAAGGTAAAAAATACAAACAAAAACAATATAAAAGAAAGTAGTAAAAAAATCGAGTGCAAAAAAATGTAATGAATGGATAAAAAGTAAAAAAGAAAATGTAGTAAACAGGTAAACTTCTTAAGGTGGCTTGACATGGCATAAAATTTAGAAAGAACTTGATGGATTCGCAGATCGATGTTTTTGCTGTGAATTAGCGGCACATATCCATACGCGATATCGGCGTACGCAGATTGGCCTTAAACCAAACATTCTTTTGATCTAATTCGACTGGGTTACCGTTGTAATTCTGTACTATGTTAAAAATTTATGCAGCTAGATTTCATTTATGTTTGGTACGTAATGCGACGCTAATGTGGATATGTGGCGCTCGTTTTAGCCCTATATATTATTATTGATGTATCGTCTATCCAACCTTATGAGTCAAAGCTAACGACAGCGCACTCTTAGTATGGCAATAGTGTAAAAAAAGTGTGAAATCAGGGCAAGTGTGCTTCCTAGATCTTCAAACTTCAGTAAGTCGATCTTCGCTACTCTGACTCTATGGTATGAAAAATACATAACTCGAAGAAGAAACTACCAATAATTTATTTGACTTAAGAATTTTGTGCTAAATCGTGGATTATATATTGTATGTATATGTATATTTTTATATTTATTTCCTAATTTATTTGATCTTTATGTACTGAATCGTGGTAGCGAAGATCGATATAACAGACAGTAAACAGTGATCGACGGATGAGTGTCCGAGTATAGCCAGTTTGTGCTAGTCAGAAGTCACTATAATTAATCTCCCTCCTTATTCTGTCGATATATAGCAGTCCTTTCATTCTTTATTATCTGTCAAATATAATAAACGGTTTTGAACCGTTTACGTGATCTTTTCCAGTTTCTTCTTCTTTTTTTATTTTCAATACCGCTTTATTCCGATCTATAGCGACACCGTGCATTCGATAATAATATACGATAAAAGTATTATGCGAGTGACAAATATAAAAAAATCGGAATGTAATAACGATTAATTCGAATAAAATTACATATCTCAGGGTAACGCTAGCGGTGTGAGAAATGCTCTCTGAGAAATTGTATTGCGCCAAAAAAGCTATGTGAGTGCGTCATGTAGACGCAATTTTTCACATAATAACTGTCTTCTACAACATCCATACCAATGATAAAAACATAAATATCCATAGCATTTCTGATTTATGATGTCACGTGTTTGTTGGGCGTTTAAAAAACAATCTCCCCGTACCAAGGTTCTATCATTACCTTATAATGTATTGCGTTTTCAATCATCACTCACAAAGTAAATCATTTAGGAGTCTGTGGTTAATCGTATTACTTAGTATCACAAACGAATAGTCTCATTCAACGTTTCATTAATTTTGTCGTTCTCAAAAAAAAAAAAAAATAAATATGAATTAAGTGACAAACGTATTGATAAGCTTTAGAATATTACTCAGATTTACCCAATTATGAACTACTGTTACTTAAAGAAGAAAAGTAAATTTGTAATTTTTAGACAGTTCATTTATTTTTGTACTTTGACAGGCAGTAGGGTACACCTGATAATATATAATTGAATATTGATAACATTGCGCCAATTTATTTTTATAAGTACGAATCAAGTTTTACCCCAAGACTTCTCATTATTACGTTTTTCATACTCATAATGTAACGTATAAACATAAATCATCGTTCTTCAACAATTTCTCAAACATCTTTCATTATCTAGAAAAGAAATATGCGCAGATTTTGTGGCATGCTCCATACGGCTATGAACAAAATTTATACAACGTTGATTAAAAGAACTTTTGAAATTACATTGTAATCGAATCATTTTAATATCCTATGGCGGCATTGCTTAAGCAATGATACCTGTCACTATCGTCGTGAAAAAAAAAAATTCTAAATAAATTCTGTTATGAACCCGAATTTGTTTTTTTATGCGCTCAACCAGTATCGTTTAAAGAACTAAAGTTAATTTTGAAAATAATGCTTGCTTCAGATGTTGGTATAGACCGTTGTCGGAGTACAGAAAAATAACATTTATCGCTATTGCAACCGATATGACACATGGCATATCACTCGTTATAATCATTGTCGCTGTTAGCCTTAACTTTTTTTTCGTAAAAAACGTTTCTGCCTTTAGTACATAAAATGTTTAAGGAGACAGTTGAACGTGACTTGTTTGACTCAATACAACAAAATTGTACGTCGTCAATGTTAAAACATTTTAGAAAATTATAAGGAAAGTGATAAATCATCGAGTTATTATGTATGTGATATACCAGCCAGCCCAGCCAAGTGTAAAGATACTGTCAAAAGTACAAATAAATTATTTGAATTCGTTAAAGTAATCAATACGAATAAAAATATGTTAAATGTGCCCCTTAGAAGGGCGTTAGATCTCAGTCGTGCATGCTCGGTCTGACTGTGCCTTTCATTTATTTATATGTATCTGCTCATTAATTTATCAATCATATATGTATAACCAATCGACATATATATATATTGAGAATATTGTATTGAGACTTACGTAACAATATACAAATTGTCAAAAAAAGTGGAAAAAAGAAATCGAATACGTATCTCCTACTGTTATTAAATCCTATTCACTTATGTGTATGGACCAATAATTGCTTTTTTCTGCAGGTTTGTAGTCTCCGAAAGATATTTTTTGATCGAGCTTCGACGAATTTGCATTAAGCTGTTTCAACAGCTTACTGTTTGCATGAATGAGTGAAGGATGAGGGTGAGTGAGTGATATAGTAAACGAAACTAATTGAAAGAGAGAAAGAGTGGATGTCGATAGAATTAAAAATATGGAGCAACAACATACTTTTAGACACAAGTGCACCGACAAAGCATATGTGTTAAGGAAGTAAACACGAATCTTGTACATATAACATCTTTGGTCTTTTCATTTGCATATATGTTGAAAAAAAATATTTGCTAATGTAATAATATGCATAAGGTGGATGGCCCAGTCATCGGCCATGTAACAGTAATCGTCAGTTGTATTACAATACTGTAGATTTTACCTATAATCAACGTACACACTGATAATTACTGGTACATGTTCGATAATTCTGTCATCCACCCTAACAGCTATTTATTATTAAGTTATTGGAAAGATAATGCACAATGTTCTACAGCTTTAAATATCTAAAAGGCGAAAAAATCAAAAGTTATTTATTCTTTCGTCACTCTTAACTGAAAGCTACGAGTACAATTCTGCCTATTAATAAAATATTTTCATATTATAAATATGTACGCGTTTTTTATTTTTCGTAGAATTATGTATTTCGTAGAATAATGCGACAGTAATTGTCCTCGTGAGATGTTTGTTCAAGCAATTCAATCGAATCTTGCGCCAAGTACAGTGCCGATTGCATTCATAATAAATACAGTACACAATGATTTCTATTGCTTGATAACTTTGTGCAACTGTGCGAATATTTGACAAACGTTTTTCTTTTTATTATAATTATTTAAAATTCACCCACTAAATGACTCTGTGTGTGGTAGAATAATTTGCTTATTATGAATTCAAAATGTTTATTGTATAATAGATAGAAATTTTACGATAAGTAATATTACAATAATATTGATATAACTCTGTAGCTCGTTTTAATAAAAACTGAAGGCGTAATGACCGTTACAATAAATCAAAAGTAAAATAACAAATTATATGAATTTTGATAAACTATGACTATCACGAATAGGACATTTCGCTGAAACTTTTGTCCTTCATTTCCGTATTTTATTGTTACTGAAGAATTGTGAAATATATGCTTGTGTATTGCATAAGACACTTACAATAAATACAATAGCGCATAAATATATTTGTTTCATGGGAAGTAACATGAAATTAAATAATTAGCCATAATAAATACATCGATGTGAATACGCTTAAATTAAACGTTTCACCAAAATATTCTATCCTTCAGTTTTTGCAGTTTTTCCAGTTCGACTAATTTGCTTCAATAGATGTGTGACAAAAAATTTGCAGTTGCAAAGTTGACTAGCAGCTAACGACGTTTAGAGTTATAAGAAAACACATGTAACTTTTGACGACCAGCAGTTCATTGTTCGTATTTTCACAATCAAGTTTTCAATTACAGGCACAATTAGATACAAACATAAAACGGAGTCTGATAATTGATTAGTTCTAGAAGAATGTTTTTTAAAAAAATCAATGGTTTAGCTTTTCGACGATTTGTGTCTGTAACCGGAATATTATAGACTCCAGTATCAGAGATGATTAGTGAGATTGTCAGTTGGCTGATTTTCTTGAAACCAGTTTTATTTTGGCGTCGAGGCGCATAGCACCTTCTCGACGTAGCAGTGATGCTGTTCCATCTGTCTGGACTGGAAACTATCTTTTGGTCTAGCCGATTATACGTTCGAGCCTCTGTCTTTCTTAGAAGTCTCCTATAGCCAGTCCATGTATATACCGGCCTCAGTTGTCATAAATATAGTCTTTCCATTTTCTGTAATAAAAGAGAAGACAACAACTTATAAAGTTGATCCTGTGTTTTTCTACATACAATAAAATATGTATTTTTAATATTATAATTCGTCATACCGTTATTATATCTGTATCTGTCATATTTTCTACTTTGTTGTTGTGCATCTCCCTACTCATCTCTGGGAACAACATAATCTCTTCTACCTGACTCCAGATCTATTTACTGGCACATCTCCTCATTGGGGGATTCAGCCATAAGGAAAGGAAGGAAGAACATACCTGTATGTATATACATACATACATACCTAAGGACCGTGGAAACCATCTACTCTTGAGAGAGACACAACTACTTTCGCCCTACTGTCAGTAAATTTTGGAACACACTCCTTGGTCTGCAGTATATGGCGGCTTTGTGTCAATGGATCAATTTTAAAATTTATCTTTTAATGCTTTGAAGTGCCATATTTTGTGAAACTAGTTTGTGATAGCATGTTACAATGCTTACACTACTTCAAGCTACGCTGAAAGAAAAATTCGGTTATAATGATTTCAAGACCGATGTACAAAAGCAGGCCACTATGGCTGTTTACGACGGTTAGTTTTGGATATAACCTAGTATTAATGTTTTAAAATGTAATGAAGATATGAAATATGTGTCTCGTATTATAAATGATAATTGTTCTTTAGTTTGTTTGTGAAATTCTTACGAGGTATTGTTTTTGTTATCCCTGTTACAGTCTAGCGATGCATATATACATTTGTCTTTATTTTAGGGAAGAATGACGTGTATATTTGTTTGCCTACTGGATCTGGCAAATCTCTATGTTTTCAATTACCAGCTATACTCAAGGAAAATCAAGTTGCCATAGTATTTTCACCACTTATCGCTCTTATAAAAGTATGAGAAACATTGTGTCATATCCAGCAGTATTTATTATGCTAAATACGAGTTTTCTAAATAGTAATAAGTATTTGTCAGTGATGTATTGTTTGTAATCACTTGCAGAATCAAATAGATTTCTTACGCAGCAAGAAAATAAATGCACAAACATTAAACTCGAGAATCTTAGGGAAAGACAGAGAAAAGATAATAAACAATTTACAATCAAAGGCACCTACTATCAAACTATTGTATATCACTCCAGAAATGAGTGTTCAAAGGTACTTTAAGGTAATGATTATGGTATCGTGTATGGTCCCTGTACTTTTAATTTGCAGTTACATATTCAAATATCAATTTCATTAGGGTTTAACAAGATTAATTATTTTCAGATCCTCATTGAGCAAATGTACAAAAATAACAAAATATCATATTTAGTAATTGATGAAGCACATTGCCTAAGTCTATGGGGTCATGATTTTCGACCAAATTACAGAGAACTGGGTAATTTCAGACAGATATGTCCTACTGTTCCCATTCTAGCTCTAACAGCAACTGCTTCAAAAGAGGTACATTTTAGTTAAATTTACATAATTGTCACTTTTATATTATTCTATGAATTCTATATTTTAGGTAGTCACTGATATATTTGATACTTTGAGAATGAGTAAAACCAAACTTTTTTCACTACCTGTATTTCGTTCAAATCTCTATTACGATGTGTGGTTCTTAGATTCAATAGAGAATCGATTTCTTCATCTAAAGGAATTTATTTTAAAAGTACTTGGTTCTGAACAGGAAAATGTACCAAAGGTATTGAATTATGCAGACAACATAAAACTGACAACCATTTTTATTAAGAAGATAGATGTATTGTTTAGAATAAATTTTAACACTTCATAGAATGAGAGAAATTGCGGTATTATTTATTGTCGAAAGAAGGAAGCAACCGAAACTATTGCAAACAAATTAACTAAGGCTGGCATTCCAACACTCGCATACCACGGAAGTATGTATCTTCATTTATAGCTGTGATAGATTTTTCTTTTTCTATTTTTACAATTAAATAACGTGATCGCGTTAGGTTTGAAAAGTAGCGACCGTATGCGCGTACAGGATAAGTGGACTTCAGGAGAAGTACCAGTAATTGCAGCTACTTGTAGCTTTGGAATGGGTGTGGACAAGGGACCTGTTAGGTGAGAATCTCTTTGCTACTTTTCTATAATATTCAATATTCTAAACTCTCTTGGATCGACTAGATTTGTAGTACATTGGACAATACCCCAAACAATTGCTGGTTATTATCAAGAGTCTGGGAGAGCAGGTAGAGATGGTAAACCGGCTTTCTGTCGCATATATGTTAGTAACGAGGAATATTCGGCTATTTCATATCTTCTAAAAGATATTGCAACTGGGGATCAAGTTGATCAAAAAAAAAGAAAATGGAAAGATTTTGAGAAAATGATCGAATACTGCATGCAAACTAAGTAAGACATAAATACTATTGTAATACTTACAATTTTTGCAGGGAATTTATACGAAATGTTTTCCATGTATATTTATGATTATAGATGCCGGCATGCAGTATTTTCAAAATACTTTGGTGATAGTCCACCCAACTGCAAAGATAAATGCGATGTTTGCGAAAACAAGGACCTTGTTCAAGCAAGAATTTCAGAATTCGAAACGTATCCCACAAAGCCAAGGAGACCAATAAATGATTCCGATGGATTTGCACTTCCAAAATGTGATAATGGGTAAGCTATGCAAAAGTAGCATTTATATCGCTCGAAAAATAATGAGTTTTTTAATTCTAGTGTGATTAGAACTAGGATGGATTGTTCTGAAGTGATATACTTTGCTTGTAAATTGATTTTCAGTAGTGTTTAATTGTCATACAATATTTCATAATTAATATAATAGGTGCGACGATGATGAATCAGGTGGTCGTAGAATATCAAAGGAACAACTTCTTGCTCGAGAGAAACGGGAAGCAAAGGAATTTCTTGAGCGCCATTTTGGTATGCGTAGAGGCAATAATAATCGTGAAGAGGTATGTTTTTTCAGTAATAAATTCTTGATACACTCTTTCACGTTTACATGTCTTTCAGATAGAAAAGAAAAATAAAGAAGCTGCTAAGAATGCTGAAGTTTATGCTGCCGATAGTACTGATCGAAAAGTGAAGGGATTAACCGTTCAAGTATGCAGAGATATTAATAAGATATTGTATTATTATTTATCGATATATTAAACTATTAATACAATTGTTGTTCAGGTGCGGGAACACATGTTCAAACAACTTAGGACAGCTTTATTGGAAAATCATTCAAAGTTTAGTCATGAATGTAACGTTCCTCTGAAAGAAGTTGACGTACATGTGTTGGCCTGCCGTTTAGAGTATAAAATACTATGCGATACAAGAGTGGCCAACAAGTATAAATACAATGCTTTTCAGCTGGTATGTACTTTCTGTAAATATTTTAAATATTGCGTTGCAGGAAAAATTAGATTTTACTTGTATTTTTTTATATTATGCTATTTGAAATTTTTCAAAACTTTACCAAGGTTTCTGCCGTACAGAGATGTACAAAAAACAATACGATTTATGAAAACCTTCAAGAATATAATCCCAACCAGAAAGGTCTGTCTATAACGAATGTTCTCAAGAATATTGAAGCGAGAAATGATGATTCAAAAACTACTGATAAATTAATAACCATTTCTCAAAGTTCAAATGATAGTTCTAAAACAGATAAATTCATCTGTGGGTTCAAAACAGCTTTAGAGCTTAGTAATAATGATAAACAAGATCTGAAAACGTCGAACAACAAGGAAATTTCACAGATTAACAATTTGTCCGATTCTGACAACTTTTCAAAAATGCCCAGCAAGAGTACAAGTATTGAACATAATGAAGAGTGTGATAAAACGTCAAAGACATGGAATAACAGCATCGAGGTGAAAGAGAACGAAGTCAACATTGTAGCAGATCTTATGTCCAAATACAAATCAAGAAAAAATAAAAACCACAGTTCAACAAAGATGTTTGCTGAAAAGAAAATTTTCAAAGGGAATGTAAATTCCGATGAAGTAACAAAGAAAAAAGATGACCACTCAATTACGAAAGAAGATTGTTTAGGTACAGAAGGAGACATTGATTGTGTTTTTATAAAAGAGACAAGTGCTGTCAAAAGAGGAAGTGTTGACGTGAAAAAGAAAAATTTACCAATTACGACATTTACGACTGCAACAAAATTGTTAGACGACAAAAGTGAAATACTTCATAAAACAATTGATCATACAAGTGCAAAGAAAAAAGTTGAAAATAGATTAGGTAAATGGATTACACGGGATTCGCATAAAAATCGAAGTTCCTCAAGTCATATATCTTCCAAGTCTAAATCTATTCACGAGAAGAAAGTCACGAGTGCTACAGTCAAATCGCTTGAATCCAAATCTAATAAAGTCAGTGGGAAAACTGAATCCGGAGAAAATCAAATAACGAAAAAACCAAGTCACGATGGTCCTAATCAGACGATTACAATTTCTGATTCAGATGATTGTAGTCCAGAATCAATAGAAATTAAGAAATCCTTTTCCAACAGTAAAAAACGCAAAGTTCCTGACTTTAGTGATATTGATACAAAATTGCAGCCCGCTTCAAAAAGGGTATCATTACCCGATCCTCATGTTAGAAAAGAATGTGTGATGAAACTCAGGGAGGAAGCCACTACAAGTAATACATATAGCGCTCAACGAAAAGATGAACACAAAAATAAAAAAAAAAGTGTTGAGTCTACAGTAATTAGCACTATCGAAATTTTGAAGAATCACCTCAAGAAGTATTACGGATCCAAACGTATTCCTGACAGAGAATCTTTCCGTGAAATTTCTAAAGAGATTCATAAGCGTATCCTGAATAAAAGAATATACGGTGAGATTAATATTTTAATCACAATATAGATGAAATATACTTAAACCCCGATTAACGTTGCGCCGTTTAACCCTATTTCGTTATAGTGAGCTCTTGCTAAACGCTTGGAAAAACAGTAATTTCCTGATTTACTGAACGCGCCCCCGTACCTTTCCACATATATCCCAGTTAGCACTGTTTCATTTATCTCTTTAAATTCTAAGATTGCATCCTGAGCTTTAACCGGGGTCCTACTGTATATTATAAGTAGAATTGTATCATCACAAAATCTGTACGTTACCTCTTGCATTTGATATTCCAGATGATGCAGGTATAAAAAACTTCGTAAAAAATTTCCTTGAAGTGAAATAGCTTCATCTCAGGTGAAATGATTATATAAGCTCAACTACTTATGTACGAAACAAAACTAATTATTATTTCAGTAATGTTCCTGTAAATCGCCCTTGACTGTTTAATATATATATTTATGCATTTACAACGTCAACTACATTAACACATTTTATTTCCTTCAGTTCCTTCTATCATGTTCAAGTATTTACCTTATCTTGTCTTTTGATTAAAACCCAAGTTGCTGGATCTACTGGCATTTATGTTGTTGGGAGAAAGTGGCAATTATTTGAGCTTCATTATAAAAATCCTTTATTGAGCAATATTGATGTGTACACGCAATGTGGAGGATACCTTACTGGCAAGATTCACACTACTGTGTTAAATAATAAATGTGGAAACCTTAATTGTCAACTTTATGTAAGGCTTCAATTCAGGCAGAGTGAATGTAATTTGATAACATAGCATGGCCTTAGGAAGACAGAGATATTGGTCCTTTACGAATTGCGGGACGTGTAATTCGTTAAAGATCACAAAGTTACGCTAAACCACTCCTTGTTATTATAATAATAGTATAAAATCAGACAAAATCAACGGCGCCTGTTAAATGTAGTTCATCGTAAACGTACGTTGTTATATTACAATAATGTTGCTACCTTCGCGAAGACACTTGTACTAATAGCTATGGGCGTATGCATAGGTCATGTATCAAAGCATGTATTTCGGTGTATCTGCAAATAAAAATTCATATACACATCAACACATGCTTAGATATTAGATCTGCGAATCTTGCACATAGCCAATGAATAAGGCAAGATTGTATTTCGGCTGAAAACAGATTCGACAATGTCGTTTCGATTCGAGTATAGAAATGTATAAATCCGTTCGTAAAATCTACCTCACGATTCTCATATAAAACGTAAAATCTTTTCTTAATTAATGAAAATCTTGGAAAGATCGATAATTCTGTTTATCGTCACAATAAATTTTGATATGAAATCTCTATACTCTTAATAAATTCTACACTTATTACTGTGCCTATGATAAGGATAACAATATTTTTAACGTTATTAACCGTATACGTGTCAGTTTCAGCAAACGTGTTGAATTATTCGTCGAAATCTGTTTACATTTCCATTTTTGTTTTTCAGTTAAATTCATTAACGTACGAGTCAGACACTATAATAATTAGTATTTGCTAGCTATATTTATATTTACATATTTACAAGATTGTTATCTATAGCTATTGTGTATTATGTAGGAAAGGATGAATCGACGCATTGCGAAAATTGTCTTATTTCGAATATGTATCTTATCCGTAATATAAAGGCGTAGCTTATGCTATCGAAGTTCATTAAATAAAAAAATTAAACAGATTTATAACGTCATATTTAGGAAACCGCTTAAGTACAATATATTCAATCGAATCACTTGGAAGATCTTAGGATGTTATAATCATAGAATCAAACCTTTGCCGTCTAAAATATAGTACTTAAACTGTTATACATTCTGATTAAAAATAATGGGCAAACATATGAATGTCGTATAAATGTCAGTATCACCGATATATTATCTAACCATATCCCAGTAACGAAATTATATAAATTATATACATCCTATTACTGTGTGAAAAAGGGATCTGCAAAAAATGTGCACCTTCTACCAAGGATTCGATATAAAAAAAGTGCAAAAAATGTGCACCTTGTACCAAGGATTCGATATAAAACAGAAATATATATATATATACTATATATATATACATATATATAGTTTAACAAAAAAGCTCTTTGCCTAATGAATCCTTTCGTATACCGAGTTAACGCGTATAGAATTATCTATCAGTTCCTATCACAATGGAAATATAATAGTCTATTAAAAACTTTCCATAGAAGACGTGGCGACTTCACGATCCCGTTCACGACATATCTAAGCAAATACTGTTAACGCGTAAGATAAATTCATTTTCCAAGAAACATGTAAAAAATACCATTTCTTTTTAGCGTGAATCTTGGGTTATTTTTTATAATAGCAATACCGAGCAGAAATTTCGGCTATCTTTTTTGATTTCTGTTTTATTTTCTTTAATTGCTCTCTATACCTTCGATGATGTATTTTTAATACGCCTTTATACCCTACGTTTTTTAAAATAATAAATGCCGTATCCCGTGGCGCTTACTTTTGTAAAAGTCAAGTAACTATGATTTTTATTGTAAATATTACCCGTAATGAATGTACTTCGATATCTGATCGCATAAAGTACAATAACCTGTTGTCTGCATATGGAGATTAATGTATCACATTGTAAGTACAACGTAGAACCATAATTCCATTGTCTTATGGTGCAATATAGAACTGGTCGTAATATGCAAGTAACGTATTTCCGTGTTCTGACGTAAGTGCAGCAATACAAAAATAACTGCAGCATGAAGGTTGTGATGAAATTGAATAATGTAAACAAAAAGAAATGATGATGGGATCTGTAAAATGATGATTATCGGTATTATTCTAGATTAATTATTAAAGACGCGTGGTATAATACTTTGCAAAACTTAATTATGATGTCGTATGTCGAATATTAGATAATAATGTGCCGGTTGTATGAATCGCGATGTGATTAATATTGTATCAAATATTCTGTACATTATTTTTCTAAATTCGTTGGACGAATTCGACATATTTTATAAACGATACAAGTATATGTTTAATAGGTTAATTACAATGATGACTGATAATTTAGAAGATGCAATTTCGTATCGTTGACAGGTACATTATTCTTTTATTAATAGTATATGCAGGCTAACACCAGTTTAGAATCTTTGAGTCTTCAAATCATGATAGATTAGAAGATTATTGCTAAAAAGAGTGTTGACTTGTATATAATTTGCTTTATCCTGAGAACAAGGTAAAAGCTTGCAATAATCAATATTTTAATATACAAATAGATAAAGGCAAAGTTTTTCAATTACTAGTGCCAGATACAAGACATTCAAGATTGATTTTAGAGTTTTGATGATTGAGATAGCTACATTAACAAGTGACATTGAGATACAAAGGTAACAAATTAGCTTTCGACACGAATTTGCATTGTTTTCATCTAAAATGGAATGAACGGAGTCCCTGCATTTCGAAAGAAAATTCAATTGAAATACATTTTAATAGATGAATCAATATCGATTCTATCGTATTGGTATTTACATGTTTTCTTTAGAAACTACCAATTGCAGGTACCCTATTCACTGGACTCTGTTGTTTTTGCATCCATTGACTTTCTACGATCCGACACTTTAATTGATTATAAACGACGTGAAATCCATTTTATTGTGCCTGAGCACTGAGCATTCTATCTCACGAAATGTCTTTGGAATGCAGCTGACATATGTATATTAATGTCTTATATCCCCGGAATCCCTATAGAATTACCTCCAAGGCTGTTTCAGGATCTTCCGAGGAGGATACTGTGCTTTCCGTTGTTTGAAAGAATCGTGAATCTTATTTCTGCACGATCCTGAACAAGTCTTATCGTTTTTTTTTTGGTTGATCCCCTTTAATCTTGCGAGAGTGGGCGTTTGCAGATTTAAACGATTTCCTTCTTGAGACACTGAAGGTCTTCGAGCGTTACCGAAGTTAAGTTGTCCTCCTTGGGATTCAGCAGAGAGTTAAAGTATGTATCCATTTCTTTCGTTTTAATAGAAGCTCGCCTTTCGTTCAAGAAACTTAGACGTTTCCTCTGCATTTCTGCTTCGAACCATTGCGCTGGTGCCTTTGCTCCCTTAGGTTCATGAAGAAGGATCTTTATAACACTCCATACTAAGAATACGGCGCCGGATAGGAAAAGAGCATAAGTTGCTACAGTCTGTACGACCGGAAGTACGTTTAGGTATAACAGGAACCGGTTATTCATATTTTCTGGTAGCTCGTACATTCCCTGTAAAGAAAGTATATGGTATCTTGATATTTCTCAATGATATGTTCATGTCTATTTCACTTATGTAATATTGTCAACAGATTCTCAGCATATGTTTGCTTCTCGCCTGTACACGCTTGGTAGAACTGGTAGTGCGTTTAAATAGGTTTTGCAAAAAATTTTTTTTTTTTCACCTAACGTGCTCAGGTGATTATTATTGGCTGAAGGGAGAGTAGGGTGAATACAGCAGTTAATGATCACCTTAAGAAATGCCTTCAGTGAGTGACCATCTGTGTTAAAATCACTTGTATATAGATATAATTTATGTGAACGTGCACATTTACTGGAATCTAGTCATTAACTTGCGGATTTGCTACTGTTATTTTTTTGAAAATTTTTTTAAAAATCACGAGTTTTACAGATATGAAAGACACAATAACAAGATATCGAAGTGAGGTATATGCCAGTATACATTACTTTATGTTTTTTACGAGTTAACTTATAATTAACCTAAACGAAAAATAATATTTTTTGACTGAATACAATAGTTATACTTACAATTTCGAACCACAACAACGGAAGTACAGTATTTTGAAAATTTTCCAGTCCGTTGATATAACCGATATCCTGTGGAGCTATATTGATTTGAAAACGGAATGCAAGATCAACTGGAAGACCAGATTCTGGTTGAATAAAGAAGTATGATTCGTGATCATCAGCGCGAGGAGTTAGACCCTCCACAGCATCCAAAAGTGAAGGATCTGATTTGTAAAAATGCGGATACGAAAGTGCGATTGGAAAACCTGTAAATAAGGATTCATTCGTGAAATTATGAAACTTTTCAGTGATATTTGATAATTCACATGTTTTTATGTTTTTATATAAGCAGTGTTAGTTTAGCGTGTATAATTATGCAATCATTCAATTTTTGGAAAGATCCGCGGTCAGGCAACTTACCGAATTTTCAAGAATTCTTACTGCATTCTATCCAGTATTCGACTCACCCGACAACAATTTCACAGAATTCGACGACCTTAAGTTTTTTTTTTTTTATCAAACTCAAAGTCGTACATTATAACGTAAGCAATATGCAAACGTAATCTTTATTTTTCAGTAAGAAACGGTTTGATGATGCATTGAGATTCTTCATGTAAATCAGCGGAATATATTGTATGTAGAAGTTAAGTCATGTCGTATGCAACGAAGGATTGCTCTTACCGTAATAACAATCTGTGACATCTATAAGACCTGGTTTCTGGCATAGACCATGGCGACAAAAGCATTTGTTTTCCGTATTGTTAGCACCATTATCTAATTCACTTTCAATGAATTTATATTTATAGGTGTTTAAACCTTTAACTTGCTTTTCTCCAGTCTGGTACTGTAAAATATAAAGAGACGAGTAAATAATTTAGAATATTTATACAAACACGCAGTATTATAAGTATTATCCAATTTTTTATTTGCTTATTAACTTACCATACGAGCGCTGCGGCAAAGACTCTTTCGGAAGAATAATAAAGTATCGTTCGGTTGGATGTAACTTGGAAATTTCGTACCATCACTGGCACCTTTCACATTAGCACATTTTCCTTCCCACTGAGGTAAGTTTACATCGCCATTGTATTTCTCAATCAAGCCAGCTTGCCGAACGTCATTCTCACCTGTATACACTGTTTCGTAGTCACCCTCGAAGTCGTACATCTGTCACATTTAATAAGAATTAAAAAATTGTGATTCATACAATGATCATTTAAAATCATAGTCAGACATAGCAATTACATACACGGTCGATCAGTCCAAGCTTTTTAAATTTTATCCAGGACGGCACGAGGTAATTTCCTAATGCAACCAGAGGCGATTCGTATTCAAACATGAATTCCCGCGCAGTCATTTTTACAAGGGGTGGATAACCAGATTGCTCGATAAAAACCTTTATGGGAAATCTTGTCAAAAAGGCAGCATCCTTCCAGATGTTTGCTATGCTCTGTAATGTATAGAAAAAAATTATTTACGTATATTTTCTAAAGCGTCATGCATTAGGCGTCCTCATATTCAATTATTACTCAAGAAATGACTAAGAAAAGGTAAAAAATACAAAATGATTATGCTAATTAGGCACAGCATGGCTTTCTACCAATAGTCCTTCAATCTTTTCATTACTTTCATGACTGTCTGTCGGTATTACAATGTGCAATATGACCCACGGTGCATTCACTATTATCCAAGAAAGCGGTCAGTCGCCCGTGTCTAAGATGGATTTTATCGAGAAACACACATACGGAGATTGCGTTATGCAAAAGATACGTGACAAATGAAAAGCCAAATGTCACTTAGAGCGAGAGAAAAGTGTTGTATCGCAATGCTGTGACAATACAGATGGTAAGGTATGAAATAATCATGGAAATAATAGGTGTCGAGAAGGAAGGAGGTTATGGAAATTGGATCTATTTTGTCTTGTGAAATTGTACAAGAAAATATGTGAGGTTTTTAAGCAAGAAGTATGACATACCATTCTCCGGTATTAACTTTCTAATATCTGTTATGGTTTTTACGACAACAGACGATATAACTGTATACTATTCCTTTCTGTTTTTACTTACTTAGAATTGAAACGCTGGTAAGGTAGTTTTCCTACCTATCAAGAATGTTCCGAATGGATTAAACAGCTCGGCTAAGTTTCGTCACTTACAAATATGTACCGGTCGACTCGACATTTCAAAATATGTCACTTCAAAATTCATAGTAATTAGATGTAATCGGCCTTATAGTGTATGCAATAAGTGTTTAACTTACGCAATAGATTATTCTTTGCAAGATTTGTTCAACTTTAGCTTCGTTTCCATAGCCATTTACTTCCATGACCTACCGTCGTTAATGTCTTCGATGATAACTATGTAAGAAATAATTTTTCTTTTGCAACTTATTCATTGGCAAATAGACACATTAAATGGAACCATAAGTGACTATAAGTGCATTTGCAAGGTTAAAGAAAAAACTATATACTACGGGCCTACGAAAATTTATAAATTTGCAAAAACTCGAAATTATTATTCTCATATACTTGATGCGAACTAATTTCCACGATGTCCTACAGAAATTGCATTTTTAGTTAGTAATGAAATCGATTACTGGATCTATTATACATTTGTTATTCGGTTGGCATAATTGAATACTATATAGCAGATACTATTGAATACTATATAGCAGATACGTGTACGTTCAGTACTGCGTAACGCCAATTAATGAAGTTTTAACAATCTGACATACAGCATACATATAAAATATACCATGTAAATTGATTTCACTTATTTACCGGTTAGCTATAGCCTTGTTAGGAATTTTGACAATCATTGGTGCTCATGACTTCAGAGCGTTCACCACGAGTATCTGTGTCAAGATCAAGGTAACTTTCTCACAAGATGACTTGTGTTTCCGTTTTGCCGTGTAACAAGTCAGTGTACCTAGCTGAATGACTTATATCTCCAACAAGAAACTCTGTTATCGAAATAATGACTTAATACATAGTTTCTTCCTTTCACTTTATTTTGTTGAATGAAAATGTATATAACCCCGCATATAAGATCTATATATTATAATATATGCAGCTATTAGTCAATTGTTTTTACTTTTAAATAATTTAAAATAAGACAATACTATTATTGTGACAATTTTTCGTAAAGCAAAATTTAATACGTTGACGGCGGCGCTGTAATTCGTGTTTCTCGCCATCTAGCGACTCGATTAATAGTTATCAAATTATGAGCCACCGGCGTCAACGTGTCTATACATCATGTTGTGTCTACATATTTCTATACTAGCAGAAACTGCAGAAATGTATATCTTTAAATGGCAACTTTACTAATATTTGTATTTCAATATTTTGAAAAAATTCTACGATAGAAATCGAAGTAGATACGTAGCGTTTTCGGTTGTAGAGTAAGAGTGGGACTAGCTATAGATATTTAAGAGCTTATAGGCGCTTTGAGAAATATCTGAGTCACCAGGTCAGCATCCTGACGCTCAAATCCACATTTTACGGAATTGGTCAACGGAAGAACAAAGGAGTTCAAATAAGGGGAATACTTAATTCATAATGCACTGATAGCACATGAGTAACCGTTGGGAAGTGGTTGTTACATATATTTAAAGCAGGTGACAGCCCGGTAAGACACGTCGTAGAAACTTGTTCCTATAATTAAGGAATTTTACAACGCAGTCAAACTGGTCACAAAAGTTTCCGTTTGTTCGACGAGGCTCACATTTCGGTATATAGTGGACACCTTCCTGGGGTATTTCAACTTTTTATTTCAACTGGAATCCAATAAACTTAACGACAGTGATTTTTCTTGTGTTTCCAATTATAGAGTCGTCCTGCCGTCCATTATATCGAGAAACCTTACCACGACCCCCATCATCATTTTCTGGAGATTGTTCCACAGCATGCAATTTAAAGAATGCAGTCGCATTAAATGCAAATGTTGTTGCTCTGCTGTACGATTGGAAAATTTCTAATTCGTCGCAATACGAACATCGAGAACGTCAAGTAGCCGCACTGTCATACAGGATTGACACGATAAATTATACGAATTTGGTAATTTGATCAACATTTTTTAAATTTCCTAATCGCCAATATTTGATAACATGATCACGTTATTTTAAAAGGCCATCATAACGAGATAGAGCATATTTAAATCCCTGAGCTAAGTGGCTGTTAAGGATGGAAAGGCCATACTGAATTCTATTTTGGAACGCTGGAAGACTAACAAAAAAAGTAAGAAACCATTCTTCAGGAATATTGAATATTTATTATAAAAATTATATAAATTTCTTTACGCTTTTTTACTCTCATTGGTCAAGCCCACAATGCTTGAAGATTTTACATTTACGTTGCGCATTGCTTTGATATTCGCGGTGGGTTTCATGATTAGTTGCGTAATCGCCTGCAGAGACTTGCAGCCTATTATGTACGACTTTTACGGTGAGCGTAAAACGACGTTCTTGTCTGGATGCTTGTTCAGAAAAAGATTACGAGTCGGTCGACACACTTGGCGTTTTTCCAGCATTAGAAACCAGTAAAACACTAGAAACTATAACGTCGGAAGATCAGTTGGATACGATAACCTCCTATCAGCCGGTGCCGGTTTGTCATATAGGAAGAGCAATTACTCGCAATTTGGAATTCAAGCATGTGAAAGTCGGTCATCACTACGCTTATAGTAATAATGACAGGTAAATAGGTAACAAAGAGTAAATTGATAATGATTGCTCCAAATTACATTTGTAACATGCAATTTCAATTTTTCGGCTTATGAAGCCTCTCCAAGGCTCACTGTGGTTTGTGAACTATTACGTCCGTTTACTTAACTCCCTAAATATAGAGTTAATGCTATGTAAAATAATACTGAATTTTCTGCCCACGTGAAAGTCATATGGCATATTTATTTTCATTGTTATTTTTTTTTCAATGATTCTAGGTAATCCACACTATATGTCTATGCTGTTATATTTTGGAAAGTAACTTGATTATGCGAACCAATACGATTTTTTATTTTGTAGTAATCAACTGCTTATTCGTAAGTATTCACTGCGCGAATGTTAAATCGTCCTAATGGTTAGATATTTGTCAGCATTATTTATAAAAACTTCCTAAGCGTCAGTTAATTATACATATACCAGTCTTATATAGTATGATAGTCTTAATTATCGTTTTTTCTTGAGTTTCTACAGCGACACCTACGAAAGTTTTCCCAATGTTTATAAACTGCAAGTGGCGACAATCTTACTGGTAAACATGTTGAGCAATGACGACTGTCAGCTAGGATTTAAAGCTATTTGCGTGAATAAATATACGTAAAAGTCTCATTTTGCCATGATTACGTATACGCATTGCATAACTGCGTTGGCTTGATCGATGTCTGTTTTGTGAATATTTTAAATTCCCGAAATGGATCAAGATATCAGCCTTTTCGACGACCTCCAGATTATTCAACATTTAATGGTAAAAAAATGTTTATACAGAGAATGACAATGAAGCTTTTGAGTATAAACCGCTGAACTCAAACGGAGTCCAAATTTTCCTTTCTATTGAGATGATTCTGCGTCCATTAACAGTCCATTCACTTTGATCCTGACCTTCACCAATGCCACTACGTCTAGTACTTCGAGTAAATTTTTTAAATGCTCACGCACGTTCTCGTTGTTATTATACAAGATATTTTGAGAAGAATTATTTGCTCCGAAGCGGAAGAGAATTGAGTAACCTAAAATTTGAACGTATTATGCACTCCTTTTTCATGAATAAAATAGTTTTGAACGACGGTAACTAGAAATTCAAGAATATTCATTTTTTGCTTCCTATGACAGACGTGTTTAATGCTTTTACAGCATATTTATGTAAAAGTACTAGACTGACTAATCACGTTTGAATCGACCTACAAACGTCACGGCAATAAAACGTTCGTATAGAGGACGCAATGCGTTGGTACCATTTTGAACGTGTTACTGATTAGTGATTACGAATGTTCGTCATCAATGCGGATAAATTAATCGTTTCTAATAGCTAATTTATATTAATGAACATGACGAAGGAAGAGCTGAGGAGAATTTTAATCGCGGGGACTTCTCCTGAGTATTATTCTTGAAAGTGGATTTAATTTTTTTCCTTGTTTCTGTTATGGAATTTGAAATCATTTTTAATGATATAAAAAAATATACATAGTTTGCTCCACTTACTAGTAGTGCGATGTTGGGGACTATGATCATATCGCTTTCAGTACCCGTACTCATTTCGGGAATGTACGTCAACGGATGAAGTGGAACAGCCGTGACTGTGCCGTTGTCATTAAACGTCACGTTTCCGTGTTCCATGAGTTCTCTGAAATAAAATAACTTTAATAAGTAATTTTAAATACAAGACCTACGATAACGCACGTATGCTGTTTTGAAAATGTAGTTACTTGTCATTTTAAAAATTTTGAAAATCAATATTAACAATTTCAAAAATATTGATGTTTTTCATAATGAATTGACTCACCTGTAAACATATGGTCCGACCTCCTGAAATTTCAGCTTCTCCTCTTTGCCCAACATAAACTCTTCGCTGTTTGTAACATTGAAGAGATAAACCTTCAAGTAAAGTTCGACCGGGGGCGATCGCCAAAGTTCAAAGATTTCGCCTCCTTCGCTGAAAACGACTTTCAGCTTGAAAAGAAGGTCGTAAGGCTGGAACACCATGATGAAGCCGCCGGATGCAAGGCCCAGAAGACCCAAGGTCATTAGTATGAAGATGCCTGTAAAAATACGTCACAAGAAAATAAGCACTGACCCTTATAACTCCTAAGCCACGCACAGGACGGATCGCGAATTACAACGATTCTTAACGATCAATTAATTCGTTATACTAGCCGCAACGTAATTCCTATTCAGCATTAGTCTGAGGTCTGTGATAATAGAAATCACTGTCGCTCATAAAGACTGTCATACTGTAATATCGTTATACCCCGTATCGCGGAGCGAAGGAACTTTCATAAGATAATACCTCATTGTTGTTATTCGATACGTCATTAATATTAAACACCAGACTGTTGGGTTGATCTTTCGGTGATCGAGTCTCAGTCTTAATATGAATCAGTTTGTAAAAATACGACTGTTGACCCATTCTTCTATTTATTTGTTTTTCATTATCATTGATGCATATTCGTACACATTACCATGCATGCAGTTAACTCCAAGACGAAGAATTCTTGATAACCCAAAGACTTTGCTATAATTTATCTAATGCTACGATAGAGGTCATTCCACAGTGACTTCTGATAGAAGAGACGATGATAGTATTTACAGTGATATTTGTTACCTATTTTGATGGCCCTATGACACTTTACGTAATGATGATCTTATAGGGCCATCGAAAGTCCGATTGTAGATAAGAATGATGTGAAATTTACATATAATGTTCATAAAGCACTGTATGTAGACTGTGAATAAAGCAACTGGGAAATATTTTTTTCGTAATGGTTTATATCGAAAATCGTAAATAAATTAATAAAATTCCAGCTTCCATGTACCGGTTTCAATAGACGAACTATTCGTGGGGTACGGTGGTTGGTATACCTAACTCGCATATAAAGTGCCATTTAATTAGACCATTTGGAGGGACATCACGTATGTCTATCCTTGTGAAATATTATCGTCGTGGCGATTCTACTAGATCGCCATCGTGACACAACAAAGTGAAGCAGAACTCGCCAGCAGATCCTGATGAATTAATTCAGCGAATCGAGAAAGGCAACTTGCTGGCTCCACGGTCGTTCCTCGGAAACAACAGCGCGGAGATTCGATTTTTTTTGCAAACACGGACTGACTCAGCCATGGGGTCCTGCGCCTACATACGCGATCCTTAAAGCATTGTGAATGATCAAAGACTCGGGGACCTTGATCGGACGATTTATGACGTCTGCGATCTTCATCCAAGATACAAAAGACTATATAGAAATAATGCAGCCCGTGTTGTCTGAATAGAAAACAAAATTGAGTGACGCGCAAACGGTATATCGTTAAGTTTTTATAGTTACCAAATTGCCCATTTCTTTCCTTCTAAGAAACCTATTTAACGATGTTATAATTCGTAATAATCAAGGCAAGTCTCGGGAGCCGGTTTACCCGGACAAAGAAAACTTCTTCAGACTCAGCGTCGGCAAAAGAGCCGCTGACCTCGTGGCCCAAGAAAAATATACGCGAGTCTCGTTGAAGTTCCCTCCAGTTACACGAACCGTGTGCCGTGCATACGTTAGGTATATGCGTAGAGCTGGATTCAGGTTATATATAGCAATATATAATACAGGACAAAACTCATTGGAAGCCGCCATCTTGGCTTTCGATAACGAAACGTAACCGATTGCATTGAAGAGCCTTGAGTAATCTTCCACGAATCCCAATGGAATACGAATGGATTGCGGAAGCACCTATAGCATCGTTGTAGTAGCTAAACTTTTCCGCACAAGCGACGTTTCTTGTACAGGTATACTATAGTGTTAAGCTACTCTTACAGAAGATGGATGTCAATAACGAACTCAAAGAACTGCCTGTGATAGTTGTCAGTTTCTGTGCTACCTATACCTATCTTGTTGTTTGAAAAATGATCGTACGTGATATTCATATTATACGCCAATAATTGTATCTATATGGTGTCTGACGCATGTACATAAATCGTTACGATATTCAAATGTGAATTCGTGCCTAGGGATGAACGAGTAGACTAGGGATGAATGTCAATTTTTTTATGTGGAATTCAAAATGTGTCCAATGACGTCAAAGTACAGCGACTCGGTTTCCTTTGCCTTGTAGGCACTTTAGAAATTGTATGATTAAAGCTGTTTCTTTGCAGTACTAACAATGCATACGCATGAAAGGTGAACTACCGCGATAGCCTTTGGGTATCATTCTTCCTGATTCCCAGTGACTACAAATGCATTGTATAAATATACATAGTAACAAAAAAAAAATTATGGAAATTTCAGTTAAATGTTGTCACAGGTACGTGTGTGGATTGCGAATTTTTTTAAAACTTATCTATTAATTAAATTATACACACTTTATCATCATCTACTAGGACTCATTCGTATAGACGATTTTGAATTTTTTTCTAACGATATTTATTTCCAGTTACTAAAATATGAATAAGAAACGAAGATCAAGCTTTTTAAGCAATTTTACTTAATCACAATCGGAAATAAAATGTATGTACTGGGAGAAGCAGTCAGTTATCGACCGGTAGTGAACGTGATTACTCATAACTTGTAAATAAGTGTAATAATGTATGCGGATAAAGTTCGTTGTCCCACGAGGGCAGAATGATTGTAACGGAATGCACACAAAGAGCGTGAAAGCTCTATTGTTATACGATGCGTACTTCAAGGTGACTGCAGCATGATAATTATCGCATTACGATGTATTTTAATGAATTTCACGGACGTACAATTATAAATGCATTAATGTACATTTTTTTTCAAAAACAAATGTCGAGACATTAACATACGTTTATTTTTGAAATATTTCAATGACCTCATAAGGCTATCAGTAAGCTTTACGAATTTGGTCTCGTTTTTCGGATAACTAACGATTTTTTCTTCAGCGTGACGGCAATACTAGTGGCTAATTATTATTATATGTATATGTATATGACGCTTGTGCGTACGTCATGAAACAATATAATAATAATTAAATATCCTGGTGACACGTTATATTGGATGGCAATCAAAGTTTGGCACTGAGACGCAGTTCCGTTTAGTCGATCCTAAATTGGATTAAACAGCTATTAACATTTCAAACGATATGGTTCGAAAGTCACATGATTTCGGTCACGTATCTTTTCTTTTTTATGGTTTCACGATCTTTCTTTATCTTCGCGCGTATACTTTGTAAATAAGAGCGAGTCGTGAGTCACGTGTTCTCGCTGCCATGTCCAAATGCCAGGGGCACTGAGAAAGTATTTTCAAGAATCCGAGAGGTAACGAATACATTGCCAGATATTCAAGGAACAGCCGATAGTAAAGTACTGAAGCAGTGTTAGAGCTTAAATGGGAACACTACTATGCTATCGATGAAATTAAGTAGCGCTGAAAAAATGTACCCAAGTTTTTAAATATGAAATAGTCTTCGTTGCTTGGGAAAATTTTACATATTTTTTGTGTCCACAAATTTCGTAATTTCAATACGAAATGCACGCTGTGTTACAATATTACTTTACATCTAAAAGCCGTTTATCATTTGACATAAAAACGAGTCTGCAAATGAGACCAGAATTATTCTAAAAAATTCCAATATCATTTCCTTGATTGTGGATTCTTATTTCTTGTGCAATTTTGAATTTAATCATTCACACTGAGGAATCTATCATTAGCATAGCACGTTAACTAATAATTCATTACAACTTTAGTATTACGGTAATAATATAAGAATCGCTATTATTTATTACGCACTATCAGATGCGTATAATCCGTGCCTTACGCACTTAAGATAAAAAGATTAAGGGAAGTGCACAAAGCATACGACTACAATACGAGTAAGATTACCTGCTGCAATTATAAGTTTTACTATTATCGATCAACTATTTTGTAAATCATAAATTTTTATGAATACCATAAAACTGTAACCTTTTTCTTCTATAAGATTGACTTTTAGATTCTGATGACCCGTCACTAGATTTTTGGGCCAAGGTTGTACTGACCCCTGTCGTATTAAAATTCCGCGGTGTTAATGGATCAATCAGTTCTCAAAAAATTAAGTTCACGCCTTATTTATAAATCATACGTTTAAACACGTTTCATGTGTGGGAATTGGCATTGAGTAATTTATCAATTGACGTATATTCATATGGCTGATATAGCGCCTCGAGGAACATATGTACTTGAACGTGGCTTACATTCGGTTATTTATTTAAAGAATATTTCACATATCGTAGTATCATTCTCCATTGATCATGTTGTAATGATTGTTAATTATATACGAATTGGCAATTATCGACATAATAAGACAATCGCATATGCTCATCGAATGTTCGTTCAGTCGTTATGGCCAATTTATCATTTGTATTTATTACTAGTTACATACAATGACATAAAGATACACGTGCTTCGTAACATCACTTCAGTATGGTTCGATGGGAAGTTAAAACTATCATTTCCTAGCATTTCTTACCATATATGAGACGTCAAGTAGCTTACGGTTCGAGCTCATTTCTTCTAGTTAGTTTTTGCAAATCTTTGCGTGCCAAATTATCAGTTTGCAGCTAGTCTTGTAATAAAACAAGATGTAAGCAAAATGAATTGTTTTCGATTTTTCCAATAGGTCAATGGTATCATCAATTATTTTACAAATTTTTTACAAAGCATTTCAACCACACGTGTTTTCTCTGAATTTAATACGTCGAGATGATACTGTCGTGGGAGTGAGGCTGCGCGGAATCGTTAAGGTAAATCAGATTACATTTTAATTTACCAAGGATATGCAATACTAATAGTTCCATAGGAAGGTTAGGGAACGGGCTTGATTCATAATGTAGCAGATCAAGGAGATGGCGATGTAAGTAAATGTCAGCAGCAACGACAATCGCGAATGATTAATTTTGCAAAGTTTTATTAGCATCGGAACTGACTTTATCGACATGAATTGGCAATTATCAAATTCACAGATCACATTAAGACTTTTTGCTATAACGATCATCGATAAAAATATTTAATATCAAGAATCAGCGAAATCACTGCTTATTTCGTAACGTAACGTTATTGCGTAACGTTGCAAGAAATATTAGCAAGTATGTGCAGTTCTGCATTCATGCATCTTATCAATATTATTCTTACTCATAGGAGGATCCTTGTGGGAGATACAAGAGGCGGAGTGCATGGTAAGATTTTTAGAAGATTCTCACATCGACTATTTAAATAATCCTTGGCGTCTATTTGAGGAAAATATTTTTTTGATTACTCATTCTATCCGGGTATTAAAATAATGATGGTCAATCACCCGTTATGCCAATATGATGTCAATTGAATTGCGAATGAAGATGTGCTAAATATATCGGGAAAAGATTCGTGCGTAGAAATTCTAATTCGAAGCATAACTCTCACTGGTCTGTCTGTCTGTCTATCTTATACATACTTATCTGCCATAGAGATCGAACAGTGCGTATGTGGTCCTGTTTTTCAAGCTGAGTACTCATCGGTCTGTTATTATACAAGGATAGCATGAACAATCGCGAGACATATTTGTCAGCCCAGGTGGAGCTAAGTCATTGACAGTGAAAATCATCATATTCAAGTTGAACTTGAATATTGGTTCTAAACATACAATATTCATGTAATCAATCAATCAAACGTTATATTTTAGGAAATAACATTAATGATGTTTATTGATGCTTATAATTACTACGTCGTTGAAATATTTTCTTAATTAGGTCGATATGACATATAGTGTTGTTTATCATTGTCTGAATGTTGTTTTGTCTCAGATGTACATAATTAATCGAAAACAAAATTATGTACTCGGAATTAACAGTGAATATTCAAATACCTATCGTTAGCATAAATTTTCGTATATCTTCACACTGCTATATGTGTGTTGCTGACATACCATATATCACTGTAAATGAAACAGGATGTTTCTATTAAAACCTTCAGTGGACAATGTGTGGAAGAGGAATAGAATTGTTGATGGGGAGTCTGGAGTTCTTGACGGTGCACCGGAAATATAATAATTCTAAGCATAAAGTGCGTGCTGCGCTTGTTAATGATTTCATTACTTACATAATTACAAAAGTGCAGAGTCGGATAAAGTTTGATTAAATGGTATCTTTTAGCAATATGTTAACTCCTTGCTTCGAGCCGCGTAATTGAACTTATTGAACGAGATCCATATTTTTCTTAGGTAGTTAGATATTTACATGCGCCAAAATTGGTCGTGATAAATTATCTCACGCTGCATTTAATTCGAACACCGAGCACCTTATTTTTGTGTATTATCGCCGTTTTAAAGTTTAAAGCGAAATTGATTCGCGGCCTTCTTTATATTTTTCACGATGAAATGACACGGTGTGAAGTTATTGTCTTCTATTATTATAATCATCGAATTTCAATTACCAACGTCATCATGTTTTGCAACGAGTATAGTTTATGGGTGGAGAGTCAAGGATTATTTTTCCTAACACTGAGCCGTTGTGGAATGCTAGACGGACGAGTAATTGGTAGTATTTTGATTTTTTTTTATGCAACTGTTTACTGACTCTAAATTTTGATTTCTTTACTGTGTGGAAAATAATATGAAATATCAATAAATATTATGTTCATCAATATGCATATCAATATTTTGTTAATCAAAATACTAGGTTTGGTATCCGCGAAAGAATTTGGTTCGTTAACAGTTATGGTGCTACTAATTTTAAACATTATTTAGCATTGAAAGACGTTGACAACTTCGCACGTGTGCTGAAATTATTTTCATATCTCACACCGATATCTACCATGCGCCTTTTATCGTACCTAAAGTGAATTTGAGTACCAATGATTATTGATTAGATGATAAATTAACAAATTTATCACAAATGTTTTTTTCAATATTTTTTTTATTGCCCAATGAAAACTAAGGATATTGGTTAAATAAAAAAACTTGAGATTTTTCGAAATTTTTCAACTTTGTACTTTCCGTTTGTTAGATAAAATATCAAATTCCTTCGACACTTCTAACGTTATCAGTTGGGATTATATTGAGCTGTCTTGGAATTACGGAAATGTTTTCAAGGCAAGTAATTGTTTTTGTTCCAAGTCATTTGGAATTTAGAAAGTATGAAAAAAATAACGTCCCATTTGCGTTCATTAAAAATTACTAGAATGCACGATGTCATCCGGTAAGTCCCAAAGTTTAAAGAAAAATAATTGACTGATTCACCTATTTCTTAGCTTTGTATATCTATATTATCTTAAGACCCGTCTGATCATAGAATTTTAATATCCAATATTCAGAAAGCAATTTTAACTTTTACAGTGATTTTTTTTCTCAAGTTTATCTATAGCAGTATCATTGACTATATAAGTATCATACTTTTTCAAGTAATAGGTATGGTATGTCTAATTCTCAATTAATTACACGGTATGTATCCACGAATCGAAAATGTATATATGACAATGAGTTAAGATTATTTATTACATCTATGTATAAATGAATAAGTGTGTCAACGTTTATATTTCTCTAATAGTATCTACTCTGGAAAATATTTGCATTAATGGATTATCATTTAATCGTATAATTGAATTCCTTATTATAATTCATCTTCAATACATTAAGACTTTTTATTTTCGCAATTATTTCAATGCGAAACCATAAAGTCTCTCGTATAGTGCAGCAGACGTGCTAAGGCATCTGCGCATATAATATGTTCCATTACGTTAAACTATCCAGTAGCAGTAGTAATAAGTAACTCACACCTCGCATACAAACAGTCGATTAAATACCAGCAATAATTACTATGATAAGTAATATCGTACAGTTACAGAAATAAAAAAAATATTCAAAGCCGATATCTCAAAGTCTTGTTAATCAATTAGCTTAGCAATGAAATCTTTTATATTTACTAACGTTCAATTAATTTGAATGCAAATAAATATTCACTTACTCCTGGACCATCTTGGTCTGCCGTCCGAATGCAATGGCAATGCAGCATTAAAAAATTGATTCATAACAACGGAAGACTTTCTTCTTAAACTCTTCGGATTGTTCGGTAGTGAAATTTCATCCAGCTGCTCATTAGGTATTGGATCAATATTTGGATCAGTATTCACGTTGGAATACCTTCTGCCAGCTAAACGATCCCAAATCGACACAATGTCCTTCATGATTGCACTGCACTTTTACCTTGACTACAGAAATGATAAACACGGTAGTCCTGAAGTAAATAAGATCGTAAGATGTCTTTCTAAGTCGCGCACGTTCAAGCAGCGATTGAACCACTGACAGAAAAACAACAGTTCACTCCAGTTTCACAAAACGATTTTCACCCAAGAACCACGAGGGGTACGCTTTCAGAAATTTCAACGAAAATGACTTTTTAACTATTCCGTATCTTTACGACACCCATTTATCAACGATACCGCGACTGAAAAATATTATGCACGTGTGCAGGATTCACGATTTAGGTATTTCATAAGTCTTTTATAAAATTTAAAGACACTCATTCAAAGACCCAATAAAATTACTCAATAGAGGACTGACCGATGACTGACAGGTCGGTACGTAACTCGTTTAAAATTTACCAGACAATATTTCGTCGTAACGGAGAATCGAACGTACTTACTAAAATCTCCACTGATTCGAGTGTACGACTCGATGCAAACTCTATGCGATACCGTGAATAAGTGATGTAAATGATTGGCCGACTTCGAAAAATATCAGATGTACCAACCCCACCTTGTCGATGTCTGTTCAAAGTGGAAGTGGTTGTTGCACGTGGATCACCAGCCAATGGTAAAGACTGACCGTTGTCCCACCAAGTCTGCGAGCGTTCGCCACTACTGTTCTTCCTTGCGATCCTAGACTGACGTACGAAAGTGACATTCCCGTCAAGTTGATAGACACTTTCAACAAAGTATCTTCTACGAAGCCAACGTTATTTCTATTTCTGAGACGCGATATAAGGTCCAAATTTGAAAACAAGTCCATGTGATTTGGATTTGTTTTCGACGTATATAAACTTTCCGAATATGAAACTAATATAATTATCTAGCCGCTTATTTGTCTTCGTTTAAATGACTGGCTTACCGATACCTAAATATCATGGATGGACAAACAATTGTAGTGCCGCGCAATTATCTTAAGGTTAACGATTATTTTGGCACGTGACTGAATCGACAGACTCAAATACACATTTGTATATTTCTCACTGTTAAATGCGTTTCTATGCATGTATAAATTATTAATGCTATATTGTGTAACATTTGTGAACAATAATTATATTACAATTTACAATGATTCTTGTACAATGCCACTTTAACACTATTCCCATAAAGCTTTATATCATAAGGAGTTACGTTTGATCTTTAGAATGACATTGTAAACACATTCGACTGTACACGTACGTTCAATGGACATCGCAGTATCCTTTACGAAGGGTGTATTCTGCGTCGCAATAATTTTTATACTACTCCTGTTGATTTCTTTCCACGCGGTTGACTTTGTAACGTCAATAGTCTCCTGATGTACTGTGTGAATTGCCAGTTTTTGCACGATTACTTCTCAGTATGGCATATCGTGCTTACGCGCTTTGGATTGCAAAAAAGGAAGACATCCTTTACGATTTATTGTCCCAGGTTCTATTCAAATATGTTTTCTCCTTTTTCGTTTCCACGATGCCTAATACTGAAGATCATTACTAATAAGTGCCATAGCAGTGCAGTGATAATAAAAAAAAATGTTCAGAATTTTTTTCAATTCCTATTTTTCTCTTAATGCTTAGTGATATTAAATACTTTTAGTACATCTTTTTCTTTTCTTTATAGAACGGATTGTGCGATGCATCGGTCGTCGTAAAAATCGATAAACCAGTTTTGTATCAAGGATAGCGTATCTAACACAGATTGACAATCGAAGGTCGAGAAATCCGTAAATACCTGAAACATGGCATACGGAAGTGCATTAAGGGTTTTTTTTCTTACATGCGAATTTGCAGATTTAAAATGATTTGTTCAACCTTACTCAGAAAGTGACTCGTTCTCATCTAATGAAGCCTATTACAAATTAAATATGCATTGGGAAAAACGATACAAAACCCCTCTAGCCTTGGACTGGTTTCTCAATTTGCTATACCTACGTCCATATAGTTTCCACGGGTTATTCAGCTGAGTCATTAATTGACTGAGGCACCGATTGTTTTGAAACGCTTGAAGAAATGGCTTGAGACCTTTTTTCATTTTCGAAGATCACGGCACCAGACTTCCCTGATAATATATCTTTCGTATATCAAGATTACCCATGTACCTTCATCTTTTACAGCACGTATAATTTTATACATTGATTTTTTTAGACATTCATTTTTATTAAATTCAAATCCTTCCTAATAGAGACCCGTACTTACGTACTGGATGCCGTGTTATTTATATTGAAGAGAATTGAAAACAGGATGTCGATTAACCTATTCGTTTCGCTTTTTATAAAATGAACGTGCGTTAGCAAAACTGTCATGACATTTTACTGTTTCTCGTCGTAGATAAATCCCCTTCTGGATATCCCCATAAAAGACATTAATCTTAAAAATTCTCCAAATAATTTCGAATAGACATTTTTTACTTAGCATAATCAGATACGATCTCTTATTGGCATAAAATTGTTTTTTTTTTTTCACTTAGTCCTCCATATGCATCTGACTATGGTTTCGCAAGAGTGGCATTATTATTTAATAAATTTTATCAAACGTATAATTAGACGTCACGATCCATTATTAATACCTTCGAATATTTTGGGAGTGATGTATGCACATTCTCTATGATATATACGATATGCTTTTATTTAATCGTAGGTTTAATAAATACCTTTTAAAAACACATATTTCATGACTATTTATGTATAATAAGGATGCTCTCTTTAATCGAGTACTGTATATCTACTGTTATATTTAGAAAATAAATGATATTTATATCTAATTAGTTTTTAATTACGAACTTTGTTTAACATCGAGGATCGAGTAAAATTTGCTTAATAATCGATCCGAGACAGAATGGATAAATCATTGATGCACGATGGTGACCTACACTTGTATCAGTAAGGGGGAAATATCTCCTTAAGACCAGTTTCCAACTAGCAAGGAGAGCAAGGTTTGTGTAAAATATAAACTGTGAGATGAATTTACTGCAAGGTAGAGTATCGATGTTTATAACAAAGGGAATTTAAGAAAAAAGTAATATAAACATTCCCAGGATTCTTTAATGGAGATATAATGAGAAATTCTATGGGACAATATATACAGACTTTATTAATTTTATTAAAAATTGTCAAGTCATGCTAATGATAAAAGTATATATAAGATTAGTTGGAAAGTAGTATGCACATTATTTATTTTAAATTTATTTTGATCTTTCAATGCCACTTAATGCATTTTTAATGATAATACCAAAAGAGTGAGTATTAATCAATGTTTAATATGTATTCTGCGTCAATACGTGCTACGAACTTTATAAATAGATAAAAAAAGTAAATGAAATATGACGTTTGATGTAATTATAAGTTTTAATTCACTGGATTATCTTCTTGCTGTGAAAGAGACGGAATACAAATCTACAAAGTAAACAAATGAAGGGGTGGATAAAATGCAGAACAGAATTCCGAATGTTGTAATTGACGTTTCTGCAGCAGTGGTATAACCTTCGGGAAGTTAGTGGTCATTGAAGTTGGACAGGTTAATCTCTGTAGCCGTGATAATTACTGACATACCATTGCACACTGTCCTCTTACGTATTGATACGAAGAATTAAGTGAGAATCCTGAACTTGAAATAGTTCATAAAGCCAGTGCTAAATGTTTAACTTATCGTGAAACAAGGATTTCTAAGAAATAAGATACAAGATATGAATACAAGAGCAAAAAAACTATCGCAGCAATTACCAACGGAGAAATATGTGAAATTAATAAAATTGCACAATCCTATATAATTATTTATTCCGCATCACGTTGTTACGCGGAAAAGATAATTTATTGTTTCCAAGTAATAAAATAAACCACGTATATTCTGTAATGATGACGTTCCTCAAGATTATTGACAACTGACGCGCATTAGTTTCGAACAAATTGCCTGTATATATCGTGAATATGGAAAATTTTTTTAATATCTGATATTTAATATTTAATCGACAATGCCAAGAGTAGGTACTTTATCTGACTGAAATAATATGTAAAATGCACAAAGTTTAATTGCTGAATAAAAAGATAAAAGTGAAAAGGACGTCGTATTAACTGACTCTTGTAATTTTATATGATTATGGTGCATTTTATTTATATTTATATCACGATTTGTATATAGTTTATTCCATATATATGCATACAAAAGTTTGAGTTATCTTTCATACGAGAGTGTACTTGAACGTCCAATATTATTAAAATTATAATCAACATCATGTTATTCATAGCGAAAGGTTAAAGATCGTCGTGCAGTTTGACGAAGTTCAAAATGAGAAGATCAGACGAATGTCGAGTTACATAGAAATTACACAATAAAGTTGCATAATAGAATAAAAAATTTGATCAGACAAAAAAATGGTACTATCTTTGGAAATTGAACGTTTTCAAGGATTCAATAGATTTTTACGCTCGAGTTACGCGTGTATTGCCTTCGTTGAACGGATGATAAACTATTTAAAGAAGGTCAAAAAAGTTTTATTCGTTTAAATAAAAGTCAATGATGATATTGAAGTGATCCATGCAGTATTTATGACTTTTCATTTTCTGAAATTTTTTCCTCGATTGTTCTCTGATATTATCGCATATAAGCTAATTTGTAAAGATTACTCAGAGTGGGCTAAGTATCTACGACCGCATATATGTGTAGTAATTATTCATTTTAATGCTTTTTTACCGATGAATTTTTGGGCTATTAAATATGATTCAGGATTTCTTTTAATACTTAATTGACATGCAATCTTAGATGAATCTTTAAAGAATGCTTTACCTTATGCTTCAAATAACTCATTGAATATATGAAAATTCATAAAATTCATTAACGCATCAAGGAAATTTTCCTGTACGGTCGTGCAGCGAGGAATCGTCAAAGTTACAAATATCCTAGAACGATTGTTAATGTGCCAAGTTAATCGAACATAGGAATATGCATAGACTCGTGTTTTGCTAGTCGAATAAAATTTTTTATCGAATCTACTATTATTTTGCGAAGTCATCAAATATGCGTATGACGTACATAATTTTTAATCACGTATAATTTATGAGATGAATCCAATAAACATTTTGATTATTATTTCCGGTTTTTTCAACAATCGTACAAATCAAATGAGCTTGCTCAATTTCAGGTGCTGTGTTCTTATTAGCCTGGTGCATACATATGGCTTATAATATACAGATTTAATCAGTACAAACGCACCAGCTGAAGTTGGGCGCAAGTAGCCGACACAGTAGTGTGGCATCTCCAAAAAAATGACAGTCAGTCACAGCTGACTTAACTGATATTACATTTTGTCTGAATAACCCTATATATATGTATATATAAAAGCGATTGCCTGATGCTGTTTACATTGCAACAAGATTACGGATGCTAATAGCTCACAGTGTCAATTATGCAAGGCTTAGTCTTGAACTCTAGATAAATGTATATCCGTTTACATTACGCAGTATCCTCGGATATTCGGCCCTGATGGCGCCTTGGAGGACAGGCGGCTTTGGTTTTCATCCGTAAGGGTCTATAGGGGAGCGGGGTACTTCACATCTACCAATTTTATGAGACCTGAAAAGTCTCGAAGTCCTCGCTGACTAGATCAGCACCCTTATCATCGTGTATTGCGTGGACAGAAAATCGAAGACCTATGTCTAGGGAAAATTCAAACACATTTCCTCGTTCCAAGAAAGGATCCAAGGCATGGCATGCAGAGGACCTAAAAATTGGTCTAGACTTAGTTACAATTCAGCTTTCACTAAAGGCAGACCACTGTGCAAACAATAAATAAAAAAGAATACATCATCAAAATTAGATTCTTATTCCAAATTGGTTGTCATCATCATTAAATTTAAATCAGTTGGCGGAGTTCACGTTCCTATTCCGACGCGTTTTAAAAGTAATATAATATGTTACGATAAAGGGGCATACACACGAGTAAAATAAATTATTTAATTTTTTGCTATTGTACAAATAATGCTAAATTACAACGACAAAAAAATTGCCGTACTTTAAAGATGTGAACTTGAAAACGTTAATACGAATAAACGTGCCACTTATTGACTCGGTCAGTTTCCGCTACACGTACACGCGATATGTTTAATATATTCACATATACCGGCACAACCGACTTGAACAAGATTTAATTTCTTCGTTTGAAAAAAATCTCGAGGATATCTTCGAGAGACACGATCTCGAAAGTTCGACCATACTTTTTTTTTTTAATTGAACGGCACTTTTCTCCTACCTTCGTTCTCAGAAGCAAGGACGTAAACGCCATATTCATATCGATCACGTGATTGTAAACAGATTCTCGAAGATTCGTTCGCCTTCTACAATTCAGCTAGATGATTCACGAGTTATACTACTAACGTGTTGTCGTTACGGAATTGTTTCTGCGACTCTAGCAGCCTAGGGGCATTTCGTATATTTGAATTTAGTAATTTTCCAGGACCAAATGTCTAGGTTCTAGTCGATGACGAATGGCGTTTCGTTATTTCTTTGAGCTTATGAAATTTGATACTTTATGCGCTGTTCGAGTATTTCATAGAGGGAAACCAGCACGTGTTAGTCGAATCAAGAAACTTGGTTAAGATTGACGTCATTTCGGGTTTTTCGAATAATATATGAATAGTGGATTATCCTAATTTAAAAACTTAATGTATGGCAGACCTGATCTATGGAAAAGAAAATGTAAACATTTATGAAAATTTTTCTCTAATTTGACAATTTAAATTCACTAATTTTTCTATGGTGTTCGTAATGACTTTTTACGTATTTATGACAAATATAAACACAGCTATCAGATGTTTTATGGAATACGTTATTGTATTAGATTATTTAATCCAAAATCCTCACCGCTACTTTTGGCACTAAGTAGTCCCACACATGGATCATTCACAGCCATGGCATATTACATCATTTTATGATTAATAAAAAATTTTTCATGTGTCTTAGGATCTTAACCATAAAATTAAATTGTCATAGTTTAATCAAATTAATTTTGCGTAATTTTTTTTACCGAGATTTGAACATAAATGGCTTAGATTCACCCTATTGATAAATTTTTCGAGAATACGAATGGAACCATCAATGAGAATCCTGGATTAGTATTTTATTATTTATTGTGATGGCAATAATATAGCTTCACGTATAAATGGCTTTCAGTACTTTGAATTATTCGCCATTTGTTCGGCTTGCTGTAATTATTAGCTGTCAATATAATATTCATACTTGCAATTTCTCGGCCAATCAATGAATAGAGGAATGGAAAATATTTTGAAATGAGGTTTGACAAGTTATCGCTTATTTTCTTAATAAAAGATACGATCCTATCGTTTTTAGCGCAATAAGTGAATACATAAATACGTGACTAGCTTATACGGATTACACAGGTCACTAGACACTGACAGCATTTGCATGTTTTCTTGAACGATTGAGAATTTTGTTTTGCTCCTTTAATACGAAGTGACTACAAGTAATAATAGGATAAAGTAAAAGAAAAAAGGGCAGACTGACGTTAAACAGGCAAAGAAGGCAGGGAATCACAATAAGAAGTACGTAATAAATTTGATCAGCAGTGGTTCTCCAATTATGAATGATTAGTTATAGTCCACGTAGAGAAAAATTTAAGATTACACAGAATCTGTGTTTCTTAGAATGTCTATAGCTCATGGGAACAGCATGGTTAAAAATATTAATGCACACGTGTATCGTATTTGAGTTAGCTTTAACCTTCGATACTTACGAAGAAAATTAAATTTCATAAATGAGCCTTGACATATTTTTCAAGCTATAACAAATAGTACCTATTGATAATCACTGTTGCTGGAGAGGTGAAGAAAGTTTGAAGAAAAAACGATTATTTTATTACGAAGATTAATGTATTCGCAAACTCTCTAGGCCCTTCTTTTCTTGAGTGTCTTATGACGTCAACTGTGGAATCCCAAGGCACAAACTATACCCTAATAACAACATGGGAATACCTCAGATCCTTTCAGACGAATCTGTCTATTATAGTGTGATACACCGAAAAAAAAAAAAAACAGAAAGGATACGGGAAAAAAACAAACTATTTGATGAAGCTGTTTGTTTTCCAAATTGTGGTCCAATGAAATATTTTTAATTCGCGGATATTCCAGACCGTGACCGTATCGGTTATTGGGTATGTTTAACTGGAAGTTACTTGATCCCTCAGAGAAAATAATATTAAAAAAGCTCGTGCTCTACGTGTACGATAACCTTCATCCACTTGTTTTGCCTTGTAATGTAACACCACGTATGAGAATGACTGTACGATGAATTTAATTCTAAAAGTTGTTTTGAATCTATCACATGGGTAATTAAGCTGTCGATGCCAACATTGTTTCCGAGTGAACGTGCGCAAATGACCAATTTACCTATAATAAATGTGCGGACCACAGACCCTCGGGGAATTTTCATAATGTATTTTAATGACGAATGACAGTTTTTATGTACTTCATAATGTCTATAAAAAGTTTGTTTGGTTATTATCCATAGAAAAACAAATATCGGCATATTCGATAGTGTTGCTACAATAAGAATTCCTCTATAATATGTATATTGATACTAGACATTGAACTTGATTGTTATGATTTCATAATTAACGAAGGAAGAGATACTTTGTATGTGGCATGCGAACGTGTGATATGATAAGAGGGACAAATCCTATTATAATCTCATAATTTCATATATGATTCGTAATTATAAATGCGTGACAAAGACTAATGGATTTCAATCAATTATATGATTCCTGTGTAATATACCTGCGAGGGGTTACGAAGAATAATGTCTTGCAAATTGAATGTTGAGTTACGCAATAATAATATATTTTTCCATAGTTCAATATCGAGGACAAAATGAAGTGACAAAATATAGGTTCAAATATTTTTAAAAGTTAACATTTCTCTTTTTGAACTTTCGTCAAATTCACCTTGAACGAAAGAAAGTTATTCGTTAACTTTCAATTATTCGATATATATCTATGTATACATATATAGATAATTAAATTATTCATTTTCAGGGAGATATTTATATCAATTTTCATATAAGTAGCAAGATTAATCGTTTAGATAGCATCGCGCAATGACGCATTTTGCCATACTGGTGTACAGTACTTTATGCATTAATTTTATGACCTGTTGCATTCATCGATAGCGTTATATTAATGATAGCATATTACATGATGACTTTTTAGAATACAAAGACAGTTGATATTAATGGCAAAATTTGTACAAGATGCCTTACCTTGAATTGAACAGTACGAACAAGATCCTTTCGCATAACTTTAACTTGATATCGATACTCTACAGGTAATATAATTTTCCATTATCGATTTATACTAGTCATCTAATCATTTTAAATATATACAGTTATAATCAAATCGATTGCGATGACTTTTGGAACATATTCATTGCCTATGCATTTGCTTTATTAATAATGATCCGATCGCAGTGCATGTCCTGTGCAACGAATAGCTTTATGTGTTTATAATTAGCAGTAATTTTCTTCAGTAGATATGTGTAATAACTGGATGAAAACGTCAGTAATTTGCAAAATGTTCCTTCTTAGAAACTCACACATCGAGTATTATTACTTTTGAATTAATTGCGTATCAGATTTAATAAAATATCTACCAATTGCTTATAAAAAGTAAATAAAGCAGAAATAATTAATATTTCATATGAAAATGAAGACGAATAGGAACACGAATCGAATAGGATTACGAAGACGTTATAAATGTCTTTTGTTCTACCATAATATAGCTTAACAAGATAGTAGATAACAAGATAGGTTTCGTAAATGGAAAAACTGTAGTACGTACCGTTGCTGACAATTAGATAACTGGATACTATTGATATACCTTATGAAGTAAATAACCTATCCGTTTAATTGAAATAGTTTTTTATATGATATTTCAATAACGGTTAAGTTATATACTTTTTTCTTATAATTTTTCAATTCGATCACCGATGTCGATTTTCCTTTTCCCATATTTAAAACGTTACGATTGGATCTCGGACAATGTGTTCGGTAAGGCATGTCAACAAAATGTCCTTTTCAATGTTACATAGTTACTTTTCGATGATGGTTGTAACAGCAGACTTGTGCCTCCTAGCACCACTCCTCTCGTTCCTCTTGTAGGGCAAATATCAGGGATGGATATAGTTTTGATCTTCGCCTTGCATTTCTCCATTTCGGTCTTCGGAGACCCTGTAAATCACCGGCCAAGTTAAATTATTATAAATTTTGGATAAATCGAATTTAGCTGTTGAAAAGATTCTTCGATCTGCTGTTTGATATACAGTATGTAAATAGTATAAATTCTTGATCTTTGGATATGATGTATGATATGGTACGACGAGAATTTCATAACGCGAAGGAAATCTTCAATTGCAGTAATCTTGGAATAAATATCGTCCCGAGGACGTAAACGTACATAAAAACAACAATTTCAAGTAATTAACGTATTATGCTTTAATTTCATTGTTTCCTCTATGCACACAACATGAAATAATTATTACTAAACCCATTTCCCTTCGATCACTATAATGATACGTCCACTTTGTAGAATCTATGACGTTAGAAAACACTTTTCTAACACGCAACGAAGTTGGCACTATTTTAATTAAGCTGTAGTGTCTTAATTATAAGCAGAGACAAAGAAAAAGAGAAAAACATCTACAAACGTATCACCGAATGATTATACCATGAGTATAAAATATGAACAACATATAATTAAAAGGACGACATTTCTAGAAAATCATGAGATTAAAGGATTTGATTATTCCTTTACGTACGTATTGGCATATTGGCGTAGCACAGCATCCCTAAGAACTTATCCTCAAGTTCCGATTCAGTATAATATACGGATATACCGTAAGTATTAATTTTTGTCACTATTTCCACGACACGTGTCAGAGATCAGCGATATTACAATATCTTCAATGTAATCAAGTGATTTCGCTGACCAGCATTTACCAGGAGGCAAATTTTCGTTGAATAGATGTCAGCAATCCCGGTGCTTCGATCAACGACCGTTCGTCCACTGAAGGGACGTTCCGATTGAACTCGTTCGGATTCTCAGCATTTTCCAAACAGTTCAGTATGCTACATTGATAATGGCATACACAGCAACAACTATCCATATCATTCTTTCATATGTATATTAAATATAAGACGTAGCTGTCTTATTATCTAATTAGGTAACGTAGTGAATCTCCAACCAACTGGATCTACGAGGAAGAAGTATAAACCAGCATACACAGCATATCAAAGCCTTATATATAGAATGCGTGGGAATAATTGATATGGATTAATTTTATATTTAATGCACTGAGAATGAGTATGTATACAATGGTAATGAAGATGGACTACTCCTTTGAATCTTTGTCGTTCGTTGCGTTTACTTCTTTAAGATTTTCCGTATTGTCGTTCCTCTTTTTATTCTTGCCCCTGTTTGCGTCTTCTTTAACATTCTTGTTTTTCTTATCAGACTGACGACTATTCTGTTGTCGGTTCTTTTCGATATTCTCTTTGTCCTCTTTAGTCAAGCCGCAACCTGGTAACAGACGGTTTGTAACTTTTCATAAATTATTTGATTAATACTATAGTGGAATAATGATGATTATTTTGCACGATGATCATTTTATGATTTTTATGATAATGCAATTACCTGCGAGATAAACTTCACTGTCGAAAGAACAAATAGTATCTTTGCAGTAGTCGTTCTCGTCAACTTCTGATTCTTTAGGTTTCGTCGACTTCTCAGTTACCTTGGAACACCAGAATTTGTCTTTCTCACGTTTATTCTTCCGCCGGCTACTAGTTTTCTTCTCCTTCTTTTGCTCCTTCTTTTTATTTCCTTTGTTCGGCCGATTGTTTTTATTTTCTTTATTTTCTTCTACTTTTTTCTCATTCTTTTCTTTGTTCGTTTTATTTTTTTCATTCGACGATACTTGCTTCGTAGTTGCGGCTAGGCGAGAAATAAAGACATGGAAATTTTTAAATATATTCTTAAAAATCACGCGTACACAAATAACACGTTAAAATCATTACGATGTAATTGATTGCATTTTTACGTATGTAAGTAAAAACTTTAAAAAAAGCAATACATTGTATGACAAAAAAATACTCATTATCTATTTACGCATCAATGGCCCTGGATTTTAGTCGTCTTAGATTTCATAATCTTTCATGCCCCTTTTTTTACATGCCTAATATGCTACATTTACGCTTATCAAATAAAATGCAATATATGACAAAAACAAGAATCAGCGTTTTCGTATTTCTTTTTCACTGGGACGTTTCATCACTATATACTTATGATTTTCAGTATGTCAAAGGTTAATATAATCGAAGGAATTAATTTATGTATCCAACGTACCGCGTATGCGCTCTCTGGACTTTGGTTTAGCAGGATAAGGCTTTGTCTTGGGAGTTACAGGACAAGGATGTTTTAGTCCTTCAAGGAAACAAAATACATGACGAGGATTTATGTATTTTTCTCTATCGGCCATAGGTGGTTGAATTCTTAATAGTATGTTTTCGGCATTCGTGAGATTATTTTTGGGTACAGGCGATAATCTTGATTTTGATTTTTTATGTCTTTTGCTCTTCTGAGGTATCTGTTCCTTCGATTCGCAATCGTAATCATTTATCACTGTATGGGCTTTTTTTCTTTTACAATTTTTTATAGTAATTTTTTTTGCTCTCTTATATTTGCAACATTCGTTGTACATGATTCTTCGAAATTGAATGACGTCAAATAAATTCTTACGTAGACGAGGATTACCCGTGTTTTTTAACTTTATTAAACGAGCCGAAAGGATTTACGGTCATGACGAAAAGGACCTTCCATCTGTGCTGCTTCTGTGTTAATATGCTAATACGATTGCAAGACGTATGTACTTTTATTGTGAGACCATATTAACATAGCCAGTTTGTGTTATGTCACTATGAATTTCACATGGTCGAACAATGCTCTTGAGCACTTTGTTTCCGTATAAACTTTTTAACGATGTAAAATTTCAAGGTAAGTTGAAAAACCATTTCATCTGTACGTACTTTAAATGGTAGTTATATGATTTATTCTTGACATTCACTATGTCACATTACCATTGTAAACATATTTTCATCAGCCATTATTTTTCAGTTTCCAAAATATTGTAATTTGTGCATTTTTCACGCAGCCGAAATAATAAAATTATATAAATATTGTGCCTGATATAAAATTTAGAATACGAACATACAGACATGTAATAGAAGAATTTTGTTTTATCGAAAACGACCGGAAACAGTAAATAGATTTAAGCAAACTTCACACGATTCATTCCCTTACGTTGTTTTCGTTTTAAGAAACAAATTAAGATTCGAAATGTTGCTCTTTGTTAAATTCTCGTAAAATAGAGTAAATGCTAAAATTTTATGTGTAATCGTCTTACGTTAACAAGAACGATAGAAAATTGTCGATAAGAAATAATATAATTAATAATGATCGCCATCCGGACGTGAAACTGTCAGTTTTCAATATTCGTATTTAAAAATTGTTAAAAGAAATCAACCAGGATTAATGATTATTTTCTTACTCTTCTTTTCAGAAAATATAAAATAATCAAGCTAAGTTAATATGGCAGGTAAAAAAACCGACATAGTCAAAAGTTCTAAGGAATCCAACGATGCTAAAGTTAAACTAAAGGATCTTTGTTCTGACGAAAAAATTCTACCGGACGTCGAAATTAATGCTTTGGGTAAAATTACAAAACACATAGAGGAACTTAAAGAGAATGTTTCTAGTGGCGATGAGATAGACGAGGAGCTCGAAAACGAATATTACATTTTAAATGATTTACTCAACTTCCCCGAAGAAACTCATTCGCTTACAAAAATAGATCCTAATTTACCAGAATGTCTCAAATACGGTGTTCGGTCTGGATTGACACACATGAATATGTCCAAATTTTCACCATTATCGAGAGGCTATCAGGTAATAGTAAAACTTTATTAATTACACAGCCAATTAATTAAAAGCCATTTAAGAGCAATTTTTCAATAAAAATACACATGACGTAAAAAATGTTATACGATATCGTGCATAAAAAAGTATAATTTATTACGGAATGGTACTATGCAAACCATTAGAAATATAACGTCAAAAGAGAAAAGAAATGTCAAAGTTCGTCGACAAATCATTAAATATAAAGTCGCGCAAGTTTTATGAATACGGGTTATAATGTACTATTGACTAAAGTATATCTGGTGGGTGACATTTTTTAATTATATAAGCAGTCAGTGTGTGCTATAAAATATAATAAATGGCAAAGTTTGAAAAAATCAATTATGCAAATTAAAAAAAAGTCATATGCTTTCGCGCCGTTGAATCATGTTGTTTTTATATTTTATGTATAGGATATGGGACGGAAATAATTTTTATATTATTTTCATTGCAGGGCGCGGCAATCGCAATAACAGCCTATGCAACAACTTCACTGCAGAAAGCACGTTGCTGGAACGAGTTGATCATAGATCAGATAGTAGAGGATGGCGATAGTTATTACCGTGACTCTTACAAGGAGGTGGACACAGATGATCGTAGGACACTGACCGTAGTCGACCTCAAGAAAGATCTGATTGTGCAAAACAGTCACCGCGTGTTTTTAAGAATCGACGAGCCAAGTTACGCAGGTGCATTTCGTTCCGAGTCTCCTACGGAGATGCACCTAATGAAGGCACTGGATCTTTTTTTCAAGAGATACGATGCAGGTATCCTAACCTCACCGCGATTGAACGTGGCCATCTGGCGGGATGCTAGGCAGTTTAATATTTTCGATGGACAGGCAAGAAAAGAAAATTGTGAGCCGGTTTCATCCGGTCAAGCTGGTTCAGCTAAGTTGATGCTGGTGAGGGATATATCTGGAGTCGCTTTTATCATCCTTGAGAAGAGTAACGTTAAGAACGAACCATTTGTATTATTCGGCGTTGGGATTAAATGCGCATATAAGATCCCAGCAACGAAGGATGATCCTGCCGAGCCGGAAAAATCTATTGGAAGACCAAAAAGGAGGCCCAGTGGTTACAAAATACAGGAAGCATTTCGAGCGCTGGTGCGAGGCTCTTATCATATGATGCATTCTGTTATTCCTAAGGAACTTCAAGGTCGTGGACATCTTGTACTGGCTCTTGCGGCTTTAATATACTCGCGTCTCGTTAACGCCAATAAGTGGAATTCGGCTATGGTTGATTTAATATTTAATCAAGCTCATATTTATCTGGTGGATCTGGTTAGAGTATTGCAAAAGAAATTCGATGACACCTTCGAGCTGAAAATCGATGAAATGATCGGTGACGTTGTCTTGGGTATATACGCTGCTAAAGTTAAAGTGGAAGTAAACGTTGTGCCTGGCCAAGGAAAGAAGGGGAAGGCTACTATAGATAATGGGGTTCGTGAATTCTTTAATAAGCACGCGACCGGTATTTTAGAGGTCAAAAAGACCTTCTATGCCATTTGGAAAGAGTTCGATAAGTATTATTTTTTTGATCCGTTTGCCTGTGATGATCAAGGATTCCGAGTGGATCCAACGGATCCTGAGTCTGCGGGAAGATACAAAGCAGCTGTGGCGTGTGTCACTATGAATAGTTCCATAAATCAAATGATTGAAACGATATTGGAGAATACTGGAAACAAGGAAAAGGATCCATTTATAATACACGGGCTACGCGTATTGTACATTAAAACAGGCACAGTCATAGATGGTCCTTTGGATCGTGTGATATATCGTGAGAGAAAAATAAATCGTAGACCAAAAGCATTAAAGAAAGATTTGCCAATCTTATCGATAGAGGACTCTTGTAAAAAGGAATTAGACATGACCCCAAAGCCTAGACCGGATGCAGAGAGGACGAAAGATGTGGGTACGCAATTTCCGGAATTAATGAAGAACATTGAAGCTTATATGACAAGGGAGGGAGAGCCCATGACTTTTGTCGAATTACAAATGTCTGATAATCCAAATCCTAATTTACAAGATACGTCCCAGAAAACAGATAATACAGAGACTACTGAAAACGATAAAAGATTATCGGATAGTCAACGGGAGGCGAAACTTGAAAGCTTCAAAGATTTGCTACGAACCGGAGATGAATCGTCACGAGTGGAAGAGAACGAAGAGAAACTGATGGAGCTGGAGCAACAAGTGAAATATGTAAAAGGTTACCATATTGTTAATCCACATTGTATAATACTGCAAGGCTCGCGGAATTGTTTAGATTCACGGTATCCAAAAAAGTGTCGTGGAAAACAAGGTTTAATAATAGCTCTTACTGGCATCGCGTATGCAAAGATAAAGGAACCATGGAAATGGCGTAATTTGGATATCGATCAGATAATTGATGTTGCTGACAAGACATATGCGGAGGTTGCAATTTGGATTTATCAAGGTAGCAAAAAGACGAAAACGGAGAATGACAACGATGATGGCGCAAGGGGAGAAACACGAGAGAGCGAAGGAAATGTGAAAAAGAAAGGTTTAGGTGAGGAGACTAAAAGTATGGGCAAAGCAACTGAAGTAGCCGGTTTTAAAGGTGTACCGGTTCCTAATCATCTTGACTTCACTGTGCTACCGGAAAAGTTACAATTTGGCGAGAACGAGATATCTTTTAAGGGTAAAGTAAATATAGCCGAAGGTGATGCAAATCCACTTGCGAATCTTGGCGAGGCTCTGGAATGTTTGTTTAAACGTTATGAAGAATTAATAGTAGAAAATAGTAATTTAATATATGCCGTATGGCGAAAAGATGACAAGTTTTTTTTATTAAATCCATACGGCAGTGACAGAGAGGGTTGGAGAATCAGAGACCATGCTGCTTCATTAATAGTGACAGATAGCATAAATGAACTTAGTGATTTATTTCATGGTATTCTTGAATTTAATGATTCCAAATTTAACATCCATTTTATTTCTATCGAATCGATTCAACCTAATGATAAATATATTATAGCAAGTTCCGTAGAAATGCCACCTGTCGAATTTTCGGAAACGTATCGAACTAAATTTTTACCGATTACCGACGAGGACTTAATTGATTCTAAAATGGAAAAAGTTAACGTACAAGTCAATCAAGAACCGGCGAATGAAGGTAAGGTCGACCAAATTGATAATAATGAGGAAGAGACTTCAAAGATAGAGGGAACTGGTCAAGGTGACGCAGTGATACAAAGCGAATCGGAGAAAGAGGTTGAATCAGTAAAGGATATTCTTTTAAGCGTAGAAGAACATACGCAACCCGATGCACCAGATAGATTAAATTTATTTCTTCTCACCGATGGCATTGATATTGAAGAAGAAAATCCAGAAATTAGTGAAGAGTCCAAAGAAATAATTGCCTACGAGAGATTGAAGTACATGCACCCACCACCCTACGTTTTACCATCGAAAAAGGCACTTTGCGTTCTTGCGGAAGCGAAACGTGCTTCGGCATCTGTACATTCGTTGCTGTCCCGATTTTCGATAGATTCTAAATTGGCTATAAAAGAAGGCAGTGAGTTACCAGAAAAAAAACCAGCAGAACAAACAGCAGTCGTAGTGTCTGATGCACTCGACATGGCAATACCCTCGAAGCTAATTAAGTTTCCACTAAAAAAGTATTTAGTCTCGAGAATTTTATCACTTGGTTTTACACCGCTTAGAGCGATCGACGAAAGATTCATTCAGGACGAAGATATAGATAAGATTATGGAAGAGGAATGCATTGCAAAAAGTCAGAAAAGTACAAATGAGAATATCTACAGAGAAAAAGTTCCCGAAATTCCTACAGAAATTCGTATCACACCGCTGATAATACCATTGGGACCAACGATAAGAACATTAAGACCGAAGAAGAAATTGAAAGCGTGCATCGTCGGAAGCGACAGGAAATGTAAATTAAAGAAAAAATACAAAGGAGACAGTATTCTAGAGAAGCTCGAGTGTAAAACTGAAGAAGTATTGTTCGACCTGCTGTTTCCGCATTCCGAAGAGGCTGAAAAAGTAAGTATTGATTCATTCAATGTTCTTATACATCAGACGGATATATGATAAACGTACGACATTCGTGACTCGAATTCGCTTTTTCCCCACAGGATATGAAATTGGAAAAGAAAAAGGATCCTTGTAAGGAGAAAAGAAGAAAAGAGTCCAACGTGCGGATGAAGGATGATAAGTCAAAGGTTAAAAAGTCCACGGAACCAGAAAGTTGTGGATTTAAAGATACAGACGACGATATAGGTATAATCGAAGGAAACACGTGCCTGAAGAATCGAGGGGAAGTCGATGAGTGTCATTTTAAAGCATGTTATTACAGTGCAATTTTATGCATTCTTGCTAAAGTGCAATTAGACGTTGACAATTTCCGTGGTAGTATTCTAGACCAGTTTATACTAGTAGGCGACAAAATATATCAGCGTACAGGAAAGTTACGATACAAACCATTAAGGTGGTTTCACAACATCGAAATTCTCGGTGCACGATACAACGTGATACTCAAACAAGTACTCTACGCCGACCCGGAGAATTGTGAAGCAGATAACTTACTTGCCGGGGTAGATGCCTACCTGAAGAAGGATCAGACGGGCATTTTGGTATTCGGTAACGCGTCCTATGCCTTCTGGCTGAACGAAGAGCGTCTCTACCTTTTCGATCCGTATGCGTGCGATGACAAAGGCCGCGCCAATGAAACTGGTTTGGCCTGCCTCATGGAATTTTGCGACGTGAGTTCCATGATTAAGCGTATTCAGGAAAACACTGGTGAGACATCAGATAAACCATACCGCGTGTATTCCCTAGCGATTGCACACATGGAGGAAATAAAGTTAAAGAGAAAGAAAAAGAGAAAACCTAGGAAGAAATCATGCGATGAAAAGACATCGGATGAAGATGAATCATCAGAAACATCAGAAAATCATGAACCCGTTGAGGAAGTATCATTAATAGAGTTACCAGAATGGATCGATAAAAGGATTGATAACGCGTACGATATGACAATCGCTGGCTATGCACCAATCCCAAATTACAATGCATCCACGATAGAGGTCATTGTTCTTGAGAATGATATTACCAGACCGATCCTGGCGCCATTTAAGAAAGCAAAAGTTACATCGGCCGATGGGAAAATTAATGCTAATTTGCTTGATGAAATTCCAAGGAAGAAAATATATGATAGACGTTTCAAGAACCATACTGCTGTGGCTATTCCAATAGATTTATGCATTATGGCTTGGGGAATTATACACGAGCCAACGCATTGGGGGATTAGAACGATCAGGGGATTATACGAAGCTAGCAAGGATCTTGCTTTAGACAGTTTATTAGTAGGAGAGGATACAACTGTTGCTGATATGGTAGATGGAGTATTGCTGGAATTTGCTATAGCGAATTACACGTTCCGTACTGTGTTCGCACCTATGCATCATGGCATGCTGTATGCAACAGAGGGTTGGAATTTAGCTATGTCCCTGAAGAAGGTTTTTGAAACTCCTGTTTACACTGGTGCGATAATCCACTGTGGAAAGGCGCACATAGGCGTGATGAACAGGAAGGGTCATTATTATGCTTGGTGGACGATGACGGGAACGAAGACTTTGAAAATTGTTACTTCTCAGGATATCGAGGATTTCTTGAAGCTGATCGTTAAGGAGATCAACGAACCGGATCAATTGGAATTTTTCATGAGGCTGGTAACGATTTCCTATGCCCGTAAAGTTTATCCTGATTGCGGCGATACGGAGGGACTGCATGAGAAGGCAATGCCTACCACGTCTTTACCTGAAATACATAAAAAAAATATGACGTCCTACGACATCGAAACTATATTTAGACCGAGTATACCGAACCCCAAGCCAATATTCGTACAAGGAACTGTAGCCTTGCGTAATCGTGATACTGTTGTTGAACCCAGAGTGAAACGATGCTATTTCGTAGCGATTTTAGCTGTAATGGTAAAACGCGATATAATTCAAAGTCCTATGCCAGGTATGGTAGACAAAATTATTGAGGTTGCTGAAGGACTCTATAAAGAATTCGTTGAGCCGAAATATCATACTGAGCATATTTTGAGAAACGTAACCGTTATGAATAGAATTTTTGAATTTCGAGATTCCGCATCAACCCTCGTTAACTTTAAAGAGAATTCATCAACGTCCGGCATTGACTTTTACTCTACGGTGAGGAAATATCTACAGAAACATTTCAAGAAGCACACTGATGGCATATTGCACTTTACCAATTGTTGTTATGGATTTTGGTACTCCAGGTCGACTAATTGTTATTATTATATCGATCCGTATCAATGCAACGGTAAAGGCAAGAAAGTGTCGAGTGATGGGATGAGCTGCCTTTGTATTTTTTCTTCATTGTCTCAAATGATAAAGCACATGTGTCAAAACAGATTTGAAGACACTACAGGATTTTTCCTTCACCGATTACATGTAGAATCCATCAATGTGCCAGCTTTCACAAAGTTCCAGGAAGATCCAATGTGGGTTTATCTTGACTTCCATTGGAGCTTCAGTCATGGATTAGATATTGTGAAACATGGAAGAAAGGGAAATCGAAAGATAGTTAAAGAGGAAAAACCTTCATGGAATTATTACGTTATTGAAGTGCCGAATCTTATTTATTCCGTATGGGGTACATTGGGTTGTTATGATTCAAGATTTGGTAATAGAGCCGGTAAAAACCAGGCAGCGATTTGTGTAGCTGTATTAGCAATGCAGTATCTCAGCCATCCTTCGCAATGGGGTCCAGCAATTTTGGATTCTGCTGTGATATGCGGCGATTGCTATTATACTGAGAGTTCAAAGAGTGCTTTACGAAAAGGATCAAGACACGCCAATAGATTTAATTTGCAGCCTTGCTTTAAAGTATTTCCACATGTATGGATGATAGAATTTAAGCCGAATATGTGTGGAATACTATATGGTGATCAAGGACGAATGTCTTTGGCTGATATGTTGAATTTGGCATTCCAGGAAGCATCAAATGTTATAATCGAATGTAATAGAGTGACTCTTTGTGTACTTGCCACAGAAGATGGCTATTTTGCAACAGATCCACGTTGGACGGGTCCACCGTTATTTTCAAAAAACTACGGCGCTATTTATACACTACGTTGTAGAAATATTAATGTTTTGGTATACTGCCTGACCAAAATGTTAAATACTAATCAGAGATTGGAATTCTCCATTAGTCCAATATTGTTAACGTTCTCCCAAGAAATTTGCAAGTTTAGTGGAGAAAAAGGTTTTTCCCCGCAGAAGAAAATTCTTAATGATCCCGTTCGCGTTCGACCTGGAAAATCTAATGATCCTGGTAATTTGATATCTGATTCCCCAACAGTGCCTGATGAGGATATTTACCTTCATTATCGAAGAAATCTGACTATTGGTATTGATCATGGTAGCGAATTGGAAAATCCACCCATACCGTGTCCTGAACCCAAATTAGAAATTGATAATTTGAATAATACTCTAATTAGCACTACGTGGCACTTGAACGTCGGCCAACCTATTCCACATAAACATACAAAAATTTTGTATAATCCTTTATTAATGAAATCTGATTTACGAGAATGCGCAGGGCTACCTAATGCAATAGACGATTCGCACACTAAAAAGAATTATGCTCATTTAATGGACGTCAATAAGTATCCAGAATGGATTGATTTTATGAAAAATGTTACTGAATCATCTCAGATACCTGCAAGGATTTTGAAGGATATAATGAAATCTGAAAGAAATGCCATGCCATTAGCTTTGAAAAAACCTCTACACTGTATCAAAGCTCCCAGCTTTATTTTGGATAGGAGTCGTGCGCTGTTCAATAAACAAATTGAAGAAATGACGGATAAGGAATATACGACATATCGTCATCGCATATCTCCAATAAATGAACGAAAAGAAGAATCTGATAATTTGGAAGGTGGTACACAAGCAATTGGACCGGAGAATGAAAATTTGGAAACTAATAATGAAACTAAAAATGAAACTGAAAATGAGACTGAAAATGAAACTGAAAATGAAACTGAAACGGAATTGGATACCGCAGATACTAAAGAAGGCAATTTGGATGACAATGGTGGAACGACTGATGAAGGCGTGACGGATAACGAATAATACAAGAGTGTGATTTAATTGTGTAAAATTTATGAACGTTTATCAACATTTATCAATACATGTTTCATGTAATGATGTTTTATAATGATTCGGTCAGTTATTGAAATAATCATCGATTCAAAACACCTCTTGCATCATGACTATCCGTAAAACCAGTTAGTGTAATATTGTTATTAGAATAAAAATTATGTTCGACGGAATATGAGTTTTTAATACTTCAATTTTAATAGCTAATGCATGCATAGTTATCACGCGATGATATTTTTTTAATCCTTCTACGTTCTAAGTAATGATCCGTCACTTCGTGTATTAATATTAACACGGTTCTGTACTGCAATTATTTTATTTATTTAATAAGTTTAGGAAATACAAAAAAATAAGTAGTCTTCTTAGTATTGGACGGCGTAACGTGACTTAAGACAAAACTAAAAATTGCTTTATTTGTTTTAGTAAATAATTCAAAAGGACTTGTATGACGTAAACTAAATTTTAAATTTAGTTTAAATTACGAATACTACAATCTCATGTACATTTATTTTGATTTTTATCAATGATGATTTTCAGCATTGGTATAATATGGAAAGTGACTTTCACAAAGTGACCAATATGAATTTATGCTAAAATACGAATGAATGAACTGAATTGTCTCAACAATTGTAAAATTGTAAGACCCTAGATATTTTTTGACAGGGCAGAAGACAAAATGAATCCGAAAACATAAATTTTCGCCTATGTGTTTCTCTGTTTAGTCATCGCCTTTATCTTGAGTAAGCAAAAGAAAGCGTCGTTTTAAGTAAAGCGTGAATAAATTGAATTAAAAGATAAATTTCTATATTACAAAGACACGTAATATTTAAATACATTAAAGTTAAGGCAATAATAAATTATTTTGAAAATTACACAGTGATCGTATACAAGATGTCGTCGAGCTCAGTCATTCATTCATTACAGCACAAGACTGAATTAGTCACTTTATAAAAATCATTAGGTTGTATATAAGAAATGATCGGTTTACCGGTCAAAAAATGTCAAATAATATGTAATTGTATAAAATTATGAAATATTCATTCTCAATGTTAATGAGTTATATTACGGTGCTTTTCAAACGTTTAAACATAACATTGGGAAATATCCACAATATACAAATACAAGATGTTCTGTCATTACATCATTAACAGTTCTACAGACCAATGTATTCTAAAATTAAAACATAGAGATCCAGACATTATTTTGCTACTTCGATTAATGTTTAGTTTGAATAATATGACTATATGTATAGGGTCTGTAGGAACCTCTGACGAAGTGCATTATTAAGGTTATACTATTACACCATTACGCTAATAATATTAACAACCATTTTTAAGTACTTGAATAGTCAATATATATATATATATTTTTTCATGAATGACTTCTTAACGTAATTACTTAATATATATATATGGGTACAAATAGCCATTTTTATAATCATCATGGTATTCAAGAATGATCTGTAGAAAGATGAATAATGTCTTCGATAAAAAAGCAGAGTTATTTTCAAAATCTTGGCGCTTCTTAAAATTAGTTCGAACTATCATGAGAATGTGTCAATGTTAATACATTTTTTACCTAGATAAGCATATGCGTATAATATCTCCTATCATTTGCCCCTAAAATCATACCGATTACAATTCCGTTCATTTATATAAACTCATTATTTGTACATGGCGTAATGATACCACGTTTTCTTTCCCAAATGTAAAAACACCGACTCTTTCCTACATATCAATTTAATCGTTCAAGTTTGAAAATCCTCAGTTTGATCGTTTTCAGCGATGCGTTGTCGTCAATAGTGTCAAATTGTCGTTCACGAGAGAATCAAGTTCTCAATAAAAAAGGCATATATTACGTCGAGAATTTAACACTATAATAAAATACGTCTCTGAGCATCGGTGGTAAAATCATAAAATCTTCAAGCTACTTGTCAGTGGGTGGTTTCGTGTATAAAATTTCAGCGTACTCCGTCTTGTCTTCGTTTATAAGACGTGGAGTGACTTGCTGTTGCGTCAAATCCAATTCCGCGTAGACTATTCCGCCCTCTCCAGATGCAGGATTGCTGACGTTTGTTTCAGCTGGCTGTTCGGTCGTTTGAAGCTGAATAAAAAAGAATATTTATAATTAATATACGAGTATTACGATAATGCATAGCAGGAAGGAAATAGTAATGTGAAGTAACAGTATAGAGAAACTAAACATAATAACTGAATATACGGGTAAGGAACTTCTAAGTATTTAATGACAAATATGCCATAGTCCATTATGTTCCTAACATGATCCATTAGGAATCTACTATAAAGACTTATTGCTGGAGGAGACGTGGCTTCAAGTACTAAGAGAAAATATTACCTTCTCGTCATCTACCGTAACGACAGTCCTTACTGTATCGCTGTCAGCGCCAGACACTTTATCCTTATTGCGCTTGAAGAGTTGAGATAAGGTAATTTTGGGACGTCGTCGTCTCGCAGGAACAGCGCCATCCACTTCGCTCCTGGAATATCTTCCAGCGCTTTCAGTGTCGCTTCTAATTAATGAAAGTGGTTCGGATCAGGTATCGTTAAAACATGATAAAATAATACGACATAGGAAGATGACGAGGATGATTCGTCAAGCGATAATAATTGTTTATCGTTAGCGAATGTAATAGTGCACGATGAATTTACCTGATTACATAAGATATTGTCTCGTAAGGGAACGCGATGATTGAATAAGGATAATTATAAAATAAATGAAAAATATAATCAGTATTGACGATGGTGACGATGACTATCGTTACCGATGATTTATATTTCTAGCGATTTGATCGATCGATTATTGTATCGAATGTGCGTAACATCTAGTTATGATGAATTATTAAACCGTCGTACATACAAGTCTTTGTAAAACATAGCGACATGATAATTGAAGGCATACGTTTTTTCTAAAGGATTTTCAGTCACTGGTAATAATACCTCTTTTTTGTATGAAAAAAGAGAAAAAAAAAGATCATCAATGCGGTATCGATTTGCAACCGACTAATAGCAGGTTATTCCGAGTAGGAAGTTACGTTATATCTTCATTGACCTATGACCTCGACATCAGTCTTAAGCAAATTAGTTATAGCAGGTACGATATATTTTTGCAAAAATTATTCATTCTTTTAGACATTTACTATCATAAAAAATATAGTAGATGTTTTCATCTACAATTGTATATATGATTTATAGTATAATCGATGTATCCAATGGGATGTGTCATATTACGATTTTTAACGACTGATATTTAACAGTCATTAGTCAGAATTATTACACGCAATTAACAATAACTTTTGGTAGAAGTAGATAGTTACGTCATTAATCGCAAGATCAGATTGAGGTAATATTAAATTTCATATCGCAGTTTCAATACGTTTTATAATATATTTCCATAGCTAATGTCACCTTATTCGAATATTGGAAAAATGGTTTCTAATTAGGTTATTCGATGACCAGCTATCTTAACAGTCAACAGGGATTGCCGTGAAGCAAAAACGATTGAACGATTATTTTTGAACGATCTAATTATTTTGACGTGCATATGGAAGCTTGGAGTATTGTTATTGTAATTAGACATACTGTCATTACTCATCGTGATCACTGAGCAAGGATATGATGCGAAAAATAAATATTTTGTACAATTACGTCACACCGCGTACCAAAGCAAACGTTTAGCGGATTGTACATTATCACAATACTTAAGAAAATAGCATGTAGGTTGGATGCATGAAATTTTGAACATAGCGTGAACGGTATAAGAGATAAAGAAAATAAAATGTACTCCTTGCCTTCGCCCATTGGTCTCATCTGTTTTGGATTTGTGGAAGCGAAGAAGACTAACGCTTGCTGCCGGATCCGCTAAGTCTCTGAAAATGTGCGTCATGCCAGCAATATTCTAAAAAAATTCTTTTGACTACCGTTCGTGTGATTTTACATTTTCAATAACGATAAATAACGATGTTCGCGTCACCACGATTAACTAAAGTACGGTGTTAGTTACAATTGTGCTTGAAATACTAGAAGAAGGTAATTCGAAGTAAAAATTAATTAACTTATTAATACTCACGACTCTCCGATATTCCTGGTCGACGAGCCATCTGAAAATTATTGAAATAAAATGGTCTTCAGTAATCCGCTATGATTAATAATAAATATATGAATTTTTGTAAATTCTCAATTTCCTTTATCATTTTTATATTTTTTTTTCGTGACCGGATGTGGCATGGGATGGGAACGCTCACGCGTACAGAATTATTTAAAACAAATGTTTTATTTCAAAAATCATATAATACCTAGTATAATATCATAGCGACGAATGAACTTATTACATACAGCTCTCTATATATTAATTTCATTTAAATTCTTATATTTACTCCTGTCTATTACATTGTATCTACAAGTACAGATACAAAATTTTCTTAATTCTTTTTTTTTTCAATTTTCATTTCACCTTACGTGGTCGCAATGCATTTCTTAATTTATTTACCGATCCCATAATATTTTAATTTAATCATTTATTTTAAAGTAGCGACCTCTCAAGTATTTTTTAATTTATATTCGTGTAGTCAGGGAAATAAAGATTGAAAAGAAGTATGATGATATAGAACTTAATTAAATAATCAAGAATACATGTTGCATGCCTGTCATACAATAACACATTATAGTTTCGGAGTAACCTGCATCGTAATATTCTAACGTAAATTGCATCGTTGTTTAATTATTAATCTTATATAAAACAATGAAATATAGCTGCGCCATTGCACGGGTATAATTTGAATCTCAAAATGGAAATTAAATTTGCGGGTTAAAGCGTTGTCAAAAAACGAACGATAGAGCTAGTATAATGCAAGAAGTAATGATTTTGAAAAATGTTTCAGAGAACACCAATTTCAGGTAATAGCAATTATTATTATATTACCTAGACTTACGTTTAACATAAATATATCTATATATATATATACTCCATTGTATGGCCAACGATCATGCTCCTTTTAATGGAGTGTCATCCTCCAGTGTGAATACGAGCTTAAAAAATTTCCTTCAATATTTAACTGGATACTCAATGCAAATTTCTTCGTCGCTTATCTCGATTACGAAAATCCTTATACAAATTATATATGATCGTAGAAATCGCCGAAGAACACACATCTCGTTTGGAAAGGACAGTGTCGCAGCATGATCATTGTGAATTTAAGTATATAGCGTTACGATCAATAATAATTAAAACCAATTATGAAAGAAGGGTAGTTATATCATAAAATACCACAACGAACCTTTGTACATAACATAAATGTGTTATAATACTCTATTTCAGTATTATACGTATGTTGTAATTACGTTTAGTCTTTTTTAATTAATCAAGTTGAATGGGTCAAACATCGTAGATTGGCCTAGTGTTCACGCATTCACTCCTCTCCATCATTCCTACAGGATCGATATACAATGAATTTATATTTCGCAAAAGGTTGATTAAATGATTATATTTTTCATCAGTATAAAAATCGAGGTGTTGTACATTCCTCTAGAAATATTTTATTATAACGCATCAATGAATTTCGTGTTTAAAATTGAACTTGTCACTTTTAATGAATGTAATAGGAAAATGGAGAGAGAGCGAGAGTCATTATCATGGATATCCTAAAGCCCAAATTTTGTATTTCGTTTGGCAGTGATTTTGAATATTGTTTACTATGTATTATTTGGACTTGTTCAAACTGATTTAGTCTTGCGAGATTCATCACGTTTATGTATGGTCGTACTACACACGTATAGTTTTGGGAATGGTTAAACATCTCTTCGCTATTTAAATTTATTGTTTTTAGTCAGATTATTGTAAAGCATTTAAAAACAGAATAACATATGTATATTACGCATATAAAAGATTTATGCGACACAAGAGAAAAAGCTCTCCAAAGTAGTTTTTCCATTAGGCATTTTCCGAGTAACCGTGCGTTACTGCTTGAGTCTCATCTTTTATTTTATGTCGGAATATATATATTTTTTTTAATTGTCATTAACTTCTTTTCCTCTTTTTACTGTATAACGAAATTGAAGATGAATTGAGAGAATTGATCGCGAACACGTTATGAGTACCTATTGGCAATATACGCCCACATATCTATGCTTTTTGTTAATGATTTAATATGTTATGTTTTGCGAGATAATTAACCATTAAGTAAATTTTACTTTTTCTTATATTATTTTCATTCACATACGAATAACGGTAGGTCACTGGCAATTGGGATGCAATTGGTTCGTTAAATATGTGAAATATTAACGAGTTGCAAACCAAATGCCACGACACAGCATATATCATTACTATTTCAATTTCATACCGTAATATTTATAATATATATATTTATATATACAACACGCAGTAATTTCAGGCTCGCCGAACGCCGAATTTTTCTTTCCACTTTTAAGCCAAAACGTGACTGCGTTAATGTATTGTTCTTTACTTATTTTTTACACGGAGTAAAAATTTCACAATATGTAGATTTTGGAAAAATTCGTTGTCCGACGGATCCTAATTCGTAATTGAAAATGTGATCGTGTTTATGAAGATCGAAGAAGTGTGTATGTGCAGAATTCGGAAAGTTTACTCGTAAGAAACCGAAAGTGTCTCATGAATATTGCGCACGAGAAAACGCGAGATATTTTCATGAAAATTCGCCTTTATTCAATGTTACTTTTATCATTTTCGCTCTCATTTAATCGTCAGCTAAGTAAAAGGCGACTGTACAAAAGTACAAATAATCTTTATTGTCAGAAGGCAATGATAAGAAACACGAAGTTCGCGAATGGTCTAATAAAATTTTGTATCAGTTATAAGAATTTTGGTCGATTTCTATGCATTTTGTCTGGCAATGAGACTTAATAAAGAACGAGGCAGTTATAAGGAAAAATGATCGTTCGATGAGACAATATATCTGTGTATTATGAACAATAAAAAATAAAGCACTAATAAACACGTTGGCGCAATATTACAAAAGGTACAGATTTGCGATACATATATATATACCATATATCTGCAGTAGAAGAATTAATATTATCATAAGAAAAATTCTAGTTTTACAATAAATGAAATTCGTCAGTGTATATAGGATTAATATATAGTACGAGAATATTTTTCTAAATCTAATTGTTAACACTGCATCCATCCATTTTTTTTTGAGATTACACACTTCGTTCCTGTCCATTTCAAATCACCGTTGGCAAAGTTGTTTCTTGTATTTTCGCATAATAATTTGCAAAGATTTTAACAGAATTTTATGTGGCAAATACTTTTGCTCTTCTTAAAAAGGAAACTACGATGCAGATGGATGCAGCGCGGACTAACGTAAGGACAATGCCGTGAATCGAATCGCAAAAGTAATTAGTAGGACACAATTATATCTAAATTAATGTAGAAGAAAGATACAACCTCGTTTCTTTTTTAAGGTCAGATCAAAGTAGTAAATAATACTGACCGAGTGACTTTTTTTATGCTACGAAAGATGAAGAAATAGCGACAGACATGTTCCTTTTCAAGGTGCATTAGAAAATGTTTGCAAAAAGCTAACACATGGAATGTCGCATCGTCAAATATGACAATGATGTAGATTAACGTGTCATATAATATAATTCTAAGTACAGTAGAGTCTCATTTTCGGCACACCTTGAAAACGAATTTACACTTGGATAATCTTTCTTGAGTTCCATCGTAAAAGAAGTCAACTGGGTCTCAGACCTTTATTTAAATATTACAATTATTAAATAATACAATGGCAATTCCATGGTACGTACAACGATGTAAAGGGAATTGACGAGAAAAAAGAAAAACACTTTTCACACAATTTTCAAGAAAGGACCAGCGCGACAAAAAGTTTTTAAAAGCAGAAAACGAGACCGTATCTGTGTAATGTAGATGAATCGTAAATGTTTAAATCGTCGTATTTAGTATAATATTACAAAAACAAAAAAATGTGAAATATGACATTTGATTTGTTTACGCTATCAGATCGTTCGTCGGTTTTCACGAATACAATGATTGAACTGTATTACTACAATTATTAGGAGTCGTAAGTGTTCACAATGCATACCCCCGTTAGACATGTCACGCTCGCACAGGGCGAGAAAAGATTTTGAATAATTCGCGTTAATTATATTCAGTTCGAGTTGGTATCTCGTCATATGAAAATCCTGCCTTTACGTTGGGACGACCGAAGAAGCTAATCCTAGGTGAACGAATTGTCACTCCTCCTGGATTATCGCACTTGGTAAACTATACACAGGATGAAGAGCGTACACTACTTTTACTCCCCTTTTAATTTCACTCCTGTCTAAACTTCACGTAAAAAAGACACAATCGTAGCTCAGGAGAATCCCCGTCCAAAGATGCTATATGATGTCGATCATTACCTTATGTACAAACTTCGCCACAATAAAGGACTTTGGGAATTCAATTAAAAATGGCATCAGATATCAAAGTGTCAAATCATATCGCGTATATCGCTCACGTAAATGCTTATTACATAAAAAGACAAAAACAACAATATCAATTAATCAGATCGCATTACTTGCCATGAGATTCATCGTAAGGAGTACTCAAAGAAAAAAAAATAAAAGAAATTACATAAAAGCGTCATCGGTTCGAGGAAATACAATGCGCGGTAAGTTCTGTGAACGAACACGAGATGCCAACCGTTTCTTGTCCATTGATCGATCAATCATTATATAATATATCAAAGGTTATAAAGACTCCCTTTGATTCCGATTGTGATGCGACCAGACTTCCATGTTAACCACATATGAACGAATGCAAGCTGGTTGCCGTTGCTGTTAATTTCAATGGTCGTGTGTTTTTCAATTAACGTTATTTTCAAAAAGTACCATTACATCCAGGGTGTTGGACGGATGATAAAAAATATATTTATATATATCTATATATCCTACATACACATAGCTATAAATATATCCTTATTAATCAGCATCATTATACGCATTAAGTGAACTTAAAGTGCTCTCTGTGTCCACCATTGTGAAGCAGTGAGATTTCATAACCACAGGTTGGACATGTCGCTCGACAAACAGACTTTCGACTAATCCTACAGTAATACCGCTCTTTAGACAAAATGTCCAACACCCTTCAGTATAACGTACTCTTTTCTACATATTCATAATGGCGGACTGGTTAAACCGGAGTGTCTGTCTTCTCGTCCTTCTTGATGTCTTTAACGTCCGTGCGTCCGTTCACGTATTCGGTGCTGGCGTGTATGGGATTCTCCTGACCACCATGCGGAATCTTCTCGTCGATAATGTGAGGATCTTCGTGCTCGTCTTCCTCGTCGCCCGGAGTGATGTGAGCTTCGCTTCCGGCGCCCGCACCGCTCGCTGCTTCCTCGTCGCCACGACGTCTCGCTGCAACAAGCAACGCCACGATCGGTCAAGGCAATGGTGTGTGTGTGGTGGATTTCATATGACGAAATTTATTGTTATTTCTAGTTATTTTTTCCTCATTGTTTATTTCAATTATTGACTACGTGGGAAGATCGGTGCAGATTTTTATGATTTGCGAAAATTTATAAATTATGCATTCCTTTCTTTACGATCGAATATGTAAGGGGAACTTTTTATTCTTGGTAATTTCATGAACCAGTCCGAGAGAGAGTCGAGGGTGTATATAAGATTGGGTTGGGTATCTTCATGGAATATTCTACGTCTCGATGTCGTTTCTTACGTACGTGGTACTAAGACACGTCGTAAGTCTCCAATTGAATTTCTATAAAGGAAAGTTTGGTAGTTGTAATTTTTATGAATTCGCGGAACAGTTTCCGTTCAACTTTTCCAGATTTTTAATATTCTTTTGTCAAATCGTTCGAAGATACGCTGGGGAACTTTGTTTATAGCAGTAAGTTCTCCTTTCACGGTGGAATGTAAAATGAATATATCGTTCTCCAAGGGAGAAACTATGGTACTGCTATAGCTATTAAGTTGGATTCCTAAAATAGTCCAGAAAATAAGGGAAAATGTTTTCGAAGTTTGATGCGAATTATTGAGCTACGTTAATCCGTGTTTGTAAAGGCTTAAAGTTCGTCGAGATAGTATCTAATTAATGTGAGTAATTATCGTAACATTCACAAGCAATTCATCACACTAACACTATAGTATAATAGAACCAAGCGAAGTGGTAAGGTAAATGTGAATTTAATTGGTACATACGAATAATAGCAAATGCTTATAAACACTCAGCTCAGGGAATAATAAGGGTATATACATGCTTCAACAGTCAACTGACAAAGGGAATTATCAACTATCAGAAAAAATGATGGATCGAACGATTAATAATTTATTATATTCATTAATTCTATTACTTTTCTTTTTTTTTTTTTTTTTTTTTTTTTTTTTTTTTTTTTTTTTTTTTTTTTTTTTTTTTTTAATTAAACCACACTTGCCTTTGCCGACTGTTAGCTGTTGCTTGCTACAGAAGTTATTACCGATATACTATAGGCAACGCTTCTTGATTTCTTCGGAATTCGCAAGTCCACATTATTCTCGCGGAAAAAATCGGACATTGGTGAATGTACGAAAAATATTTTTAGCCATGTACGCTATGTGAAAGAATTCGTTCGATAAAAAAAACGTGCGTACATCAAAGGAAAAAAAAACATAATATCAAATATTTTATTGGGCGTTCAACATGCTCCAAAATTCTTGTAATACTCTGCTTGATTAATGTGTCGACTGAACATGTATTTCCATGTACTTGTACACACATTCTTAGTCTAACAGATTGAAAATACGCGAAATGGAAAAAGTACATGCACGAGAAATCCTAAACTTGAAATGCATGCGTGACAGTATATTCAATATATTTAAAACGTGTGTTGTGGGAATTTAAAGTCCTGAATTTTCGAGTATCGCGAAATTAAAAAATGCTAAGTACTCTCATTACCCAAGCTCGCTATTATTAATCGCGAAATACAATTACGAGTTCCTCACTCGAGTCTTTTTAATATTATTTAAAAAAAATTTTGTATATATTTTTTATTTATTTTTCAAACGTATTAGAGTATGTATAAAGAAATACACTGTACTGAAAATTAATGATAGCAGCTAACCAGTATCCTCTCACGATGCACTACACACGTAATCGATCGAATACAAAAAAAAAATCATTTAATGCTGGATTAAAAAAAAAGAGTATTAAAAAAAAGTAAATAATCAACCTAAAGCAGCACAAAAATTATATATCCGATCTGAAGCCGTTTTTACCACAATTATGTAAATGAAATCGTTCAAATGATTTTTAAGTTTTTTCAATCGTTATTTCGTACACACAAAGCTATACTGACTGTGTTATAACTTTGATTCTAATGAGCAGATCGCACACTAATGAGTATAGTATTCATGGCACTCAAAATGTTCTATTAATATCGAGCATTGATACTTGCAGCGCAGACTTGCGTGTTGAATGGGTATTGAATGAATTGGCATTTTGTGAATACTGGTTAGAAGTATCGCGAAATATATATATGCATATACATATATAATGTATATATATGACTGATGGCGGTTCATGATTTGTGACGAGCAGGGCGCGAGCGAGCATTAAGGGTTGTCTGAGGTAACTTACCCCTGGACAGTGTCATGCCTAGAGTACGGAATCGCACGGTAAATGTTGGTGTATCTCCGTATTCTTTACTTGGCCCGACTTGCATGCTGTCCTATCGGTAGCGGCACAACACACAACACATTGTATACATACAAGGTATAACTCAGAAAATTGGATATGGAATAGCATACCAACTAGCATAAGTCAATACTTATGAGTTATGACTCAACAATATACATATATATATATATATATATATATATATATATTATAGCGAGTTACATATATATATGTATATAAGAGAAATTTCAGAAAATCGTTATTAACTTGATGCTTGGAATTTTCACTTAATTCATCATCGCTTGTGTTTGTAATATATTTCTAATTAACAAGTAAATGGTCATAGCATTTGTCTAGAATGCGAAAGACCCAGGTTTGATTCTCGGGTCATATCAAAGATTTTCTCGTTGTTCGTACATACAACTTTGTCTTGTATTGTCAAATTTATTTTTTCATGTAAGTATGAGTGTTGTGCTTGAACCTTCGGAATACTTTTAACGCAATGCGCTGGTTCAGCATTTTTGGACTAAATGATAATAAAAAAAAAAAGAAAAAAACGGAAATGTCATCTAAAACTTGATCACTTTTGCAATAACGTTTAGTTGAAATATACATTAAAGTCAGTCCAACTTTAAGTTTTTTAAAGCATGTTTTCATCTTGTTGGTACTCTACATGGAGAATCTATTAATCATAGTAGAGCAATGTAAGAAACATATATTCTCGTATAAAGAATATTTATAATTTATGCATCCACCACCATCCCTTTAATATATGATTTTTTCCGTTTACGTTCTGTATATAAATAGTAATAAAAAATATAATCGACAATCTTAGGAATGATTTTTTAGGGATCTAGAGGTAATTACACAAGTATCTTCTGCATTTTCTAACGATTCAGCAACTATGCCACGTATACTTCTCTGTTTACTTTTCCTTATACGATTGGCGTACTGCGTTATAATCGAGCATATATAAGGAAGAGATTGGAATAGCGGTAAAGGGTAGATCGACAAGAATATTGATAAATAGAAATTTTGAAATAAACAATTTTAAAACTTACCTGCAAAGCACCAGCGTCCAGTGGCACGGGCGAAAATGAGAAGGAACACAATGAGAATGAGCACCAAGACTCCTACCACGATTCCAATAATGGATCCCGCGTCGAGGTTTACGCCTGGAATTACGTGAAAGACTATTTAATAAGTGCACACGATATTTTATGTAAATGCAAAATAAAAGAGCCACGAATTGATCTTGCCCGAGGATACGCGAATGCAACTAAAACAGTCAATTGGAAAATAATTAGATTGTCTGATTGGATGATTCACGCACTGGCACAATGGTGACCTTAGTTTAAACTAGAAACACGTGCATTTTCGATAAAATTTTGAAAAATAATGACAGCGATTACAATAATAATGCATAGTACGTTGACAACGATTTAAGGACAAATATATGAATACCAGATATACGCTATTCAGGTCTATGGTTCCTCTGTAACATTTGTTATTTAAATAATAGCTAGATTGCAAAAATGTATATTTAATATCACGAAAATCATAAAATGTCTCTAAAACTTTTTATATATCCGATTTAAAAATCTACTTTACGCCAAACAGAGAGTTTCGTGCGAAGCCGAGCGTCGCGGTGATGAAATAATTGAATTAAGCCGAGGAATACGTTCATCTATTTAAATCCTCGGTGAGACTTTGACTCGCACGAATCTCTAGGTGTAAGCCAACTAGCTACAAACAGTTTGAAAAATGAAATTACCTAGTGCGTGCATTTGTTCGGAGAGCTTACCATAGAAGTGACTGAACACTCCTGCGTGAGCATGCGGTGAAGGATTGCCGTTAGACATACTCTCTGCCAAATTGAGATCATTTTCGTGATGATCGTGGTGGTGAACGTAGTGATGGTGATGGTAGTGGTCGTTGGATGGCAGGTGAGAGAATGATCGAATGAACGCACGAATGATAAGTCAGGTTGATTACGATTAATGAGGATTGATGAGAGTTAAAGATTTTGATATCAAGTGGTTATGGTTAATGGCGTGTTTAATTATGATTAAGTTAACGAAGTGAGTAAACGGGTTTTAATGATTTCAAAGATTTCATCGAATTATCCTCAGTCTGAGTGTTCCCTTCTAATATATATATATATATATTATATACAGTGTCCCGATAATAAAATGATCAATGCCGGCCGATAGCTGTAGTTTTATCGATCGCAGTGATTGCGGTGTTTAGTATACGTATTCGTCTAAGACGGTTCAGTGTGCATGTGATATTATGTTGTTCACATTAAAAGGTGAATATAAAGAATATCATCTTCATCGAAACTCACCTGCGGGTTCCGCAGACGTTGAGAGCATAACACGATATTCATAGGCTCCCTCGTCGTTACGTGCTTCCAAAATGTATTCCTTTTCAGTATCCGATTTTTGAATGCTAATAATTTTAAGCTTAACAACCCACGTCCCCTTTCCCTGATAACATAGAAACACAAAAGCATTAGTCACGACGCCCATGCGTAGACCTCAAGTGTCTCAATAAGAAGTATTGAGTCGTCGTCACTCGACGCTTGATTTTATGCGACGCTTTTTTATTATACCCTGACAAATAGGATTCCAGACTTTATATGAATTCCATGAAATTGCATTATATTTTCCAGCGTATATTCACGTCTATATAAAAAAGGAGGTTAAATTCCAAGAAGAAAGCACATGCTGAGGAAAAATGTACTACAGTATGTAAAGCGATATTCAATTCTTTTCTTATTCTCATACTTCGGTATTCACTGTCAGCACCAAGAGGATGAATGACGTTTGCGATAGGATAATTTCCATGGTCAACTCACTATTACTACTGTATACCGTGGATGATTTACCATTTCTATAGCAGTGGAGCTTTGGAGACGGTTGTGTTCATCAGTTTCTCCTTCTTTAATTATTTCATCGTTGACACGCCATATGAACGTCGGTCTTGGGTTCGCGTTTACAGTGACGTTTACAAATCCCTCTTGTCCGACTACGTAACCAAAGCGTTCGATGGTCCCTTGCGGTTGTGGTTGTGGTGGATCTGAATTCGAAGATTCATATTTTAAATTTTGATCTCTGTCGGACAATTTACACGACGGAGGTGAGATATATGTATGTAGATACGTATAATATCGACTTTTCAATTGGACAAAATGATTGAACTTCAATAATAAGATATTTGAAAATGTATAGAATATACTCACAGACTACTTCAAGCTGAAGTTTCGTCTCCATCGGTTCATTCAGTGCAACGTGACTCGCAAGGCAACGTAAGAATTTACCATTGTCAGTCCAATGTATAGTGCGTGATATATTTTGAACTGCCAAGGAATTGTCATCCACGTTTGAATCGTAGATCGTTGGTCTTTCGCCGTGACTTATTAACTCATCATCTGTGAAGCGATAAGACATTTTTTAAATTCTTTCCTCTTTGGAAAGTATGGTGACACATTTTGATTGTGGATTTTTAGGTAATTTCGTGAGGCATTTTTAAATGTTTACCAAGATAAAGAGATACGTTAGCTGCTGGTCGACCAGATCGAGCGCTGCAGCTGATTAACAATTTGTCGTTATGTCTGTATCTCCCATGATCGGATGCCTGGCTGACCAAAAGTTCAGGACGTTGTGGCGGTTCTAAAAAAAAGTATTAATAATTATTGTTATTCGTATCACTTTGTTATATGGAAGTTCCGTTTTGTCAGCTATCAATTTCTTTTCTGGTTAACCAAAGGCCCAAACTTACTTGCCACGACGATTTTCAGGGTCGCCGAACTCTCTTTTTGATCGTCCTTAGGTTTCAAGGAACATTTAAAGATACCGTCGTTATTCGCTTTAACTCTATCAATAAGAACTCCACATTCGCCAGCCTCCATGCCCGATCCAGAGTATTGGATGACACCATCGATAGGAGGTTGTCCTGGTTTCAGGTACATGGCGCTTCCTCCAGGTATCTGGACGCGGCAAACTTCAATTGGTACAGCCACTCTGCATAAGATCCTCAAACTGTCGCCTAGGCGCACTACCGTCTGAGTTTTCGGATCGATTTCCACTACCATATTTTGCTCGAGTGCTAGAAAAAATAAATAAATAAATTAGTCAATTATATAATTATTAACACACTCTTTGTTTAATCTTCATGCCTTATCGAATATGATTTTATATAGTTATAATTTATATTCCAAACAAACGAATATCGTTACACGAGTAGTTTCACTGCAAAAATATCAATCAATCTAGAATTTCATTTTAGCAATCAACTGATATCGAATCCTTATCAAACCTCCAGCATTTCGAAGAGAAACCAAATATTTTCCGCGAACATAAAGCATTATCGCTAATAAAAAGAGCTTGATTTAACAACATACCAAAAGGAACACGTTTAATATAACGGGTGGATTAAGAGTCTCGTTCCTCCACTTTTTTCTTTAATTCTCGGCAAATTAAAAATAGCACACACGGAAGATTTACGAGAGACGAGGAAAAGTTTATTAAAGGTCCTTCCGGCGTTACCAGGACCCAACTCCTATACAATCATAACCGTATAAGCTGCCACGGAACCTTAAGGCAAGCTACTCTGCAGGATAATAATTACATTCACCCTTACCATCACTCTACAGTAATAATAACAAAAGCGATCCATGTCGATTATTGTAAATGAATAAAGTTTCTGCCAAAAAACAGCTCGTCCCAAGTACCAAGTAACCTACGAGTACCAGAAGATGCTGCTATAGCTTTCTCACTCTTATCTTCTTCTTATCCCCCTCTCTCACTCTTACCACCGGTTTCATTAATAATTACATTGTCAAACTACTTTGCCCCTTAAAAGTAGCAGCATTTTGAAACGAGGATTAAAATGTCATTCGAAGCGTTATCATAAAATCTGTCAAAAGTTTTCCTGTATTTTACGCATTAACGCGACGCTTCCGTTAACGATTAATCACCGACGCCAATCATCCTGAAAATCGAACACCAAAATTTTCAGTGATACGAATGTCGTATCACGCGGAAGGGACTCGCGAAAGGGAGGTTTATTTTTTTCCTGACCAATTTTCGACAGACAAGTTTTATTATAGTCTTCGTCAGTATCACCTCTGTCACTTTGAACCTGATGGACAGATAATTTTGTGGAAATTTTTTTTCAAACGCGAATATACTATATATATATATCTGTGAACAATCTATAAAGTTACGTTATCAGGATTCCACCTCTCATTATTGATGGATATTTAGATTGACGGTTGCTCTCTTTACCTCACTCCTCTTCCTCTTTTTTTTTTTTTTTTTTTTTTTTTTTTTTTTTTTTTTTTTTTTTTTTTTTTTTTTTTTTTTTTTTTTTTTTTTTTTTTTTTTTTTTTTTTTTTTTTTTTTTTTTTTTTTTTTTTTTTTTTTTTTTTTTTTTCAATGCCATCCGCCCATCTACCATCGTTTCTTCTCGTGGACAGGAGGGGATGTTCATAAAAACCATGTCAATCAAAAACACGCTGCTGGTTCATGAAACATGGACGTAATTGATTACACGGGGAGCGCACTATAAAAATGACTTGACTCAATGAGTGTTCATTGATGGTGTCTCCAGTCATGACGAAATTAGGTGCTTGGCTCTCGACGATTTTTCACTCGGGCTTGAGAGAACAAAAGATGAAAGCAAATTGCTGCTTTTTTGTTATTGCAATCTATATAATATTTCCCCTTATCGCTATCTTCATCTCATTAATACGATCAATTTTTTCCTACGACTTCACGATGTATCGCTGCAATATAAAGAGTGCATTGTTTATCTCCGGCAGCATCAATCTTCTGCAACGCGAACGTCATAGCAGTGGCTTGTACCGCGAAATGCAATCTTGTGCATTATTCTATTATGATAATAGGATGCAAGAATTATGATAAACTGGGTGTGGCCGTGGTGGTCATCATCATATTTCATCTAGCAGCATTATCAGCATCTGATCGACTCAAGTGGAATCGAAAGATATCAATGCATCGAATTTCGAGGATACTTAGCGAGACAGTCTTCCAATTAACTGATAGCTGAGAATACAATACATTTTGTTTCCTCCTTTAAGCTCTATAAGGCAACGTCGTTGAGTCCGTTAGAAGCTTCAGCCTGTTTCTCTTTCGGCATGAGACGCTTCTTTTTTCTTTGAGCTTTTTCTCCCCCCTTTGAATGGTTCTTTTTTATTTACGGCGTCTTATATCATCGCCGCTCTCCTTTTTGCTCTCCAGAGCTAACCGATTCTTTCGTCCTTCCGGTCTCCTTGTAACGCGATATATACTTCTTCATTCGTAGGAGCCGACGTCATTTCAATGCGGCAAGAGTATAAGCCACCGTCACGAAATAAGACCAAGGGATTGGGTCGGGCTCTAATGAATGGATGACTTCGAATTTTTAAAATTCCTATTTGTTATATTTACGCAGGCTGTTTGTGTACCTAGAAGCTGCAGCCCGTAAAAAAAAAAAGAGGACGATGAATTATTTATGAATGTCGCGCAGTAAACCTGGAATTCTCGTAATACGTACATATGTAGGTTTCCTACGAGTACGAACATTTTGCCAAGCGTTTCTCGTCTCGTTTACTTTACACGCCACACGGTATTTCGTTTCCGTACAATTTTTCAAATTTTTTCAAATTACTCCCTGGTACAATTATTAATTATTTACTATGTAGATTTGAAAGAAAAAAACTGCACGAAATAGATATTCATGATTGATTATAAGAACTATTTCGAGAGAATTTTTTTTTGGGAAAATTTTTGTCAGTAGAGTAACCACTATTTTTGGGAATTTTATTTATTATTCGAAACCACGCGCCACTATTATAATATTCCAATAAAATTGTAGTAGCTATATGTTGATCTGTTATGTTTTGCCACAGCTAACACGTTAAAATTTACATATTTTATTGTGGGCGTTGAATAGCAATGAGTTCAGTACGTATTATCCACGAATCCAGCACAGTTTTACTCCATAATAAATTTATTAAATTTTCGGAGCATTGCCATCGGAGAGCCTGATGAATGGATTTCATATCTAATACAACCAAATGTAAATTTATGATGAATTAGCGCATTGCTTTACATCAGTAATAAACCCTATGGTAACGTGAGATTGGATGAAAGTACACAAAAATAAAATGTTCTTGATATATTTATCTTCTCTCTTTGAATTTACGCGTATATCTTTTATATCCCCGTCGTTATTATTCAGGCATAGAAAATCTCTCTCGCAACCTGGACTGCTTTCCCAGGGTGCGCCCTAATGCTATCTGAAATGGAATCAATTTCATTTCGTTATAACAACAAAGTATTTTAAATTACATTTCCCCTTCGCCCTTATGAAAAGCTGGACTGCAATCTTTTATCACTCTTCTGTGCGATGAAGGGGTGCTTTCGTATTTTGCGAAGGTTTGAGAAAGCGATGGGGACAGAAAAGGACTCTTTTAACCTTACCGAATTACGTCAGTACTTATTCACCTGACTTCCGTTCGGTTTTAAGGCCAGACCCTTGTCTGTACATATGTATATATATATATTTTACTTAAAATAAATATATGTATACAGATATATATCTTGCTTTTATTCAGTAGCTCTCCGTATTAATTATCAAGCATACGTTTCGCACATTTCTTAAAGGGCTGTCGTACTGTGAAAGGTATTCTTCCGAGATCGTGCGAACTAATTTAACTTTCCTTATAGCTGAACAAACTTCAATTATAAGCTCCTTTGCTGTCATAGACTTCGCATTGACAGGAAGGCAGCATATTTCTCTACTTTATTGTTAAAAATCATTTCGTCTACACATAGCCATAATTCCTTCGAAGTCTGGGGAAAATTATCGCGGTAACGTAAACGACGAGTAACTAAATTTCACATTATCGAAATATGTATGTCTAATTAAACCTGATTTATAGTATCGGCGTAATTTTAATTCGCGCGCGTGCATCGAGCTGCGGTTTAACGCAAACCGTGTTGGCGCATTTGTGCCGTAGAAACGCAGTCTATAATTTTGGCACGTTTGAAATTGTAACTCGTTGTCCTGGATACACATTGTTAGGTATGGAGGCCAATAATATAATATATGAGTATAAGTAGATATTATGCGCGCGTTATGAAGTTTGCGGATTACACATACGTATTATCGATTTCAGTAATATTGGTTAGTTTAGAAGATACGCGTATTAGTAAATTTTTTTAATTGGAAATAATGAGAACGAAGGAGGATATTTAATTTCGGATTGTTATGCGGGTGGAAGATTAAATTTAAAAAAAAAATTAAGAAAGACTAATATCGTCTGGAATGCGTTCTGGAGTGAATACACGATGGAACAATATTAACGAAGTATAATCCGTACGGACAAACATAGGTACGTATGTGAACGTGCCTGGTGATTAACTGTGTCCGTAATGTGGTTGTTTAATGTCGAGACACTTGAAATAATTAAAATTCAGAGTTCTTGTGCGAGCAACTTCAAGAGGAGGAACGTAATTATATCTAAAAGTTTGACTGCCATTAGAAGCTGCTATGCAGTGTCATATTTCATATGAAACTCTAGTTAAGCATGATGTAGATTAATGTACCAATATTGACTTTGCCAATTGCTGACAATTCAGTAAATGTTCCATTGTACTCGGGTAGAAATACTGGATGACGTAGATAAATACAACATTCGTGTATGACGTAGAAAAATAATGCAGACAGTTCTCTAACGTTGGTAACAATGTTACAGATGACAGCACGTATACCGGGAAACGATCGTATAACCATAAATCCAATATGATTTTCCACCCATCAATTCGTTATACGGATGACGTCGCGATCTAATTTGGCCGTAGTGTCACAGCCCGGCACATCCCGAAAACCGCAACAACAGATGCGGTGATTTGTGGATAGTGTTGTCGCTAGCGCGCATGAGTAGGTACCTTGAAACATGAAGAGTTACGTCATTTTAGGTTTAATGAAAAATACTAGAAAGATATTCACCTCGAACGGTAGATCAATTAACAGCTGATAGTGAGGAATAAATAGGGTGTCAAAAATTTTCAAGTAAACGTTAATCAGGATGATGACGG